TCGAACGCTCTTGGCTATACCTTATATACAGATCACAATGTAGTAATTAATATCTCTGTCAGTACAAATCTGGTTGTGCTGTGCTATTTGCCAATTGCCTAAAAAGACTCTAAATAATTCCCAATTTTCAAAATTCAAAATTTTCGAGAAGAATTATTATTAAAACTGGGCACCAAGATAAAGCTTTGAAAACACTGGTTTCTGGTTAAGATGGAATATAATGGCTCTTTGGTTTGTTTAAGGTTGTGCTTATTTCAAATATTTCAGAAAAAAATAAAAATAAACACCAGTACACAAAAAGATACCACCAAAAAAATAACCAGCGTTCCTATGAAGGACACTTGAAAAATAAAAAATATATACCCGTGCTGTGCATTGGACAGACACTTCTGTTTGGACTCCCGCAGATCGGGAAAATAGTACACTCTTTTATCTAACTAGATATATTGCTGTTTCTGTCCAAACCGAAATTCCGTAAACGGAATAAGTATACACCAAAAAAATAACCAATGTTCCTATGAAGGACACTTGAAAAAATAAAAAATATATACCCGTGCTGTGCATTGGACAGACACTTCTGTTTGGACTCCCGCAGATCGGGAAAATAGTACACTCTTTTATCTAACTAGATATATTGCTGTTTCTGTCCAAACCGAAATTCCGTAAATGGAATAAGTATACACCAAAAAAATAACCAATGTTCCTATGAAGGACACTTGAAAAAATAAAAAATATATACCCGTGCTGTGCATTGGACAGACACTTCTGTTTGGACTCCCGCAGATCGGGAAAATAGTACACTCTTTTATCTAACTAGATATATTGCTGTTTCTGTCCAAACCGAAATTCCGTAAACGGAATAAGTATACACCAAAAAAATAACCAATACGCTAAAAAATATACCTAAGAGCGACCACGCTCAAAGTTGGTAACCCATATACTTGCGATTAATGTACACTTAAAATAGCACACCTAACAAAAAAATTAGAGCCGTGATGACAATGAAAGTAATAACCAGTGTTTCAGCGATCAAAGCAAATTAATGGAAATAGAATGCCCAAGTACGTAGTTACATGGAAGTAACCAATAAATGCAATAAATTACATTTAAATCCTGCCGACTGCGCCAAATTATGTAACGACCCAAGGTGTTGTGTTGGGGTTTGTGCAGTTTCGTGGGGGTTGATTTAATAATAAGTGTCAAACAAAACGTTTAGGTTTGAGGTCAACAATAATCAACGTTACTATATTGTTTAATTATAAGTCATAAGGTACATGAACATGTTACATAACAATAAGAAATGCATACAAGTACAACTCCTGTAACCTCAATACTAATTAAATCTAAGTACAATACCTGGACTGATAGCTTGCAATTATCTCACACAATAATGTCAAACAAATCATGTGTTCAAAGTACCTGTAAATGATGCATTGATAACTCACCCCAAAACAACCAAGTGCCTGCGACTTAAGTAAATATCCAAGATGGTGACAAATATATATCCGACTAATTGATAAACTGAACTCCTTAATTGATTCCTAGTCCAAATATCCACAAAGACTTACCAGAGCTGGAGACCTTTACCCAAGCGAGCCAGGAGCGAGACTGAGGTACTGATGGTGAACATTTACTTATATACCCCTGAGACCCCAAGTGCTGCATGTACAGGGGGACCAAGACACGGAAGCCATTGATTGGTTAACTTGAGTACTAAAAGACTATGGACATCCCTAAAACTGACCATGACAAATTATGGACCGATGATTGGTTAAGTGACTGAAGCAAATGTTAGAATGCAGTTGGTACTGAGAATATTCCATAGTAAAAGACTGCTTGCACCAAAACTTGAGTGGACTGAAGATGACCAGACTGTAAAGTGATTGGTTGAAAGATACAATGGAAGTGTGCCTACTGTCTAAAGACCACCAGCCTCTATGAAACCCAGAACTAAGTCTAGATACTGATACATGATTGGTTGACAAATGACAACTAAGTTTGACCATTATATGAGGACCTTCAGCCTTTATGTAAATACAGAGATAACTGAGAAATTATACATCCTAAGACCCAAATCCGTTACACTTACACCATTACTTAATCTTCAGAAAAAAGTTGTAAGACTGATTTGTAATGCAGATTATCAACAATCTAGTGTACCATTATTTAGGGAAATGAAAATCTTAACAATTTTTGACATTCACAGGTTAGAGAAATCAAAATTTATGTATAATTGTGTCAAGGAACCATCAAATTTTCCTGCTTATCTTTTCAAAAACTACTTTACATACATGCACAATCATAATGTTGGTAATCGTACTACAAGACAGTTTCATAATATACGGCCCAGCAAAATAAAAACTGAATTGACAAAAAGATCAGTGACATATTCTGGTGCTATTTTATGGAATTCTTTGCCAATTGTATTTCGAACATGTAAAACTTTGAATTCTTTTAAACACAACATTAAAAAGGACCTTTTGGAAAAGATGAATGGAAATACTATAGAAGATCACATTCCATTTAAATTAATTATTTATATCCAGACTTCAAAGTTTCTGTATTGCATCTAAACAATTTAGATAATGTATGTTATACTGTTATATATTATATGTTTTGTGATATATTATATGTTTTGTGATTGCTCTGCAATAATGTTTGATATATGCACTGATACGCCCAATTACTAAGGGTGTCGAGTGCACATGCTTTGTACATTCCATTGTTATATTATCATGAAATAAATAAATAAATAAAAATAAAAAAATGAAATGGTTTGGCTTTAAAATGATTTATGATACATACTATGGGGACATTGGTGTATGTCTGCCAAGGAGGGGCCCCATACTTTCGGGACACCCTGTACATGCCGGTTAGTTAGATTAAAATATTTAAGCGAAAATTATTATGTCACCACCAAAAGTGGTGACATATTGTTATGGTCTCCATTTTTTTGCGACGGCGTCCGGCGGTTGGCGTCCGGCGGTTGGCGTCCGGCGTCTGTAACAATTTCTTACAACTTCCTATAACTTAACAAATACTGTTTAGACTGACTTCAATTTTTTTCTAAATCATCTACATGTTCTCAGAAGTTCAAATCTGACTTTAGATTTGACATTTGACCTTCAATGACCTTCTCAAGGTCAAAAAGGTCTTTTTTCAACTTGCTTCACATTGACTAATTTTTTTTTCAAAATCATCTACATGTTCTCAGAAATTCAAATCTGACTTTAGATTTGACTTTAGATTTGACATTTGACCTTCAAATCTGACTTTAGATTTGACATTTGACCTTCAATGACCTTCTCAAGGTCAAAAAAGGTCAAAAAGGTCTGTTTTCAACTTGCTTCAAATTGACTAAATTTTTTTTTCAAAATCATCTACGTGTTCTCAGAAATTCAAATCTGACTTAAGATTTGACATTTGACCTTCAATGACCTTCTCAAGGTCAAAAAAGGTCAAAAAGGTCTGTTTTCAACTTGCTTCAAATTGACTAAAAAATGTTTTCAAAATCATCTACGTGTTCTCAGAAATTCAAATCTGACTTTAGATTTGACTTAAGATTTGACATTTGACCTTCAATGACCTTCTCAAAGTCAAAAAAGGTCAAAAAGGTCTTTTTTCAACTTGCTTCAAATTGACTAAATTTTTTTTTCGAAATCATCTACATGTTCTCAGAAATTCAAATCTGACTTTAGATTTGACATATGACCTTCAATGACCTTCTCAATGTCAAAAAAGGTCAAAAAGGTATTTTTTCATCTTGCTTCAAATTGACTAAATTTTTTTTTCGAAATCATCTACATGTTCTCAGAAATTCAAATCTGACTTTAGATTTGACATTTGACCTTCAATGACCTTCTCAATGTCAAAAAAGGTCAAAAAGGTATTTTTTCATCTTGCTTCAAATTGACTAAATTTTTTTTTCAAAATCATCTACATGTTCTCAGAAATTCAAATATGACTTTAGATTTGACTTTGGATTTGACATTTGACCTTCAATGACCTTCTCAAGGTCAAAAAAGGTCAAAAAGGTCTTTTTTCAACTTGCTTCAAATTGACTAAATTTTTTTTCAAAATCATCTACATGTTCTCAGAAATTCAAATCTGCCTTTTCGATTTGACATTTGACCTTTAATGACCTTCTCAAGGTCAAAAAAGGTCAAAAAACTCTGTTTTCAACTTGCTTCAAATTGACTAAATTTTTTTTTCAAAATCATCTACATGTTCTCAGAAATTCAAATATGACTTTAGATTTGACTTTAGATTTGACATTTGACCTTCAATGACCTTCTGAAGGTCAAAAAAGGTCAAAAAGGTCTTTTTTCAACTTGCTTCAAATTGACTAATTTTTTTTTTCAAAATCATCTACATTTTCTCAGAAATTCAAATCTGACTTTAGATTTGACCTTTGACCTTCAATGACCTTCTCAAGGTCAAAAAGGTCTTTTTTCAACTTGCTTCAAATTGACTAATTTTTTTCAAAATCATCTACATGTTCTCAGAAGTTCAAATCTGACTTTAGATTTGACCTTCAATGACCTTTTCAAGGTCAAAAAGGTCTTTTTTCAACTTGCTTCAAATTTACTTAATTTTTTTTCAAAATCATCTACATGTTCTCAGAAGTTCAAATCTGACTTTACATTTGACATTTGACCTTCAATGACCTTCTCAATGTCAAAAAAAGTCAAAGAGGTATTTTTTCAACTTGCTTCAAATTGACGAATTTTTTTTTCAAAATCATCTACATGTTCTAAGAAGTTCAAATCTGACTTAAGATTTGTGTGCAACTAGTTTTAACTTGCTTCAGATTGAACAATTTCTTTTTTCAAAATCATCTACAAGATCCCAGAAGCTCAAATCTTCAAAAACATTCTTAAGGTCAAAAGGTATTTTCCAACTTGCTTTAAATTGACCAAATTGTTTTAGGTGGTGACATTTTGTCATGTTAATGCCTTGTTCTTCTTATTTCAAACGCCTCCGTTTCCTTTCTCCTCCAGGAACCAATGAATTCGCAGCCCCATATGAATTCTTCATGATCAGTAAGATAACACTCTACCAGGATATGATGTACTTCATGGAACAAAATGGAGAATTTGTAAAGAACACAGTGGAGGGTGTGAAAAGAGTAGGCATTTCAACTTGCTTTAAATAGAAGCTCAGGAAATACATGTACAAGGGAATTAGTAAATTTGGGTCCGAATTGATTATAGTCCGAGTTGACTTGTAATTTTAAGCTTGCAATGCCTTTGCATTGTGGCGTTTATTTCAACAAAAACAGTTTTGAATAAAAACTAGATAACAGCAACTCCACGGAGTAGCTAATCCCACCGACACATGCAGCCATCATGAAAATTTCATCTTGAACAGGAATCAGCATATAAAATTTGAATTCTTGAACACATTTTCATAAGGTTTACATGCCTGAGTTTACCTGATGAAGATATCTGAACATATTGAAAATTCTTAATCTCAAACAATTTGTTTGTGCACTTGACAACTATTGTTATTATGCAATTGTACATGTTTATTATGAATATATTAAAAGTTAACTTGGGTCAGTAGCTTTAACCAATTTCACTGTCTGACATGTGTACATGTAATCGATCTGTACAAACAGTTTACTTTTATTTGTTGTTCAAATGTTGGTCTGACACACGTTACCTCAAATTCTAAATTCACACATGTCGATTTCAGGTTCGTCAAGGTAACTATGCATTTATTTGGGATGACGTCGTCTTGGATTTCATAGCACAAAGCGAACCATGCAACACAGTCAAAACAGTTGGCAGAAGGTTTGGCAAAATTAGCTTTGGTTTTGGTTTACAGAAGCGCTCTCCTTATAAGCATGAACTATCGTCTCATATTATGCAACTACGAGAGATAGGTTACATTGATGAAATAAAGAAGAAATGGTGAGTAAAATGAATTGTTAAATGCTCTTTATAGTCGGATCTCAAAAATTAAATGCTCCAATTCGTCTAGGATCATATTCTCCAGAAGCTCTCCCACCATAAAAGTTTGTTGTGCTATTGGATAGGTGGATGGACCGTAGCGACTGTAAACACGCAGAAGCATCAGTTGACACATCTGAAGAAGTAGCAGCTACTGGTGGACAATTGGGGATATCTCACATGTTAGGTAGACTACACATTTTGACTATAAAAGATAAATGAATGTATTTTAATTAACATATTAAGCACAGGAGTGTGAAGAAATATAATGATCCTTTTTTATTTACTTATTAAAAGCCCATTATACTTAATCTAAAAGAAAAAATAGTCATTGAAACATGTTACTCACACACTCACTCAAATATGAAACAAAGTTTGATTAGCTTTAATATTGAACCAAGAAAAGAATAACTCACATAGAAAAAAGCATTTGAAGTTAAGAGATCATTAGTAGTACACGCACATGCTAAACAAAGTACATGTCTTAAATTACTTTTGATTTAAAGATGGCGACGCATCAATAAAAATGAATGTATCATGAAATACAAACACCTTCGCCATTTTTCCATGACATTGATAAAAACTTGATATATAAAGATTGACAGATCGAAAGTATTTTTTGATTTATTATTGTAAGCTTTGTTGTGGTTCGTTTGAGCTGTTGTTGGTGTCAAATGAAAGATAAGGTTCTTATCAATACATTGGACATTCTATAAAATTCAAATGTAAGTATTTATTTTGGCTAAAAACATTGAAAATACGCGAAGTGGGCTTTTAAATATTCATTTGTACAAAGAATGCAATACATGATTACATGTACAGTATAAGTGACTGTGCTTTGAGCATTATTAGCCATTATAGCATTTTAGTGGTCCTTAGTAATTGTCGCTTATTGGCAGGAGTTTTCTACATAATTTACGGAGGTCTTGCCACCAGTGTTGTTGTCATGGTGTTGGAATGGATCGTTGCTTCAACAAGTACAAGGAATATTGGTCCTACTAAAATGCAAAAGGTAAGAGATCTTTTATAAATACATGAGTGTTCCATCTTTTTTTCTTCAAAATCTCCATAAGAAATTTGAAACTTTAATTAAGAACCATATTTTTATTGCAATAATTTGAGAAATGTATAGTTCCCCAGAAAGAGGACAGTGGGGTTTTAAGGCCAGGGTGCATGTTCGGAATTTTTCTGCATTCCTCAATTGAGTCACATGTTATTTTTCAAACAGGTAACTCTCCAATATATCCTATGTGTCTATTTCCAGCAAACCCCCCATACTTTCAAAAATGCACTCAAACTAAGACTTGGATTGTTATATCAAGATATAAGAGATGATTGGTTACCTACTATTCCATATTTCTGGAGACGACGTGACAAACATAAACCGTCGGCACGAGAAGAGCTTGGTGACAATCAAGCTTCAATTTCATCACTTAGCACCATGATACCTCCAATAGCAGTACCAGGCTCAACAAAGACATTTAAACTGGTACTACTCCGAGCACTTAAGTCTACTCATACTCATATGCACAAATCAAATAAAAGATATTTAAACATTACAACTGGACCTGGTACTAGTGGAATTGATACCAGTGCTAATTTTACAGTATTTAATGATCCACTAAGTGGCTTAGATAATTCAGATGCCACTGGTGATGTGTCTCCGTGGAGACCGGGGACTAATACATCAAATATACAAATTGATAAAAGCAACTGGTTCCTGAGACAAACCCCAAATTATTTTAATGATGGTGCTAATCATATATGAGGTATAAAAATGGCAAGTCATTCGTTTTTGAGTTCATGTTTCCTCATACGGAATTACACAATTATAAAAATATGACCAATGAATAAAATATATTTTTCATGAACGTCTTTCGAATAGTCAGTCATAGCTTGATGTTTTCTATGATGTATAATGCACTGTACTACTACGGTACTGCGCTATATACTGTACTATACTGTACTGTAATATAATATACAAGTAGTGTAATGTAATGTACAATCAATGTAAAGTAATTCTTTTATTATAATTATTATGTAATAATATTATGTAATCAATAAAACTTATTTGCTTTATTTAATTTATTGACCGTATGCCTGAATCTACCACATAAAAAAGCGTTCAAAATTACTTGTCAATAGAATATCACCTATCTAGCTTGTTTGCCAACTAAAATTCAAGAAGTATTCATCAATTTTAGCGGTATTCATAAAAAGTATCGAAACACATTTTGTTCTTAAAAACGCTTTTGAATTTAATTATCTATTCTGAGAAATTAATATATCATTAGAAAGGAGAACTTGGAAAGGATATGAATGAAATAATAATTTTGAGTTGTTACAACGCTGATGAAAAACTGTACTGCTTACATGAACAGTGGGTAATAGACGGACGCCCAGTCAATTAAATAGAGTCATAGAACATGTACAGATGCTCATTAATGGAAAGATGCTAAAAAATAAAACAAATAACACCTCACTTGATAGGAAGGGACATGAAAATGTCATAGCTGTACAAAAAAAAAAAACTACTATATTTGAAAATCCAAGAGTTTATTATCTTTAAAAATACAATGCTTGACATGTAAATAACATGTAAAATGTTAAAAAATCTAAGTATGTATGGCACATGTAATTTGTCTGTGTTACACACATGTAAAATAAATCTGATACTTAAAAGTCAGAATCACAGATAAAGCAAAAAGGAATGCTGTTGAACAGTAAACAATAATTTTATATGACATGTGCCATTTAATCTGGCAAATAAATTCTCTGCCTCTCTCCTTCCCCACTAATCCTCCAACAAGGGATCTAGATAGTCAGGGGAGAGGGTAGCCTTGCCCAAGTCAGTGTTATCTTTTTCTTATCTTGATTTTCAATTAATATAAAATAAAAAAAATCAATAAGAGTAAAATGAGACCGACTAAGGCAAGGATAGGAGAGGGACCACAGGTGTAAAATTACATTTTCCACTATTATGCATTTCATTAGTAACAATGATTAGACTGAATATCCAGAGAATGTATCATAATTTGAAAAAGATCACAATTTCTTGGATTTTTTCTTGTGGGATGAGAAGTCACTCACATATTTGAACTGGCAGAATAATCTACTGGTCAGTACTTGCATGATCACTTTAGAGTTTTTATTCAGAATACTACTATATGTACTAGGTACCGTAATCGCCCTAATAAGCCCCCAAACCTAATAAGCGCCCACCCGGCTTCAAAGAAATAACGAGGAATGACCCTGGGCGCTTTTTACGGCGAATATGGTATTTATTATTTAACCATGTACTTTGTTCAAAAGTGTCAAAATGTCCATTAACAAAACTAAACCTCTCTCATTTAGTATAGTTCTAGGAGATGCCAAGTGACATTACTTCGCAGCCTCATTCTGATTTTGCCTATAATGCAGCAGACTTCGAGCAGAGATACTACCAACATGTTCCAAAGCTTGAGAAAACATTTTCACAATCTCAAAATTGGTAATAAGTGGGACTCCGTGGTCTATGGATGTACGGCGTATGATGTAGTTGTCCTGGAGTAGCTTGGTATTGTGATTAGGAAGGTTGATAACGAGGTCAATAGAGCCGCCCTCTATCAATCTGAAATGACATAACATACATGCATTATTGATCTATTCATATTTGAAATTAGATATCTATCGAGTGATTTGTTCTGACAATTAATAGGGGATGCACTAAATATTGGCCAATTTGTTTGAGAATATAAATGTACATAAAAACAATAATAAATTGGATCTGAATAAATGTTTTGCCAGTTAATACAATGGAGTGATCTTGATCTTATGAAATATGACTCTAGATGACATAAAATGGCAAAGTACGAATAAATATCACAAAATAAAACCTCATGAATTGATCACCGAAGTTCGTAAATGATTGATAAAAACAACAATTATGGATATGACACCATTATACAGTCAAGAGAAAATATCTCAAATTTGATTTACTTTGTATCATAAGTGAGCATTAAAACAAAGTCAAGGTGAAAGGTAAGTAACATTGAGTATATAAAAAGAAATGATGCCATAGATTCAGCCCAGATCTTAAGGGATAGTGTACTGGATAAACTGCATGTCTCAATAGTATCACAAAATATCTCAATACTGGCAAATTGGCAGCAAGATCGAGCCATATTAAACAATAGTAAAATAAAGTAAACTTTGATTAAGATGAAGTTTACACAAATTTTATTTGGGGTTGTGGTCATTTTGACGAATAGTGGAGTAAATGGACACACTGGAAATACACAGCAACATGGCATTTATGTGATAAAAGATGGAAACAAAATTTCAAAAACTCTAAATTCTAAGAATGAGTCTCCATCTGTGGTGGGAGTAATTCCAAGAGTTCCTGCTACTGTTGACATTGGAGATACATATATTGATACCACCACTACAAATAGCAATTTGGGTTATTCCAAGAGTGTCACAGATTCTAAAAGTGACATCTCTGATTCTAGAAGTGACAAAGATGAATCGAAAAGTGACATATCTGATTCTAGTAGTGACAAGGATGAATCGAAAAGTGACATCTCTGATTCTAGAAGTGACAAAGATGAATCAAAAAGTGACATCTCTGATTCTAGTTGTGACAAGGATGAATCAAAAATTGACATCTCTGATTCTAATAATAGTGGCAAAGATGAATCGAAAAGTGACATCTCTGATTCTAGTAGAGACAAGGATGAATCAAAAAGTGACATCTCTGATTCTAGTAGTGACAAAGATGAATCGAACAGTGACATCTCTGATTCTAATAATAGTGGTAAAGATGAATCGAAAAGTGACATCTCTGATTCTAGAAGTGACCAAGATGAATCAAAAAGTGACATCTCTGATTCTAATAATAGTGGTAAAGATGAATCGAAAAGTGACATCTCTGATTCTAGAAGTGACCAAGATGAATCGAACAGTGACATCTCTGATTCTAATAATAGTGGCAAAGATGAATCATCAAGTTTATCGACTCCAAATACAACAGCTGTTATAGACAGTACAGTGGCTAAAAGTGTCACATCAGCAATTACGCTGCCTGAAAGTATGTCATCTACAGGTTCATTACTGCAAACTGAACTACTTGACATAACAATGTCTAAAAGCACGCCATCTGAAATTATGCCTGCTGAAAATACACCATCTGCAAGTTTACTGCCTGGACAATCATTTAAACCAATTACAAATCCTCCAACAAAACCAACTACACATCCTACAACAAAGCCAATTGAATCAAAACCAACAAGGCATGCTACAATGAAGCAAACTGAACCAAAAGCAACTTCCCCAACAAAACCAACGAGGCATGCTACCCTAACTCAAACTAATGAACCCAAACCAACAAAGTTTCCTGGACAAAACGATCTGATTGTTCCACTTGCAAAATCTGATCATTTTCATGCTGATATTGTGCTGATAAGCCTGCTAGCATCTATTACTATCGCTGTGGTTGCAATTACGGTTGGATTTCTAAAGTATAGAAACGATAGAATCATACAAGCAAACCCCATACATTCAGATACACCAAATAATGATCTATATGCACTGGACTCTGAAAATCCCTCTTCAGTTGAACATATATATCATAGCATAGAAACACCTTCAGGATATGAAGACCAGCCTAGGCCTAGCCCATCACAAGACCCTATCTTTCATACATTGCCACCCTCAAGTGTTGAACCCTGGGTATATTACCATCCAAATAACAGACATATTGACGATCCTGATCCCACTATATACTTTCAGCCACCGAATACCACCTTTAATACCTCAAATGATGATATGTATATCCTTAGGCCTAGCCCATCACAAGACCGTATCTTTCCTACTTTAACATTGCCACATTCAAGCAATGAACCCTGGATAAACTATCATCCAAATAACAGACACAGTGACAGTGATGATACCACAATATACTATCAGCCACCAAATACCATCTTAACCACCTCAAATGGCGATATGTATCCAAGAACTCGAACATTGATGTCAGCTTACGACCCAAATTGGAGTCTGAGATGTTCCTCAAATTATTTCAATGCTGGTAATCTTAACAATTGATATGAGGATGATGTATCAGGACAGGTAAGTTGAATTTATATTTCCCTCTTCTATGTTCCTATAGCAACAGTTAGGAACCCGCTAAAAGATTTTCTAATCTGTCAACTTATTCATCCATTTCTTGAAATACGAAATGAAATATTTATATCAAGCAACTTAGAAATATGCCTTTTTGTGGGATTATAAAGAGATTACAGTGTAATACATGTATAATAGTGCAGTTGTAAATGCTGAATGAGTGCTGGGTTCAGCCTTAAGTGTGTCAACATTGAAAATAAAATCTGATTATATGGGCACCCATGGGATTTTTAAACAAGGGCATTAAGATATCACACCTGGTTGCAATAGACTAGTTGCATGTAGAATTGATCATGATTTTCTTATCAAATATTACAAATATAGACAAAGTGATATCATATTTCAAATCTACATTCAAAATTACATCTAGAAATATGGTTTAAAATTATGTTGATTATTAAGTTTGAAATTTTAGTTTTCTTTGAAAATGTGAATTCTAGGTTGGGCAGATTCCCCATAGAGCTCAGGCTATAAAATCATAAATTAAAGTGAACTAGAAAAACAGCAACTCCACAGAGTAGCAAATCCCACCGAACAAAACATGTTTTTTTATTATTAGTGGCCATCTTCAAAATTCCTTCTTGAGCAGAGCTTGTTTGTCCCTAGGCATCAACATATAAAATGTAAACCATATCTGTAAATTAGCATTTGAGTTATCAAGATTACATTCCTTTTTTACGAAAAATGACAGCCATTTTTAAATTCAGCCGCCCTTTTGAAAATCTTTCTCAAAGAGAGCTACTGTGTCCCTAGCCATCAGCATCTAAAATTTGAACAAAATCCATTCACTGCTATTTGAGTTATCAAAGATTGCATTTTTTACGAAAATTTTTTAAATTCAGCTGCCATCTTGAAAATTTTTTGTCAAACAGACGTTGTCTCTAGGCATCATCATTTAAAATTTGATCCAAATTCGTTCACTGGTATTTGAGTCAAAGTAGTATCATGGAATATTTTTTTTTACGAAAAATGGCCACCATTTTGATATTTAGCAGCCATTACTATGAATGTCTTCTTCAGTGTAGCTCCTTTGTCATGTAAACCAAATCCGTCAACTAGTATTTGAGTTATCAAAGATTACATTTTTTAATGAAAAACGGTGGCCATTTTGAAATTCAGCCGCCATCTTGAAAATTCTTTTGTGAACAAATCTACTTTTTTCCTAGACATCATCATATAAAATTTGAACCAAATCCGTTCACTGGTATTTAAGTTATCAAAGATTACGTTCTTTTTACAAAACTGCCGCCATTTTGATAATTAGCAGCAATTTTGAAAATCTCTCCTTCAGCATAGCTCCTCTAGGCATCAGCATATAAAATTTTAACCAAATCTGTCAACTAGTATTTGAGTTATCAAAGATTAAGTTTTTTGTGAAAAATGGTGGCCATTTTGAAATTCAGCTGCCATCTTCAAAATTGTTTCTTGAACAAATCTACTTTGTCCCTGAGGCATCATCATATAAAATTTAAACCAAATCTGTTCACTGGTATTTGAGTTATCAAAGATTGCGTTTTTTTATGAAAAATGGCCGACATTTTGATATTTAGAAGCCAAAGGTTATATTTTTTACAAAAAATTGTGGCCATTTTGAATTAAGCGGTCATATTGAAATTCCTTCTTGAGCAGAAGTTCTACCCCTAAAAGGCATAAGCCTATAAAATTTGAATCAAATCCGTCAACTGGTATTTGAGTTATCACCGAAACAAACGTACGGATGAACGGCTTTCCTATATCCCCCTCGAACTTCTATGTATTGGAGAGATAATGTTTTCTTTTAAAACTCAAACAGGTGAAATGAAAATTGGTCAAATAAATAAATGAAGTATAAATTATAGGGATCATTTTCCTATTACTGTCATGTTATTTGACTAGCCACCTAGTGGTGAAACTGGAACCTACTGGAACCTTGGTAATTATAAAATTGTTAATATTAATGGTAGCTATTTTTTAATCTTTCAACACTTCTTGGTGGTGATATTCAATGAAACCTAGAGTACACAATGCCAAACTGTCTACAAAAATCATGCTTTACTGTGTACTGTAAAACGGGTATTGTTAGCGAGGGGTAATTGTTAGCGATCGCTATAGTTTCGCTAAAAATTCAATTCGCTAAAATAAACCGGGGTTAAAATAAACCGGGCGCTAAAATTTGCAAATTCCCGGGAAACTACATGAATATTAGTATTTAAGGAGCTTTTCGTTCAGTGCTCGACTTCCGGTTTGTAATTTGAAAAAGGTAAATATTTTTAAATCGTATGTTTCTTTCAATATCTGAAGGATAAATAGCCATCCATCCAGTTTGGACCAATACCATGTGCGTAAGAAGTCTTACATTTTGATAATTCCTCTGTCATGTCCGTTATTCATTCTTCTGCCATAAATGATAAAATTTCTAATGCATTTCACTAATTTGATTTTTTAAAGATTAATCTTCATTTTGCTAAAATTTCCCGCGCTAAAACCCCCTAAAATTGAAAAATCGCTAAAATTTCCCGGTGTCAAAATTACCCGTTTTACAGTATCCTTTTGCAAGCAATTAATTTGATATTGTTAAAGTTGCATGATAAAACACACATTTACATGTCTACATCATAGCACCTTGAACCCTAAAATATTCAAAATGTAATTTCAGTTATTTGCATACACTTGACAAGGGTGTAACCAATACTTCATCACTCTTAATATGCATCTAATAATAAAACTGTACATGATAAATGGAATTCCCAAATGGCAAATACCCATATACGATGGCCAGGATGTTCCGGTAACAAACAATAAAGAAATAAAACTGCATTACAACAAGTTTGACATTAGTTCAATGTTCATAAATAAGTACAATAAAACCTGTATATCTCAACAACTCTCTTATCTAAAAACCTCTCAAGGTGAACAATGTTTTTCAATGCCATGTCCAAAAGATTAGCACTATAAAAAAAAAGATTTGAATTGTGATGTGAACATCCATCGAGCACAATACTTTCAGATGATCCCAATGGCATGCATTCAGATAAGACAATTTTTACTGTATTTCCATTGCAAAAAGACCCAAAAGACAAATTCACAGCTCTCTTCTTAAAATTAATGAAACACTTAAAAAAATATATATATAGGTTTCCATCACAAAGCTATGAAAAATATTATAATCTCAATAGCCCACTAAATCTTCAAATCATCACTTCACCAACATTCTTCTCAAAAATATGAGTCATGGAAATACAAAGATATAAACATTTCAAAAATTCTATCAGCAATGGAAGTAGTTGTTATATCAATAGCATTTTCCTTACTTTTATATAAGAAACTGGTCTGTATTGAGATTTTAAAATATGCCACCTATCATTTGCAGATTATCTGATATGCAGAATGCAGGGATGTAGATGTAGGAACAGCTGGTCTGATAAGTGGAGGATTGCAATACTAGACAAGTGAGGATTGCAATCTTGATTAAGTGAGGAATCCCAATATTGGACAAGTGAAGATTCCACTGTCGGACAAGTGAGGATTGCTATGTCGAACTAGTGAGGATTGCTATGTCGAACTAGTGAGGATTGCCATGTCAGACATGTGAGGATTGCAAGGACAAGTGAGGGATTGCAATATTGGACAAGTGAGAATTGCAATGTCAGCCAAGTGAGGATTGCAATATTGGACAAGTCAGAATTCTAATATCAACCAAGTGAGGATTGCAATATTGAACTAGTGAGGATTGTAATGTGGGACAAGTGAGGATTGCAATATTGAACGAGTGGTTGGGAAATTGCAAAGTCAGACAAGTGGGTGATCACATTAACCTGTTGCACCTCAAAATACGAGACAAAAGTAGCAAAAATATGAACATTGATTGTTTCAACTTGTACATACTTAGTTCCTATTGGAGCCGGAGAATCAGACACTGGATTATCTGCAAAAGTCCATCCTACAGTCTGTGCTGGTATATTGTGGGCATTAAGGTATTTTGCAGTTGCAGATGTTGCAAACAACTAAAATTTAAATACATACAGCATAAAGAATATGTTTGCGGTTCCATACATCGGAAAAGCAAGCAAAATATTTAAGCAATATCAATTTATGGCTTAGGTACTAGTAACTGCAATTGACAGTTAATATTTAGAATATAATTTTATATGAAGTGAATATTTCAGAAAATTGATGCAATAAAATAAACTATGAAAAAACAAAACAAGGCATTAACATGACAAAATGTCACCACCTAGTGGCTCACAATATTATGAGTTCAATCTTAAGTCGGATTTCAATTTTTCTGAGAACTTGTAGTAAAGATGATTTTGAAAAAAAATTGGTCAATTTGAAGCAAGTTGAAAGAAGACCTTTTTGACCTTGAGAGGGTCATTGAAGGTCAAATCTTTATTTGACATCGAGCAGCTTATCGAAGGTCAAATCTCAAATCTATAGTCAGCAGATTTGAACTTTTGAGAATTTGTAGATGATTTTGAAAAAGATGACCTTTTTTTACCATGACAAGGTCATTGAAGGTGAAGGTGAGCTCTAAACTAAAGTCAGATTTGAACTTCTAAGATCTTGTAGATGATTTTGAAAAAACATTGGGCAGTTTGAAGCAAGTTGAAAAAAGACCTTTTTGACTTTTTTTGACCTTCAGAAGGATAATATGTTCAATGTATAACTTAGTTGTATTTTATTGATTTATTGATTGGTAATAAAAAATAAAAATCGCTCTTAAACATCTGCATGTATTAAGTTTATTGAATACTCTCAGATCTTCACTCCGTAATGTAAATTAAAGGCTGCATGTTTTTTTTACAGAACATACAAAATTCCTTTAGATGAGTTTATTCATGCATACAGTAAATGCAGGAAACAAGAATGCGATAAACTCAAGACTGAAACTTTACAATGAGATAACAGAAATTTTCATGAAAATGACCAGGTTTTGGTGAGGATTGTAAATCACTACAATTGTAAATCAAAAAAATGTTCATTGGTTAGATATGTTTATATTTAGAAGTTAATTTGCTGATGAAGTGAAGGTAAATTTAGATTTGAGGAATTCTTTAACACTTACATTGTACCCTAACTCTTGAAATTTCTTGGCAGCGGGAAGGAAAACAGGCTGGAATGAAGCTTGGATACCTGGAATATAAAAAAAAATATAAAATTTTGATAATGAACTCATCAAATAATAATCATTCGCTTGATGTTCAATTAAAAACTTTGCCAAACAAGTTTTACAATTTTCAACAGTCAGTTCTGTCAATGATTTTAAATAGTACAGTGTATCTCTTCTTCTGATTGTTTGTAAATAAGGTAATGCACGGTACTGTGCCACGTGAATGTTGGTGCTTACCTATGAGAATGTTACCATTAGGTTTGGGCAGTTTAAAACCTGTAGACATCATTGCCTTCAAGAATGCTGTGTACACATTAGTACCAAAGCATGCCACCTGGAAAATCCATGGATCATTTCTTAAAGTGTGTTAAACTTTAAACAATCTTGATTCAATTCATTTATTGCTAATAATATATATGGTTTACATAATAAGACATAGTAGGTGGCAATCTACTCAGTTATTAAATTGTTGATATAATGTATTATTGCCTTTCATTAGCAAGGGTTATTTGCAACTGCATGTGCTTCCTGTTAAGAAAAACATTGAGTCGGGTGATACATTTACATTTCAAAAAGTTCAATGTGACATTCTATTGATTATAAAGCATACCTCTCCTGTGGATGACATTTCACACCTCAGCAGTGGGTCAGCACCTCGTAGCCTTGGCCATGAGAACATGGGGGCCTGGAACAGTAGAGATTTTAATTCAGAAGGAAAGGAATATAAGTATCAAAGCAGCAGTTTAGCCCATCATAAGCTCATAGGAATCAATCCGTCAATTATCAATGTATAAATTTTACCAGACTTTAAACAATTTCCCTCAAAGAGGTGCTATGTATAGTTAATGATTACATGAAAGTTAATGTCCATAATCTAAACAATAAGGGAAGGGATAAATATAACATTTCTCATGTTAAAGATATCTCTCTTTACCTTGATTCCTACATAATCTGTTGGGTTATGTGGGTTGTCTAAGGTTGGGAGGCTGGCTATATCAAGTTCCTCTCCCATCATCACCTTGGTAGCAACAGCAATCAAGTCAGTACCTATCGTCTTGGAGACAAAGGGGAGGGAACGAGATGCCCTGAGATTGCATTCAATCACCTGAAGGCAGACAACAGATACAGATATACAGTAACATTTTTTTCAATTTCTAAGTAATTTTATTTCATTTTTCATACAGAAATAACACATAAAATAAACAGGCTATTGCACATTGACTATTTGACTAGTATTACTGTATTATTTTAAAATGTGTTAAGAAAATGGATTAAGAAAATGGATTAAGAATTTTCGGAACTAAGATTTCTTATGTCGCTGCATTATAGCCATGTAGTGAAATCCTCAAACATAAATAAGGTACTGATTGCATTCATACCTTGACATCATTGCCTCGTGCCAGGAACTGCATGTTAAACGGTCCACTGATCTCAAACCTTTCAGCAATCTTCTTTGTAATCTCTATGACCTGGAATGATGCAGTAAAGAACACATCACATTTGGTTATAGTTGCATTAAAAGAACATATTAAATGAAACGGCTGACATGTTACATAATCTAATGATCAGTATATAGAATCCATATATCAAAGTAACATTATTTATTCCATAGTTAGCATGATATTCATAGGATAACATGTGAAAATAAAAACGGTATTTTCGTAATCAGTGGTAAAATATGATATTTTTGACAAATTTTCACTTAACCATAACATACGGTTTTTTAGCCATGACATACGACGTCGTATGCGATGGTTTATGGATTTTTGCTACTTCAGACTCAAAACGAGGCTAAGTGTCAACATCGCCGGATCGTTTGGAAATTCGAATTAAATAACTTAATTTCCGACGATTCTAATGATGACTTTAACTATGGAATAAAAAGAACATCCTATGATTTACTCGTGATATGATTTTAATCCACTCATGGATATTGATATCTACACTCTCTCGCTACGCTCGCTCGTGCAGATATCATATCCATTCGTGGATAAAAATCATATCACTCATAAATCATAGGATATCCTCTATTTATCCCATGATTAATGTGTTATCTGTACAATAACAGCTACTGATATTTCTGATATCATTGAAATCCGTGTGATATTTTCCAGAAAATCGTTTATCAAACCCATATGCGTGTGATATCGTTTATCTCACGCATATCTGTGTGATATCACATTTGCATTTCGCGCCACAATATTGTTGGAAATTAGGTCAGATAATTTATTCTCTTTTGAGAAAATAGGTCCGTTAATTTATTCTCTTTAAGTTTCATTGGTGTATTAAATAACGATTGTGTATATAATTTGAGTAGAAGGCTGCTAAATAACGATTAAAAAATTGTATTTATGACGAACTATATCACAAGGTGATCGTAATCATGGGATAAACCCAATATCACATAATTTCTCGTGATATCATTTTATCGCCTCGTAGATATCAAATATCAACACTCATTCGCTTCGCTCACTCGTGTTGATATTTGATATCAACTCGGCGATAAAAATGATATCACTCAAAATGATGTGATATTCTGTATATATGTTATCTGAAGAATGTAGTTTTATTTTCTTACTCCATTACTACTTTTACTGTAATTAAAATAGTAATTGTTGGATTTTGGCCTTAAAAGGGCATCAGTGCAAATAAAATGATATATTATTGGTCTATATATGCCAAGTATGTTTTGTGTTACTCAAATACTTATTATAAAATTACAAGATGTAATTCAGAATTTCTTTTTTACAGTTTGAAATGAAGTCCAGTATAAATTTTGAATTAATTCAAAAGTCCAGTTACCTTTTCTTTCTGTATATCAGTAACACTGTGGGTGGGTAGCATGAGTGTAGCATCTCCACTGTGGACACCAGCATTTTCAACATGTTCTGATATAGCATGGCCTACAACCTGCAATAGAAATATCACTCTGCTTAGGATTTCTGAGTTCCCTGGGAATAGTTCTATAGTTTCACCCATGGTTAAATAATTAAAAAGGTAAAAGTCTAACCTAATTACAATCAAAGAAACATATATTCATACATTTACAAAATAATCAATATTTAATCAACAACATTTCAATCTTTCATCATTTCAATATTGACACTGACCTTTCCATCCCGTGCAACTGCGTCCATTTCTATCTCACGGGCACCCTGTATAAACTTGGTGATAACTACAGGGTGTTCCTGGGACACCTGGCTGGCCTCCACTAGAAACTTCTTCAGCTCCTCAGGCCCATAAGCAACATTCATCGCAGACCCACTCAAGATATATGAGGGTCTCAATAAACAGGGGTAGCCTACATGGGCCGCAAAGTCCAAAGCTTCATCCTAAAACATAATAATTAAAGTTACCAGTTACTCTCAAGATCATTTTTCAAAAGGATGAGCAAAAAAATTAAATTTGAAATCTAGAGCTATCTTCTAACCAGAAGCTGTGGAATTGATAAAGATAGGAACTGTATCCGCAGGGCTTGATTATAAGAAAATTTTTAATCAATAGTTAAGGTTTGACATACCAGTGACGAAAGTGCCTTCCATGGTGCCTGATCACAACCAATCTCATCTAGTATAGCAGAGAACACAGATCTTTCCTCAGCATTGTCAATCATAAGTGGGCTGGTTCCAAGCACCTTCACACCATTGTGATAGAGCGGAAGGGCCAGGTTATTGGGTATTTGGCCTCCAACAGATACCATTACACCACTACTTGCCTTAAATACAAGAAAATCAATATTATGCAAGTGATTCTCAGACAATAATAGGTGCAACAATTTCAAATTTGGAATTGAAATTTCGAGTATTTTCACATAAGACTTCAGTTATAGCTAAGGCATTCATTGCAAGTCTTTTTATTAGTAGTTGAAGTACATCAGTAATTCTTTATGAGATTTCCTGAGGATATGTTCAAATTACATAAACATAATCTAATCTATATTGGGAATATACACAAACCCTTGTGTCACCTACTCATTGTATACTATATTGTATGTGTGTTTATGAAATAAACAAATTGAGAAAATTGAATCATGTATGAAATACCACTGTAAGAAGTTTCACTTTTTGTGAATGAAAATTTCAATAAATGCAATAATTTCCATAAAATGCATACATACCTCTATCTGGTATATATCAAGCACTCTTTCAAGAGATAGCTCTTCAAAATAGAGTCTGTCACATTCATCAAAATCAGTGCTCACAGTCTCTGGGTTGTGGTTCACTACAACGGTCTTCTTCCCTAAAACACATCAAAACATTTGTGGATAGATGTACACCATGAAGACCACTCACATTTTAAGCTATTTTTATTTTTCATATAATACTGGTGCCCCCGTACCATTTCTAATCAATATGTATCATATATTTATATAAGTGACTAAGAAATCAATTATACTGTAAACAAATGTTTTTACTGTGAATAAAAAAGATGTACACCATCATGGGCTTTCAAGAGATACCATGAATGGATACAAATCACAATACTCATGAATTCATTTCATGAATGCTTTTTTTCAAATATTGTTTTATTTCAATTTAAGATATTAGAGATACAGTCACTTAAAATCTTGTCATGTTCAATTTGGTTTTAAAAAATACAATTCATTCGTAAGTTTCTGAATGGCTATTTATTTTAACAAATAAAAAAACAAGACACACAGTGATAAATATCGCACTTTGAAGAGCAAACTGGCCACCATGCAATTTACCCAGCATGGCCAAAACCTAATCAGACCTTGGCACTAGTCTGCTCTTGCATCTGTAAACATTTCAAGTTGACAAGGTTAGCGGTTTTCCTGCAATTTTGATGACAAGAATTTATTTGTAGTCTGGAACTTTGGGAAAATTTAGATAACATCGTTTGTGACCTAATTTGATGACCTTCGACCTTGAAAATTTAACTTTTTCAGACCTCAGTAGGTGTTTTGTAATTAAGCTGACCTAAATTTAAATCCAAAATATCAATTTAGAAAATCAACTTTTTTGACCTTTTCAAGGTCACTGAAGGTGAATGAAAGGTCAAATCTGAAATCTAAGGTCAGATTTGAACTTCTGAGAACTTGTAGATGTTTTTAAAAAAAATTGGTCAATTTGGAGCAAGTTGAAAAATTCAAAATGGCCGCCAAATTGAAAAATTCAAAATGGCCACCATGTAATTCAGCCAGCATACCCAAAACCTAATCAGATCTTGGCAATAGTCTGCTCTTGCATCTGTAAAAATTTCAAGTTGAACAGATAAGTGGTTTTCCTGGAATTTTGATGACAAAATTTGTTGAAAAATTCAAAATGGCCGCCACGTAGTTTACTCAGCATGCCCTTAACCTAATCAGATCTTGGTACTAGTCTGCTCTTGCATCTGTAAAAATTTCAAGTTGAACAGGTAAGCAGTTATCCTGGAAATTTGATGACAAGATTTGGTTTATGTCCCGCCCGCCCAACAGCACAAGACGACGGCAATATAGCACTTTTTCAAAGTGCGATAAAAATTGGCTATTCTAGACACTCAAACTTGGTTAATGACATAAAACATAGTACTCACCCAATCCTCTAAGGGTACGTATAGCTGATACTCCACACCAGTCAAACTCTACACTGCTTCCTATATGGTATGGCCCACAGCCCAAGATCATGGTCCCACTGTCTTCAAATTTTACATCATGTTCCTACAAGCAAAAAATAACAGGAATCACCACAAGGCATTAACATGCAAAGTGTCAATGCCTGCCATTTGTTACAGATGTTGGATTCCGAATGCCATTGGCCGAACACCATCCACAAAAAAGTTGAATACTACAACCATTGGCCGAAAACCATCCACAAAAAAGTTGAATACTACAACCATTGGCCGAACACCATCCACAAAAAAGTTGAATACTATAACCATTTGTCACAGCTTTTTGTGGTGACATGATAAACATTATCAACAATTGACATAAAAGATATGTATACTGAATACAAGGTGTGGCATATCAATTCTGGCTTGTATCTAGTGGTTCTTACTCAGAAAAGCTGATTTTTCGCGAAAGGATTCAGTATAGGAAAGGAAAATAACAACTGGTCTGTGGGTAGGATTGACAACAAGCCCTTAATTGATCATAATGTACCCTGTCTGTACTGTATACTCTATTGCACCGAAAAAGTGGAGCAAATTTCAAAAAACTTTTTGTTTAATTTCTAGATTGGATTAATACAAAGAGAGTTCAATGGGTTTAATGATCCATTTTGGAACAATGTGTATATGGACTTACCATGCCATTGTATGAGCAGTAGAGATAGTTAGTCACTGCAGGGTATTCTGCTGCCATGGTGTCAATCTGTAACACACAATTACATAATATAACAGACTTCTTACACGCTCATTCTTCTTTTCCTTTAAATCACAGAGTTCTTGTAATTAATAGCACTATTATGCTGCCTTTGGGCACATGCTACAGAAAACAATTCACACTTGCGTGATTGCAATCATCGTGCATCATATTCTAAAAAGAAATCAACTGATTGAAAAATAAACTCATTCCATATAATGTTCATTAGAAAAATTCAGTTAGTCATGTATTGATGATAAGTGTACTGATTTGAATCTCAAGAACACAGTGTGTTCACGGGATGAGTGTACTGATTTGAATCTCAAGAACACAGTGTGTTCACGGGATGAGTGTACTGATTTGAATCTCAAGAACACAGTGTGCTCACATAGGATGAGTGTACTGATTTAAATCTCAAGAACACAGTGTGTTCACAGGATGAGTGTACTGATTTGAATCTCAAGAACACAGTGTGTTCACATAGGATGAGTGTACTGATTTGAATCTCAAGAACACAGTGTGCTCACATAGGATGAGTGTACTGATTTAAATCTCAAGAACACAGTGTGTTCACATAGGATGAGTGTACTGATTTGAATCTCAAGAACACAGTGTGTTCACATAGGATGAGTGTACTGATTTGAATCTCAAGAACACAGTGTGTTCACGGGATGAGTGTACTGATTTGAATCTCAAGAACACAGTGTGTTCACGGGATGAGTGTACTGATTTGAATCTCAAGAACACAGTGTGTTCACGTAGGATGAGTGTACTGATTTGAATCTCAAGAACACAGTGTGTTCACATAGAATGAGTGTACTGATTTGAATCTCAAGAACACAGTGTGTTCACGGGATGAGTGTACTGATTTGAATCTCAAGAACACAGTGTGTTCACGGGATGAGTGTACTGATTTAAATCTCAAGAACACAGTTTGTTCACATGTAACCTTCAATGATGATGTTTCATACCAACTCACCTGTTTCACCCATGGCTTGACTCCTCTTTCTACTCTGAGATCACGCGCCTCTTTCTCTGAGATTCCAAATATTCGTCCTATTTGCTTGTCTGAAAAGCCTGCAGCCTTCATGATTCCCAAGTCTTCTGTGGTCACATCATCCCTAAAGAGAGAATTGCATTTTAGAAAAGGATGTTCCACGGAATTTTCAATTAAATTAAATTAAATTAAATTTTATCTGATTACATTTTCGTAAAATATAATTCTCTGAGATCCTAACAAGCAACAGGAAAACGAAAACTTTAAAAGCCATATATTTGTATTAGTATGATTTCTTAAGCCAGAGACTTCTAATGTAGCAATTTTTGACAAAAGTGGGCATGGCACTTCTTCACAGGATCGCAGACAAAAATGTATTTATTATTTTCTTAAATTCAAATAAATAGGTTGGTACATGTCGTACTCCACCTTTTAAAATTTATGAAGATAATTTCTAGACAACAATATAATAGTGAGAGTACATATGGCTTTGTATGAAGGTTAGGAAAACCCTATTGTTTTGTGGATGTAAACTTACTTAGTGTGGGTACCCAGGTCTTTCTCCAATAGCACAATTCTTTGTAGTTTATGCAAGAACCAGGGGTCTATATTGGTGAGGTTATGAATCTCATCCACTGTGTAACCCCCTTCTAAGGCCTGAAACAATCATTGGTATTAAATATAAAAATATAACACTTTTGGTGGTGAAATGAATATTCGACTTCAAAAAATAACATAAACTGGTATATCAGTACTGTATAATGACTGAGTTCAATGTTTATCTTATTTTTTGTTTATCTTATTTTTTGCTAATTCCACTAAAATATAATAGATGGGGCCTTTCCAAAGGAGGGATGACTGTACCTTGGCTATACTGTGTATTCTGGTGTTGTTGGGGGTTGTCATGGCAGCATCCAGTTTGAAGTCACTTGGGTATTGTTTACCAGCAGGTAGAGTGGAGCTGAACCCTGTCATGGTAGGATGGGTCATGCGTAAAGCCTTCTGGAGGCTCTCTTCAAATGTCCTACCAATAGCCATCACCTAATGGAGAAACACATGCAGAATAAGGCACATAAGTCATAACTCAAATGCAATACATAGAGGATATCCTATGATTTATGAGTGATATGATTTTTATCCACGAATGGATATGATATCTGCACGAGCGAGCGTAGCGAGAGAGTGCAGATATCAATATCCATGAGTGGGTAAAAATCATATCACGAGTAAATCATAGGATGTTCTTTTTATTCCATAGTTAAAGTCATCATCAGAATCGTCGGAAATTAAGTTATTTAATTCGAATTTCCAAACGATCCGGCGATGTTGACCCTTAGCCTCGTTTTGAGTCTGAAGTAGCAAAAATCCATAAACCATCGCATACGACGTCGTATGTCATGGCTAAAAAACCGTATGTTATGGTTAAGTGAAAAATTGTCAAAAATATCATATTTTACCACTGATTACAAAAATACCGTTTTTATTTTCACATGTTATCCTATGAATATCATGCTTACTATGGAATAAATAGAGGATATCCTATGATTTATGAGTGATATGATTTTTATCCACGAATGGATATGATATCTGCACGAGGGAGCGTAGCGAGAGAGTGCAGATATCAATAACCATGAGTGGATTAAAATCATATCACGAGTAAATCATAGGATGTTCTTTTTATTCCATAGTTAAAGTCATCATCAGAATCGTCGGAAATTAAGTCATTTAATTCGAATTTTCCAAACGATCCGGCGATATTGACACTTAGCCTCGTTTTGAGTCTGAAGTAGCAAAAATCCATAAACCATCGCATACGACGTCGTATGTCATGGCTAAAAAACCGTATGCTATGGTTAAGTGAAAATTTGTCAAAAATATCATATTTTACCACTGATTACAAAAATACCGTTTTTATTTTCACATGTTATCCTATGAATATCATGCTAACTATGGAATAATATCAGTTATCACACGTTTCAGCATGTGATACAGGAAATATTCCACGAAAGGTAAGACTGTATCATCCACGAAAGCGAAGCTTGAGTGGTGATACATTGTTACCCGAGTGGAATATTTCCTGTATCACATAAGCTGAAACGTGTGATGACGATTTTATCACATGTCTAGGAATTTTGAAGCATTTTGATTTGGTTATGCATGGATTGTGTTCAGCCTGTACTCCCAGTAACTATTATAATTTTTATTTCACTTTGAAACAATATAATCACATCATACCGTTGTATTCGTACTTGTTTGTGAAATAGTATGACGTCATATTGTTTTCCTTAGCTAGGAAGTGATATAACCAATAACGTCACATCGTTGCTATTGACTCCGTAGTGATACAGCCCACCGTATCACATGAAAATTAGTCACGTGTCATGTGATACGGAATATACATCATCACAATTGACCAATCAAAATGCTTAGACACTCCTAATCATGTGATAATAACCCATACATAGACATACTAGTTATAGCCAGGAGGCATTTTATGAAACATTGAAGTGTAATATCCTTTTGGCTTAAGCTTTACTCAATAGATGTGATTCCAAGCACATTTTTAATTTTGTTACCCATGTACTATATTACAAAAACGTTTCACTTCAACTTTTTGTTTTTCTTGAATAGAAATAAAATATGAATAAAATCTGAAAACATCATTAAAAATATGAAAAGAAAATACAGAAAATGTCAGCATTGTTTTTTTTATTCAGTTGTTAAAAGATGATTATCTGTGGGTTCAAACATGGGGCATGTCACTAAGAAAACGGGCCAATGATTACATATTTACAACAGGATAATCACACATCCTAGTTTTCTGCATGAGAAAAATGCAAATTCTGCGCAGAAATTCTGCATGAAAAAGCCAAATTCTGCACCAAAGTCTGCATGAAATCTAAAATTCTGCACCAAATTCTGCACGGGGAAAAGTGAAATTTTGTGGTTCAAGTATGTGCAAAAAGTGAAATTCTTGCTAAAATCAATAATTTTCTCCAGAAAATGAATAATTCAAAATTCTTGAACTCCACTCATGCTGCTTTATTCAGCGATAATGGACAACTGCAGTAATAACACCAGATGCAATTTTAATCAATTAGCGACAAAACTTACCAAATGCTCACTTCTGAACTATCACGAAATTCGAAGTATCACGAAATTCCAGATCAATATGCAGGGAATTCAGATGTCGTTTATTTATATATGACGAAGTAAAACGCAAGAAGAAGCATGATTTATTGCGTTAGAATACAAAATAATACAATATTAGACATATTATTGCAAAACAATTACGAGGGACAGTCATCGGTTTCAAATTTCGTGATTATGTTAGACGCAGTCTTACCTCTAAGTGCAAAGGCGGAAGTTCGAGAATTTTAAACAGATTTCAGATTCCCTCTTGAAAATCTGACAAAACACAAGTATCTGACAACAAACGAGCGGAGTCTTTGGGTGTTTAGGTGAGTGACAAATATGAGATGAGATGGTTGACTGGAAAAATCATGTTTTCCGCGAAATTCCGTGCCAAAACAAAAATTCTGCAAAAAAAATGAAAATGCAAATTTCTGCGGTTTTTCTGCGGCGACGCGGAATCACGGAATACTAGGATGAGTGGATAATCCCTACATCCCAAACATAACAATGAACCCCCATTACCTCTCCAACACTCTTCATGCTGCTAGTGATCTCCTTAGATGTATGCTGAAATCTATCAAGATCCCAACGAGGGATCTTGGTGACAATATAGTCCAGGCTAGGTTCAAAACATGCTGTTGTAGACTGTGTGGTGGCATTCTTTATGTCTGGGAGTAGCACACCTAGGGAAAGCTTGGCTGCGATGAATGCAAGCGGATAACTGGAAAGACAAAGTTATGATTTTGACCAAGGAAAATAGCATATTGATTGGTGGCTCCAATATGATATTTTCTGAGCTATAAAAATGTTTGAGTATTTCTGTATGTCTGAACATGTCCAAATAAATAGAGTGAAACCTGTAAAGTGGAACACCTCTGTTAGTGGAGTCTGACCAAGTGACTTATTGTTAAATAAATGAGCCTCTCTAAGTGAAACCAAAGATGTTAAATTAGATATGTTTTTTTTAGATATGTACAACTTACCCTGTGGCTTTAGAGGCCAGAGCTGAACTCCTGGATAACCTTGCATTGATTTCTATGATGCAGTACTCCAAAGAATGTGGATGGAGGGCATACTGGATGTTGCACTCCCCAACAATTCCAAAATGGCGCACAACCTACAACAAAGTACATTGATATTCAGGCTGGATCTCATCAAAGAATCAAAGCACACTAAACATCATCCTCCTAAGCAGGTATCCAGAATCCGTATCTCCTTCTTCCCCCTGCTATAACCAATTTGGAAGCACCCGATTAAACTGAATCACGTGATCTAATTATGCGCAATGACTTATACATGATTTCTGTCGCAGTGTTACAACAGCCAATCAGATTGCGAGTTCTTAATCGGGGAAATGCTAACTGCTTATCGCAGGGGGTAAAAAGAAAGAATATATTCTGGATTTTGAAGCCCTGTGATGATCGGAGGATGACTAAACATTGAATTTAATTTACTATTGATCCAACCCTTTCTCATAAAGATGACAAGGAATTAACATGTAAAATGTCACCACCTACTATTTGTTACTGACACAAAACGCCAAATACCAACGACTTAACAGCATCAACACAAAAGTAGGAGACTATAATAATATGTCAAAATTTTAAGTGGTGACATAAAAACTTGATTTCTAAGCATTTTCTTATCACTGAGACTGCCCACTGGTGAATTGCCTTTGACAAACAGCCAAAAGGAAAACCTGTCTAATCTGAAGTGGGACAACCAAAAATGTTTTGATAAAGTAGGTGTTCATATTTTGAGGTTGCGATCAATGAAGAGTAAAAATTTGCATGGAAGACATAGTGTTAAGCTTTAGATTGGACATGTATTTCGACATATAGGTGTCACTGAATATACATACCTTAAGGGCAGTTTCTCTCAACATGTGGTACTCAGTGTTAGATAGAGTCTGACTTGGAGCAACAACAATAGAATCTCCTGAAACAGAAAATATTAGAAATTATAACAAGCAAAATGAATAATTATAATCATTAATTATATTAAAGTGACAAAATGTGGTAATGGGACTGCATTCATTTGAAATTCTAGTATTTAAGTAGTTTTATGAACATTATGAACAATTTCTAAGTAAATTGTGAATGTTTTTCAAATACTGGATGAGAATGTAAATATTCCACACAGATTGGAAAGCACATGGTTATATTCTTCAATCAACACATCAAACATCTCAATCTTAGTGTATGTTTAAGTATGGCATGTATCTTGGACACTCAACCACCAGACACTGAACTCCAGCCATCGTCCATTCAGGAAAGATGGAACCGAATGGATAATGCAAGAGCCCTGCATTTGGAGAATGCAACATGCTTGCTTCAGTCTCTATACCAGGGAGCCATAACAGAAACTTCATAAAGTTCATTGGACTCAATATGTCCATTGTTACAACAAGTGATTAACGAACTCAGAACTTTACAAAGTTTCTGTTAATGACCTCCAGCATATTACTGTATAAGCGGTAATTTTTCCTAATCATTTAATTTGCCTATTTCCTAATTTTTGCCAGGTTCGGAAAATTAAATGTCGGAAATATTGCCTTTATAATGTTATCCAATGGGAGGTTTCTTGTCATTAGGAAAATTAACATTAAGAAAATGATGAAATTTGACCATTCGGAAAATTAACCACTCGGATTGAATACCACTTATACAGTATCTTACCTGTATGTACTCCCATAGGGTCAAAGTTTTCCATGTTGCACACAGTGATGCAGTTATCAGCAGCATCTCTAACAACCTCATACTCCACTTCCTTCCAGCCTAACAGAGACTTCTCAACTAGCAACTGACTGGTCAATGCAAGAGCCTATAGAGAAATAATGTTAAGTGTAAATGGTCTATTTAATAATTGCAATACAGAGACTTCAAGTCAAAAAAATTTAAAAATAAAGTAGTCTTCTGACACAGTCTGAGTCAATTGCCACACATCCTTGTATTCTGGATGGGAAAAAGTCAACATCTGCACAGAAATTCTGCATGAAAGTCAAATCCTGCATGAAATCCCAAAGTCCGCGATAAATTCTGAAAGCAATGGCTTCATCTGAACTGTCACAAAATTGCAGGAATTCAAATTTCGAGACATTAGATATAATCTTTGAAATCCCTCTGAAATCCTCATAACACCAGTCTCTGATGACAAATGACTAAGGTGTCAAGGTGAGTGACAAATATGAGATGAGGTGGTTGACTGGAAAAATCAAGACAGTATACCCCCCACCCAATGTGCTTCACATTCACCAACACAACAACTGGTGAAGTTGAAGAACAATGGCATTTAGTAATATGTACATATTCAGGAGATAAACATTATTTCAAATGAAACATAAACAGCCATGGTAGTACAAGTAGTACTTACTTTAGTTGATATATCTCGCAGTTGAGCTTCATCTTCACACAGGCCAGAGCCAAGTCCTCCAAGAGCGAAGGCTGCTCTCACCATTACAGGGTACTGGATCTTCTTAGCTGCCTTCGCTGCATCGTCCACCTAAATGAACAAATTCATTACTTTCAAGTCCTTTAATAGTTGATGTAGGTTTCAAACTTAGAGTAGACATAAGAGTTAATTTGAAAACTAGACCAATACCTAAACAAATTTAGAAAAATTTAGAAAAGAATTAGGATTCTGGTACCCATGGTGGTCAAGATGTTCTATATATTTTTAACAAGCTATCATATCATTGTCCTGCTCTTTTGGATGTACATATCTTCAAATGAAAACTAAAATCAGGACATTCGTTTATGAAACAGAGAATGAAATCCTGTCCTTTACGGGCTCATGAAAAAGATCAGTCCAACAGTGGGGATCAGCCCACATCCCCTCGTTTTTCCTGATAATAGGACATTCATAGCAATCTCAGTCTCAGTACATGTCTGCATTTACAGTCTTCACAGTAATACTTACGGTATACACAGCAATACTCTGGGCCAGTTTCTCATTGATCTCATTCAACCTGTCGGCAAATATCTGTCTGTCCTCAGTGGCTTCTATCATAGATACAGGTGTACCAAGCACTTTGACATTATACTCATCCAGCACACCAGCCTTCCATAGCTCTAGACCTAAAACATAGTAGAACAAGGCATTAACATGCAAAATATCACCACATCCCATTTGTTGCAGACGTGTGATCTCAAATTACATATTAGTCTTTTCACTCTTGATATCTTATACAAAAAATATACTGAATTTCACCTATCATTATTTCCATAATTTCAAATAATGATTTAGAAAATTGCAAAATTGCAACTTTAACTTATTGAGCAACATCTTGTTTGAAAAATTGTATGGCTATAATCTATACTCTTTTATCAACTATGATTTGATTTTCATTGATTCTTCAGAACACTCATAAGCTCCTTTATTTTTCGATGACCTACCACAATTGAGTGCAGTTTGTCCTCCCATAGACAACACAATCCCATCGGGGCGTTCTTTTTTGATAACTTCTGTCACAAACTCAGGAGTGACAGGGAGGAAATACACAACATCAGCCTGTTTCTCCCCCTCAGCATTTGTCTGCACGGATGCAATATTGGGATTCATTAGGACAGTTTCCAAATTTTCTTCCTTAAATGCCTTGATGGCTTGGGCTCCACTGTAGTCAAACTCCCCAGCTTGGCCTATAGACAGACCTCCACTTCCCAATACAAGAACTTTCTTCACCTAAAACAAAGAACCAGGTTTATTTAACATAAAATATATGATTGAAGTTTAACATGGCAATGAGCTAGATGTCCTCATTGTGGTATAATTGCTCAATTGAGGACAACCCATGACTCAAAATAGTCATTGTTGGAATTGGCTTGATGATTTCAGTCAATTTCAGTAGTACCCCCTACAAACTAAATTTGCATCGCCTATATTAAACTGAATTTGCTTGATGATTTCAGTCAATTTCAGTAATACCCCCTACAACCTTAATTTGCATCGCCTATATTAAACTGAATTGGCTTGATGATTTCAGTCAATATCAGTAATACCCCCTACAACCTTAATTTGCATTGCCTATATTAAACTGAATTGGCTTGATGATTTCAGTTAATATCAGTAATACCCCCTACAACCTAAATTTGCATCGCCTATATTAAAGTGTATCTCTCCTTTTAGATCAAGGTTGTGCCCCTGATAGTGTTATTCATGTTAAGTCTCATAATTACCTCTATCTTTGTTGCAGCTTTTGGAACTGGCTTGATGATTTCAGTCACACATTGTGCATTCTTGCTCACCATTTTTAGGAAGATGTCAAACAAAAACTACAACAGGAAATAGGTTTATATAGTTTAATGTATGCATATATCCATTCATGCATATCTCTATTCAACATATTTGAAGTAAAATGTCACAAAAAACCTTATCTTTATCTGATTGATTTTCATATACAAACAATTTTATTATGTAAGAGGCGACAATTCAAAAGCCAAATGTATTTTTCATTTCAGAAAGGGCACAAAAGATCCTTTAGTTTTATAAAAGAATATACTGAAATGTGCTATGATAGTAATGCAAAAAATCAATGAACAAAGGTAAAGGAGGGTCTTCTCCTCAATAAATTACTTTGAAAATAGTATATTTTGACCAAACTCCTAAAAGACATATTGAAAATCACCATGAAGTGGATTAACACCCATCACCAAACCTTGTTTCATTTTCGTTAGAAGTAACCAAGATTGTGTACCTCTGTATCTAAGGGGCCCCCTCTTGCTTCAGGATGGAACTGTGCAGTGAAGTATGGTTTACTTTCATGGTACACTCCCTACAAAGTCACAATACATTGTTTTAAATGGTATTATATACAGTAAAACCTGTCTCAGAGGAACAACTACTTCTAAAAGGTGTTCCACTTGGGAGGTGTTTCACTTATAGAGGTTCACTCAACATGAAGTTAGTTAGTCTTGGGTGTTCCACTAACAGAAGTGTCCACTTCAAGAGATGTTCCACTTTATAGGTTTCACTGTATCTTGGAGTGAGTCAGTTAATATGACCTTATGAAGTTGTTTAGTCTTAAGTTATCAACACAGTGGAGATAAATTCCTGCAGAATATTTTTGTCAAAATCACACAGGTATTTTTCAGACAAATAATCAGTGAACATAAATAAGTAAGAAATTAAAACAAAAATGTTTCAAGCAAGTAATTCCCTTTTTCAATTGTAGATCTGAAATGTTGATGCATTGTGCATATATTAAAAGGGCAATGCATCATGTGATGCTCACACAACAACATACAAACCTCATTGGTCCTGTCATTAGCATTGATGAACATTGGTTTCCAGCCTTCGGGGAGACTGCTGTTGTCTATGGCAAAACCATGATTCTGAGAGGTGATGAATGCTTGCCCATTCAACATGTTAATAACTGGTTGATTGTGACCCCTGAAACAACAGAATATAGGTACAAACCTGTACTTTGAATTCAGCTATAAACCATTTCAAGGTAAAATATAAGCTTGAAAAAGTTCTAAAGGTAAAACAATATGTCACAGTGCAAAACAAATCAACAAATGGCAATACTAAACAAATACTGGATGATCAGGAGCTGGATATGGCAGAATACCTATTCGAGAAAAAATATTGGGCGAGGCCGTTTTATTATGCACCTCATTAAAATATGCACCTCCCAATCAAAGTTAAGTGGAGTACTTACAGTTTAGTTGACATTATTTTGACATTTATTTATTTTTTCTTTCAAAACTCCGGCCAGTTTATTCGCTACACTGGACGAAAATATTTGCACCGGGAATTTAATTTTTATTTATTCGAGACGTTCTTGCAGAATTATATGTAACTTTTGAATGTTAAGGGTAATTGTGATTGATTAAGTGCATTTTTTTCTTCTATTTTCCGCCAGTTTCAGATGTAAGCTTTAAGTAGTACTCCAGTTATTAAGAAATAAAACTCTGAAGTGGGAATGTTGCAAAAACATTGAAAAAAATATCCGACCCTTTTTCTCGAAAGGGTCAGATATTAAAAAAATATCCGGCAGTTTTCAGAAAAGAGCAGAGTATCGCCAAATTACAAGCAACTAAGAACCAATCAGATTTGAGTATTTTAATGAGGTGCATAATAAAGGTTAATACCGAGTAGTTGAATCATAAATTTGATTTTTAACCTTTGATAAATAATGCCTTATTTTTCCTTTATCCTTATTCATCTTAAAAGATGTTTGTAAGACATTTCTGATAACCATCTTTTTTTTTCAGAAAAGCTTTAATATATTGGTTACATTGATGATGTCATTGGTTGTTGTTAACAATCTGTCCATACAAAGATAGTATTAACTTATTGCTAATTTTGAAAAAGTACAACCAATGACATCATCAATCTAGCTAATATTTCTCAGATGGATTAAAAGATGGCATGGATTTTGGCAAGGAAAGGTCCATTGCAGGAGATGTAAAAAGGGCCAGATTTCCTACCTATTCCCCAGTGGCAGTTTGTATGAATTAGCTCCTGCTGCCAATGCTGTTATCTGATTCCCCATGCAAATACCAAATATAGGCTCAGGTCGGTTTTCCATAACCTAAAAAGCAAGGATTTGAGTCAATGGTATCAATTATGTCATATTTAGGTCAATCAACAGATCAACCAGAACAACGGCAACGCCAAAGCGTAGCGAATCCCATCGAACAGAAATGGCTGGCATTTTTAAAAACGAAATATATAGCAAATATCATAAAACACACCAGAAAGGCCACCATTTTCAAAATGGTTGCTCACTAGCCAAGTTGTCTTCAGAAGAAATAATATTCTTTTAAGTAGCCACCTATAAAATTTTTGAAAAATTGCACACATGTACTTGTAAAATAACACACATAAAAATGGTGGCCATTTTTCAAAATGGCCGACTACTCCCCAAAGTTTTATTAGACAATGTGCCATGCTTAGAGTATTCACATATCAAATATGAACAAAATCGCTCCACTACTTTTCGAGTTATAGTAAAAAATGTGAAAATGAAAGCCATTTTCTAAAATGGCCGCCTACTATCCGAAGTGTCATGAGACAGTGTGCAAGGCTCATGAGCAAGGCACATATCAAATATGAACAAAATCGCTCCACTACTTTTCGAGTTATAGTAAAATATGTTAAAATGGAGGCCATTTTTCAAAATGGCCACCTTCTACCAAAAGTGTCATTAGATAGTGTGCCATGCTTATAGTATTCACATACCAAATATGAACAAAATCGCTTCACTACTTTTCGAGTTATTATACGTTAAAATGGCGGCCATTTTTCAAAATTTTTTTCAAAATGGCCACCTTCTACCAAAAGTGTCATAGGACCGTGTGCCATGCTTATAGTATTCACATACCAAATATGAACAAATTCGCTCCACTACTTTTCGAGTTACAACAAAAATCGTAAAATAACGAGTAAATGCCGCCATTTTTCAAGATGGCTGCCATATGCTTTTTTAATATCTACATTTGCAGCTTTATTAATGTCCTTTATAATTTTTTTACATTTAAAACATATTGCTATTACAGTTTTACATATTGCACCTAAATTACTGTAAAACCGGCACTAAAATGGCCGCCATTTTGAAATGAGCGGCCATTTTGAAAATCGGCTTTCGAGCAGAACTTCTACCCCCATAGGGTATATGTGTACAAAATATGAACAAAATCGGGCCAACGGTATTTGAGTAATTGCCCGGACGGACAGACGGACGGACGTACGTACGGACGGACGTACGTACGTACGGACGGACGGACGGACGGACGGACGGAGGCGTTCCCTATATCCCTCCGAACTTCGTTCGATGGGATAAAAAGAGATCAAACAAGAAATCAATTAACAGATCAATCAATATTTCAACCAACAATTCAATCAACAGATCAAATGATAGATCAAGCAACAAATCAAACAACATTTAAACCAACAATTCAATCAACAGATTAAATGATAGATCAAGCAACAAGTCAAACAACATTTAAACCAACAATTCAATCAACAGATCAAACGATAGATCAAGCAACAAGTCAAACAACATTTAAACCAACAATTCAATCAACAGATCAAAGAATATGTCAATCAACAAGTCAATTAACATTTAAACCAACAAGTCAATCAACAGATCAAAGAATATGTCAATCAACAAGTCAATTAACATTTCAACCAACAATTCAATCAACAGATCAAATGATAGATCAAGCAACAAATCAAACAACATTTAAACCAACAATTCAATCAACAGATCAAATGATAGATCAAGCAACAAGTCAAACAACATTTAAACCAACAATTCAATCAACAGATCAAACGATAGATCAAGCAACAAGTCAAACAACATTTAAACCAACAAGTCAATCAACAGATCAAAGAATATGTCAATCAACAAGTCAATTAACATTTAAACCAACAAGTCAATCAACAGATCAAACAATATGTCAATCAACTAATCAAAAAACATTTCAATTTATATGTCAATCAAAGGGACTGACTCTATAAATTCTGTATGCATAGTAAAGTAAAAATGTTCTATTTCCAAACGAAATATTACCACTTACTGTTCTAACATGCTGGATAAGCTGGGGGGCTAACGAGGGATCTCCAGGGCCATTGGATATGAACAGCCCATCAAACTCCACCTGAGTGAAGTCATAGTTCCAGGGAACAACGGTCACTTCTGTGCCACGCTTTACCAGGCTCCGGACCATGTTGTGCTTGATCCCACAATCAATGGCTAAGATCTTGATAGGGTTTCCTTTGCCATACACTTGAACTTCCTTGAATATTAAACAATTAATTTAATACCACAGTCTAATTGTCCGACTTTTTGCAATAGAGCACCTACATGGGAGTAAAGCAAACCCGATGATACAATGAGCTTGCTCAGCGGTATCATGACTGTGTAACGGGTCTTGATGTATAAGTGCGCTCGGCGGTAGGTTCAAACAACGCGGATCCTCAAAGCATGTGCTCATGGTATCATCGTGGCTTAACACCCGTGACCTTTAGAAAATTACAAAACCTGAGAAGCTGTAACTCACACTGACATTTGAACTCTCAATTGTGGGACATATTATCTCATTTGGAAACACTATAAATCATATTCTTACCAGAAACATGTATTTTGACATCAAAAGTCAATTTCTCCAGAACAAGGGAAAAGTAGTAATGGGACCAATAGTGTATATTACCAGTATGGACCCATAAATGGGTAGGAGTATTCGTAAAAACAAATGGTATTTTGTTTCAAAAATTGTTGAAAAAAACAGCAGCTTTTGCTGAATTGGGATTTTCACACCCAATTGATGGAATAAGTACTTGTGACGTTTGTGGATATTTTTCCTGCATATGAAAGTGTGTATTTAATCTATATTATGGTGGCTATAGCTGGTAGTGACAGTTAAAACAATCCCACTGATATTAAGAGTTTTTTGTACATTTTACGTTTCTTTGAAATTTGCACTTTACTTTTGAAATTTTAAATGGTCAATTATTCATATAAAATCACATTGGGCATTAAAGTAATAAAGTTAAACAATTAACAACACTCAGAATCATATTTAATAGGCTCGATCATTCTTTGTTCAGCTGATTGTGAACGAAAAAAGCACTTTGATACTTTTGTAAAACATATCTATAGATCCTTCCAAGGGCAAAGCCCTAAAACATATCTATAGATCTTTCCAAGGGCAATGCCCTAAAACATATCTATAGATCTTTTCAAGGGCAATGCTCTATAGATAATTGGCCTGCACTTAATTTAAAGAGACCATGCAACAAGCTTCAATATTTATTCTGTATAATAAACTCATCCAATTTCTAGTAGAGGGGTACAAGGGTTAAATAAAACAAAGATGCTAAATAATGGGTGAGTCCATTATAAACCTTGAATTTATATCTCGGTCACCTAAATCCAATAAAAATAGACTCGGCTGGTGTAACCATTAGAAAAATTTCTCAGTATTCATACTTTAAAATATGGACTTTGAGAAATGGTGGATTACAAGGAATGAAAAAGAAATATGTAATCACTCCCAATTTTAAATAAAATTTCAGAAAAAAACATGATTTTTATCGAGAAATTAAGTCAGCATTAATCACAACCCAAGTCATTAAAAGCAAAGGGAAGACATTCATTTGTGCTTTTAACTTTAAATCAATGTACAGTCTTCACAACGTTCTTTGGTTAACTCCTTTCTAATATGAATATAATAAAGGGAAAAAATCATAATTTGACTTATTGTCTAGGATCTTGGATTTGAATATTGATTTGGGATAAATATGTTATAATGGTAGTACCAGTTAAAACCCAAAGTTAAATAAACAAATATGAATGATTTAAGGGGGTGGGGGGAGGGGGTGCATACATTTAGTTTGTGTGAGTTACCCTATACTCCACATATCACATTGATAAAAATGCACCTCCACTTCATGTTCAAAATGTACAGAATTGGATTATACAGCATGTACAGAGAAATTATACATAAGGGAGAACCGAAAAAAACACTATAGTATAACAAGCCAGATATTGAGCTATTACAAATGTAAATACACGTAGAACAAAATGCAAATAAAACCTGATACTGGCTCACCTATTTAATAGACTCGTCTGGCGAGAAACAGGTGGATAAAAAGTGTGTAAGCCCTTAATTGGCCTACATCTGTACAATCGAAATATGCAATGTTGGGTAAGTTCATTTCAGGACATATAAAAAACCCTGCATATATTTTAAGGATAAGTTAAGGACACTGAGGTTCCATATATTGACCCAGAGTTGTTAGAATTAACCTGATGAGGGCATCATGAACTGCTTCTTACTGTAGATATAGGGTAGTCTGACACATGCATAGAATATGAGCCAAATTAAATACATCCACGTGTCAAATATAGTGCAAGCAATTCAAAGGAAAAGAATGAAGTATTAATAAAGAAAAATGTCAAAAATCATTATTTTAGCGAGGATTAAGTGAATTGGATTGGAAGAATTCAATTGACCCTTTAAGCATAGTGCTATTGTTTGAGAAATTCTTGAAAATCCCTTTCTGCACTTGTCAGGCCAAAAAGACAAGGCCCCTTTTTGAAAACCAAGGCCATTTTTTCCAAAAAGCACAGAGAAATCAAGAAATAAGGTCTATTTTGGAAAATGAGACTTCATAAAAAAAAATTTAAAATCAAAAATTGTAGCTCGAAAAAGTTAAATGCTGAATATTATTTGTTAACAAAAAGACCAGTCAATATTAAGTCATGCTAAGTCCCAATTGTCATCACCTCGACATAGAATTAATTTCCAATGTTTTAGACAGATGTCACAATAACTTTAATTGAACTAGATACAAGATACTATCAGACTGGGGTTAACAAATCAATAAAGCAATAAAACTGAGGTTTTTGCCATTTCAGCAAACATCGAAGTCAATACAAGATACTTGAGCAATGAGATTGCGCAAGTTGGGTTAAAGACCGATTTTAACTTGCTAGCAACTCCCATTAAAATATCAGGTTACATCCACACTTTAACATGGTACAGAATGTCAGAATTAGTGAGTTTAATCGACAGCATTGCTTAACATGCTTATATTTGGTGACTTTAGCAATTGGGTGACATAAGTTAGAGTAAATAGAACTTACATTGCCAGATACTTCAGCTATTAGGTTGCGTAAGTTGGGGTCAACAAAGTCAATTGGCATGTCATCATATTCTATCTTCCCAAGAACAGTTCCCTGAAATAAACAAGGAGAAAATAACATTGCTATGTAGTTCAAAAGGGAAGAAATGGAAAGGTAATTTCACTAGGTGGAGCGGAGATATTAAAGTTCATGTTAAATATTCCAATACAGTAAAAACACGAGAACACGATTTTACATGGAACACCTCTATGAACACTTTACAGAGGACTCATAGACATTCTATTTGTACACAGGCTTTACTGTAGACCCATTCAAATAAATAAGATTCAATTCAGTATATATCTTATCAAAGGATTTTTATGTGTGAGCATAGAGCAATTTTGTAGCTAGATCTAACTGACATCTATATTCTGCTGTACGAAACAATTGTGTTTTTATACAATGATATACAAAGATGAGCAAAACAAACTGGAATGTTTCTGAAAATCGTAATCTCAAGGCTACAATTGCTGCCTAGGTTACGATGTGCCAGTAACCTGGACAACAACTCTGCCAATTTGGCAACAACAAAGAGGTATACATACACACCTTATCTCTAATGTACTTTGTGAGCATACGAGTGTCTATGCCATAGAGAGCAGGTACATCCTCTTCAATGAGCCACTGGGAGAGAGACTTGACAGAGTTCCAGTGGCTGTGGTTATGCGAATAATCCTGGACCAGCAGACCAGTCACCTGTCAATAAAACAACAATATATCATACATATTTTCAATACTATTATATAAGTTATTGAATGATTTGAAGTGCAATACAGGATGTATTCTGCTCGAGAAATTCTGTATTGGTACGAGACGAAGTCGATAACATTTATCAATAACATTTTTGTCGTTCGATCCTCTGTATTGCTACTCAGATTGTGCCCTCCGTACCAATATTAAAATATCTCTGTAGCAATACAGATTGGTACAGCACAAGAACTGACCAATCAGAGAGCTTCATTTTACAGATCATACGATAAAATTAATTATTCAAGAATAACCTGTAGTGGAAATAACTTTAGCAACCAATCAAATTCAATCTTAGAAACCACTTTAAGGTAGATTTCCATCCCAAATCGAATATTCCAAATTACTTAAAATTATTGGTGATGAAATATAATATGCTGCCGTCATTGAGAAGGTCATTGTTTCTAGCCTTGGCTTTTTTAGTCCAACTAGTATGAACGCACTGAAAGAAATCAAGTTTAATCAAAGCAAAGAGTTCCACTCCTATTATACTTGTATATGTCCAGTTTTACTTACATGGATCTTGTCAGACTCAACAAACTGCATGAGTCCATGTTCATCCCTCTGTGTGGTACTAGGTACTCCATAGTTGCCAACTATGGGGTAAGTCAACGTAAGGATCTGGCCGCAATAGCTTGGGTCTGTCAGAGCCTCTGGGTATCTGGAAATATGTGTTTTCAATTTAAATTGGAAAAGAACTGCTTTTCGAATTAAATGAGTGATGACCCCAGCATTAAAGCAATGCAGATATAGCTGAAAACAGACTAGGGCTAGAGGATATATTGCATGTGTTTGTGTTATCAACCTAGTGATGAAGGGGGTCACATTGAAAATTTAACAACAGGCAAAACTAATGAAAACAGCAGGTAAAATTATTGAAATTCCTCAAAAATAACAGCATTCTGGCAAAAACGACCTCTTGCCTGATGATAATGAAACCCCTGTCTGTTCAGACATTAATATTTCATGGGTTATACTAACCCAGTGAGTCCAGTGTTGAAGACGACTTCACCAGCTGCTGAGATCTCTTTCCCAAAGGAGTAGCCTTGGAACTGTTTACCATCTTCTAGAATGAGGTAGGCTTTGGTTGGCTGAAATATGCAACACAACATGTAACATAACACATCTACCCTGAAGTGAAAGTAGCCCCGAAAGTAGCTGCCATTGTCTCATAGGCATACATTATAGTATGATATGTGAGATAGTTTCACCCATTTTTCTTCATTTTACCCCACTGAACCCCTGTGTATTCGAACAGAAGGTAAATACAAATTATGATATAATATGTAATCATAAACATATCGTAAACAAACCTGAGTTATTAAAATTTGTTTTCTGAAGAGTTGCCTTAATCTTAATAGGAGGATGTTAAACAAATATTTAATTACTTTGAATAGCCTTAATTCAGAAACTGCAATTTTATCATTTCATTTTAAGTAAGTTATATATAGTGTCACATCAATTTAAATTCAATTTGTCATTTTAACCTTGGTCTTTGTCATGTCATATGATTGGTTGTAAAAAGGAGGAAGTAAAACAGTCGTCCAAATCAGTTTATTAACCCGAAAAACATATTTTAAGTACATGTACAAAATAGTCAAGTACCAAAGGGCTACAGAGAGCTATTTTTAAAGATAACCCATTAATAAAAACTTTAACAACTAAGTCAACGTCACTCAATTGCGATTGCTTCTTGTCTCATGATTGGCTATAAAATATATGAGGAAATAAAACAGTGGTCCAATCATTTCACACATATAAACACATAACCTAAGATCTAAAGGAGTTATAAAGATAATCTGTAATCTTAAAATACTTCCTCATGAACTAAATAAAGTTATGTTAAAGTGTACTCTCAATAAAAGGGAGGTTAACCTGCACTAAGTTTTATTTTAAGTTGGCATCAATCAAGGTCAATTCATTGTGATTACTTTTTGTCTTAAGATTGGCTATAAAATATATGAGGAAATACATTAGCAGTCCAATCATTTCATTCATTGTATGTGATATTTTGAATAACAAAGGTACAGTCAATTATAGATCAAGAGGAGATAGAGATACTGTTATCAGGCCCGTAGCCAGGATTTGCCGAGGGAGTTCACTTTTTAAATACTCTCAGGGAGGGTTCACTTTTGACAACTTTGGCCCAAAAATGGCTAAAATTCACTTGAATCCCCTGGCTACAGACCTGGTAATCTTAAAATACTCATGTTCTCAGCCTCAAAATTGTAAGACTGAACCCTATATATTACACTACGGTGGATGTACATGTCAGTGTACACTGTACCCTGCTGTTATGGACAATGTCCATAAATTGTCACAGCACTCATCAATCTAAAATATTCAGAAAAATGCCAAGGTTTCAATAAAAATTCATTTTTGAGTTCTAATTTCTTTTTTAAATTTTTAATGTTTGAACAATAAATGTTTTCATTGCTCAAAATTAGATAAGGGACCTTTTTCAAGGATATTTTCAAGGTGCCTTTGATTTCTCAGTCTGTGTAATACTAGCAAATTAAGGGCACCTTGGGCTTTTCTAGGCAACATCACAGTCTGATATAATGCAGATAATGTCAAAACTGGGCGAATAGTGCCGTAGTCTATGGGGGGGGGGGGCACAGGGGCTTTTAGCTAGACTAAGAGAATGGTCACACAGTTTGCACCAGTATTTGCACCAAATTGACTTTTTCAGTCAGCTTGTGATCAGGCCAAAGTTCTTTGACATCCTTGATACTTTAATTTGGTTTTCATGAGTGCTTCGAAGGTCATGTTATATAGCCTATATCTTGAAAAACTTTTATTGCCTACATGTGTGTCTAGTTGATCATGTATAGCTATTCTCTGAAGATAAATGATATGACTGTTTGAAGTTTAGCTGGTGCATGGTGACTTACATTCATAAAGTATGTGTGTAAGTGTTTAACATATCTGCACCCCCCCCCTCCCTTCCCTTTAAAACCATGTCTGAGACCTCTTTGACTCATCTTTGGGAGGGGATGCACAAATATATACACAATCCAATATACAATCACTATGTAATGCATTGGATGAACTATATAATGGGATGATCAAAAAGTAAGATGAAAAATATTCAAAACTGTAGTATCAACTAATGTTCTCATTGAATTTTGATAAAACATTTGTGCAGGACAAAATAACATTTTTACTGTCAAGACCCTGCAGCATTCTGTAAAACATTCTAACTTGGGCCTTCCCATGTCCAGGGTACACAGAACATTGAAACCTGTGGGATGAAAGTCATATGTATTTATAAGAGTGATGCAGCATGTAGGCAAATATATTCAATGTATTATAGCTCATTTGAGGACACACATGGTCCCAAACAGATACAAGGCATTAAAATGCAAAATGTCACTACTTGCCATTTGTTACAGATGCCAAATGGTAAACACTAATTAACCGACAAACTGCGAACACAAATTGCCATCCACAAAGAAGTATATTGTCTATAACAAGGTGGTGACATTGTACAGAGATCACGATAGTTGAAAAAAATTGTTAGCCATTGTGGCTAATTCTTCCAAAATTTTTTTAGCCAACCTAAATAAGAATTAGCCATTTTGACCAAAAAAATTAAACACTTCTAATGACTGTTTTCCTTTTAAAAATGGAATAAAATACTCACGGAATTTGCGTTTAAGATTGTGAGGCATTTTTTATGGCATTTTTGAAGGACACAACTACCCCGGAGTAAATATACAGATACATGATGATGCGCAACAATACTGATAGAGTTCTACTGTGAAATAGCATAGTGGGTAAAATTAATATATGTCGCGTCATGAGTGACCAGAAATCTACTTTTCCGAAAAGGTTTTCTTCTGAAAAGTCATTCAAATTCAACATTTATGAAGTTGTTTGGGGAGTAAACCGTAAAAAAAAGGAATTCGCCATAACTGCGAAATACCTTTACATATTTTTCGCCACCTCTTTCGAAAATTAGCGATTGGGGAATGGCTAATGTCTACCGTGATCTCTGTATTGTAGTAATGAAAGTCCCCATATAAAGTTTAAATCACTTTGGCTTCTATTATAGCAATTCATCACTTCATTGAATGTTATTACGAAAGATCACACGGATACTTTGAAAGCTTGCTGACCATGAACTCCTAGCTGTAGCATATTCAGCCCATTTGATGCTGTCAGGCTGGTATGATTAAAGGACAAGGGGCAATATTGAAAAAACATCATTGCGAGATTGCAACAATAAATTGTCAAATACTTGTTAAGTTCAATTCATTGATCAGAATCATGATGTTATTGAAAGGGAAATAAAGGTGTACAGTATAAAGGTGTTTATAGTATTTCTATCTCTTGTGTTAACCGAATACAGTAGCTGAAGGCATTGAAAAAATGACCAAAAATTTACAAATCAAATTGAGTGTCTATACGAAATTGAAAAAATTGAGTGTTCACTCTATGTAGCCTTGTTAAATCACTGGTTTCTATACATAAAAATGCTACAAAATCAAATCAAATCCTTACCTATAATACCGACCATTTTTTCCTGGCAAAAAATGTTCACTATATACAGGTTTTACTGTATTTCATCCAAGGTCTCTTAAGGAGAAATAAGAGAGAACTAGCATGATCATAGTGACAATTTATCAGCTGATAAGTGTCTGACAGACATCTTAAGGATGTCCTATTTGATAACCTACAGGTAAGTGATTCTTAAGGTTAAAACTTCAATAAAGATTAATTAAGATAAATGTCCAAGTGCAATTTTTCATCTTCATGTCAAACTATATACATGTATTGGCCCAGGTTTAGTAGAGTCCATAGTAATGATATTATTAAAAAATCTCATATTTGCAGATGAGACCCTACCCACTGGAGGCATTAAAGTAGGTGGGAGGGGGTGTTCACTTAACCAGAAGCTTCTTAATGTTTTACATTGCATAAAGGTTAAGGGAGAAAGATAGAAAGAAACATTTAATATAAAAAGCTCAATGTACTTTTTTATCATTGTCATATATCAAATACCTCTTCAGTCTTCATATTGTATTCTCAAATTGTAATATATTTTTATAATGTTCAACTTTTGATTTTAGCACTGATAAACCCTTTCATGGGTATCAAGTGCCAACACTCTAAATGTAATACTAAATGATTATGATAATAAATAAATAAATAAATAAAAATAAATAAATTCATAAAAAATGTCTGCTTTAAAAAAATTATTGTTTAATGTTCATTTCACTATAATTTGAATGTTGACAATTCTGTACTTTAAAACTTGTCTCACCTTGGTAATGCTTGATGGCTTATCAGAAGCAACTGATATCCACCGGGCAGCCGTCACTCCAACGCCTCCCCGACCACCTACCCCAGATGGTACAACCAAAGCTTGGGAAATCCGCTGAACTGTCCTCAAGAGCAACATACCGGAATACTACACCTTTAATGATAAACCGCATATAATTAATTAATTGTTCCACGAATACAAAACCTAATGACCTACAATTTATGTTCTCAATTGAAGAGTAAAGTTTTGAATCCAGAATGCTAGCTCTATGATGAATGATTTAAATTGACAAGTTTGATTATTTTATACCCATCCAGTCTAGAGGACACTGTCAAATGAAGATAACCCAAAAGTCACTGGTTACAAATTACACAAGATCTTCTACTTTCAAGTTTTATTGGATCAGGGTTCAGCGATGTATAATTTATAAGATCATTTTGACTATATCTGAACATTAAAGATTGCACGTCAACACAGGTTAAAAAACAGCTGATGACATTAAAATGTTGAATGAAAAAAGTATACTATGTAAAAGTTAAAATAGCATTTTTATTTATGGCTATCTACCATACTGAACTTTAGAACTAGAAAATGAAAACTTCAGAGTAGCAAATCCCAACAAAAGAGTTTGGTATACTTTTACTCTAGACAATCCACAAAGGAATTTTATTCTATGACATCTGATCTACATTGAATATGTGATAATGACCAGATCGAACAAAACATATTTTCTGACTCACTTATAATTTTGAACAATACATTGTGGAAATAGCTTGAATTCTCGAGTAGAGGTCCTATGACAAGGCATTACCCAGTATCTGGTATTCATATTATCAGAAAAAATTTGAACCAAATAAATCAATTGGTATTTCATGGAAGGTTTCTCTTTATCCTTCCAAAACTTTACTCAGAAGGGTAATTAACATACTGAACCAATTTCTTGACCACTTTTTCATGGTCCATGAACTTGAACCAAAAACTCTGAATACCTGAAATTAGAGACATGTATGCTAATTGCCATGTAAAATACAAATTACCTGTACTTTGGCTTAGAACCACTACCCATTTGGAAAATTAGTTTTTAGAATTGAATTCTCAATAATAACATAATCTCTTCACATCTTAGTGTAAGATAAAAACCTGTTTGTAAAGAGTCTTAAAATATACTAGTTCACGTATACTATAAATTCCTGTAGCCTATAAATTACAACAACATAACTGTCTTGTTGTTGTTGACCTTGGAAAGATCATAAAATAGCAGAATACAGAATGTAAATATACCTTGCAAGTGCTGCAAGTTGTGAAGATACTAGATATGAATGAAGGACCCACGGTCCTATGCTCACACAGTTTAGAACCTTCAGAGGAATGTATATACTGACTTTCAAACAAAAATATTGATTTGGATTTGTAGTCTCAAACTTTGAGAAACTTAGATAGCACAGTTTTGTGACCTAGTTTGATGACCTTTGACATTGAAAATTTTACTAATTCAGAGCTCAGTAAGGTCTTTTGTGATTAAGCTGACCAAAATTTACATCCAAAAATCAATTTGAAAAATCAACTTTTTTGACCTTTCGAAGGTCACTGAAGGTCAAGTAAAGGTCAAATCCTAAAACTGATGTCAGATTTGAGCTCCTGGCAACTTGTAGATGATTTTCCAAAAAAATTTGGTCAAATTGAAGCAAGTTGAAAAATAACTTATTTTTACTGTTTTTTGACGTCAAATATCTCAAAAACGGTAAAAATTTGATGCTGACATATATTGAGCAATATGTAGGGAATGCTTAAATCTAGTAATGATGTAATTCATTGCAAGAAATGATCAAGTATAAGGCAAACTTTGAGAAACTTGTCAATCACAAAACCTGCCATTGACTTTATACATGAGAAAGTTTCTTGAAAATGACTAAGTCCTACTTTTTGTCAAATCTTGTAGAGTAAAAACCAAAAACTGTAATTCCAAGAGCTTTGAAATCTTCAGAGGACATAAGTTGCATATACAGCAACTACTACAAGTTATTTGAAAGTTCTACTTCAACAAAGTCTCTAGTATTTACAGAAAATTTGACTTTTTGACGTCGAAATACGCAATTTCTCGGAAAACGGGCGAACTTGGGAAATGGCGATGACAGGTCAAATAGGCATTATGGATATGCATAAAATGAATGTGGATATGACTCAATCCGAATAGCAGTTTTAATTTGTGCGGCCAATGTTGACGGACGGACCAACGGACGGACGGACCAACGGACGGACGGACGGACCAACGGACGGACGCCTGGTCGATCCCATAGGCTCACTGTGTGAGCCAAAAACTATAGGTGGAATTACACCTACGATGTAAAAGCGCTTTTTAAAATCCTATCGGGTTTCGACCCGCCGCGCCTTTAGAGTCAGGTGTAATCACGATCGCGGATTTAGAAAAGCGCTTTTGTAATCCTCCCAGACCCCTAGTCATTAAAAACCGCTTTCACACCCAAAGGCGCTTTAACGTGTAGGTGTAATACCGATTGGTTTTCAAGGCGCTTTAACTCGATTTTACACTGAACGAAAACTATATTTGCGCATGAGCATCAAGCATGTTATTGATTTCCGGTGTGGAGGAAACTTCAAAAAACAAAATTCAAATATTGTGCAAAACTCAATCAAATCACCAAAATGTCGAAACAAAGTAGAATTTATTGGGACCACGTCAATACTGAGCGTATGCTTTCGATTTGGGCTGACAAAAAGATCCAGGCCATGATGAACGGCACATTAAAAAATGCGATTGCGTATGACCTGATCTCGCAGGAAATGAAAGTAAGCCTAAGCTTAAGTTAGGAACACACAGTATCGGATCATTTTGAATCTCCAGAGATGGCGCTACGGTTGAAAGTATATATCTAAATAGCAGATTTTGATGCAAATGCGATGGTTGATGGCAAATTTTTGTCTTAAATCAGTCTAAAAGCGCTTTAGAAAAATCAAGTGTAATCACGAAAAGTTGTCTTCAAGGCGCTTTTAAAATTCTGGTGTAATCAGGATTGCGGTTTTCTAGCCTACGTTTCCCAAAACGCCTTGAAAAGGCCTTTAGCCATGAAATAGGTGTAATTCCACTATATGTGTAAATATTTTTTATCAAGATTTGTCAAGTTTCTTTCTTTTAGGATGAGAACTCCCCCTATCTAAGGGAAGATAAGTACCCCTTTCAAGGAACAGAAGGCTCTCTTAGGGACAGAATCCCCTCTCTTTAGAACAGAGGTAACCCTTTCCAAGAAACAGAAGTCCCCCTATCCGGCCTGGGGAAAGAAATCCCTCTCTAAGAATAAAATTTCTTAGGAAAAGTCCCTCTTTCTTTATAAGGAAAAGAAGTCATTATATCTTGGGAAAAGAAGTCCCTCTATAAAGAATAGAACTCCCTTTTTCTAAAAAAAAGTAATAAGTATCTTTATCTTGGAGAAATAAATCCCTCTCTAAAGGATAAAAGTCGCTCTCTAGAAAATAGAAGACCCTCTTTCCAAAGGAACATAAATATTCTCTCTAGGAAACACATTTCCACATGGAAATATTAAAGATAATGGCTCAGAAAGGAGGGGTGCACATCGTTTAATACAAGCAAGTTGAAGATATGTTTCAGATTTACAAAATAATTTTAAAATGCATGTGAAGAATAGAGAGAAATCTTACCTTTAAAAGCATATGAGTACTTAGTTGATAGTTGTCCCCTCATGTGGGTGACTGACAAATAACTCTTCTGTTCACCTTACAATCTACAAGATAAAATATGAAAACATACAATTATAAATCAGCTGATCAGCTGTACTTAACGTGTCACTGCAATGGGATCACACATACTCTACTTTTCCAATTTATTTACATCCTGTGTATTTGTTCAGTTATTTTACAAATGCAAATCCACTGCAACACCAAGTTTTCTATCCAGTTTGATTACCATGCTATATGTATTCCATCAATATGATATAAAAATTGAGATGATAGAAAATACAATAATCTAAAAAGTTTAAACACATCACAGAGATAGAGGATATCCTATGATTTATGAGTGATATGATTTTTATCCACGAATGGATATGATATCTGCACGAGCGAGCATAGCGAGAGAGTGCAGATATCAATATCCATGAGTGGATTAAAATCATATAACGAGTAAATCATAGGATGTTCTTTTTATTCCATGGTTAAAGTCATCATCAGAATCGTCGGAAATTAAGTGATTTAATTCGAATTTTCCAAACGATTCGGCGATGTTGACACTTAGCCTCGTTTTGAGTCTGAAGTAGCAAAAATCCATAAACCATCGCATACGGCGCCGTATGTCATGGCTAAAAAATCGTATGCTATGGTTAAGTGAATATTTGTCAAAAATATCATGTTTTACCACTGATTACAAAAATACCGTTTTTATTTTCACATGTTATCCTATGAATATCATGCTAACTATGGAATAAAAGTGTTTATGTACCATAGTCAATTTAATCAATAATGTAAAAAATATTGTATTCAATTTGTATGGTGCCCTTGGCAGCTGGCACATTAATCTAAAAGGTATAACAAGTACAAGGACCATTCAAAGTGTCTTATGTGTGTACATCACTTTGTAATGCTGCTTTACCTGTAATAAATATACATGTATATACATGTATTTCATACCTACTGAGGTTCTAGGTACATAACGAGCGGGAATATATAGTGTATCTAGGGACCGGGATGGATACACGCTGTATCCATCCCGGTCCAGCTCCTGAAAAAAAAAATTATTCACATTTTTTTCAAATGTTTTTTTCAATAAATTAAAAAAAAAAAATTTTTTAATTTTTTTGTCAAAAATTTTTTCACATTTTTTTCAATTTTTTTTCAAAATTAGTTTCACATTTTCTTTCAATTTTTTAAACTTTCATTTTTTTCAAATTTTTGAAAATCTTGCAAACTTTAAGACCAAGAAAACGCATAGCACCTTAAGTATGTTTTGGAATTTTGGATCTTTATAAGGTATGATGTATGTACCTAGAACCTCAGTAGGTATGAAATACATCTGTTATGTACGGTCGGTTTTGGATACAGTGTTTATCCCGCGGGAAATATGTGTACATATTTCCCTTGGGATAAACCCTGTATCCAAAACCTCCCAGTACATAACCCTTATGTATATACATTTTATATATATATACATCTTTAATTGATGCAGCATTACAACAATGAATTGTTGTTAAAAAAGAAAACATTAAGCAATATATATGATACTTTCTTGAAGAAATACACACTTGTTTTCATACCTTATTTTGCACCAGAAAATAACATATGGTAGGCAGGTACAGCAACTTTTTCAAAAATGTCTCCAAATAGATGTTCATGTACCTTAAATAGTTTATACTCCTTTTCACTAATAAACTGCCTAAACATACTCTTTATTTACAATCTCTGAAAGAGCTTTCTCTACAGCAGTATCTACGTGACTAGTGTCTGGGCTCAACATATTCAAGGAATGCATATAATATTGTAATTGACTTACAAAAATTCTGTCTAATATTCTTAAGACTAAATACAGCTCATTCAGGTATAAGGTTTTACAGGCAAACAAAAACCTTATATCTTAAGCATATAGTATATTGTGAATATATATGAATGTGAACTGACTTAAACCTCAAAAGAACACAAAGCAAGTCAATGAATATAACTGTATTTGCTCTTACAAATAACTGAGTTTCTAAATAATATAAATTGGATCAAAGTACATATAGAATGCCTCACTATATTAATTGCACAATAAATACCAATCTACAAGGAATTAAAATACTATACTATTTGTTAATCTATTGTAATTCCCTTGATTTAAATTTTCAAAATAAAATCAACATTATTCTTAGCTCTATTAAATCAACAATAGTTTTAATTTATAGCAAAATTAGAGAAATTTCAAACTTCAAACTCTATTTAATTTTGATTTTTGACTGTTCATATGCAGTTTATTATCATTTAATTTAATGATTGTCACTTCTTCAACTTTATACCATATTCTAAGGGACACTGTATCATGAAAAACAACAATCTGTGGACTGGTGAGTGATAATAAGACATCATATCACATACATCAAGTCTCTGAAGTTTTGTGGTTGCTTTGTGGATTTTTTAAAATAGAGCCAAAAAGGAAAAAATAAATGTTAATAGGTGGGTGAGTTTCAAAGTTTTCTAGGTCCTGTCTCATAATGACAATTCAGGGGGCAAAATGACAAGATCAAAAGAGAGACTGTGAGATATAGAAAACTCTATAGCTCTATGTACAAATCCACAATAGAATCTAAGAGAAGGTATTCTGAGGTCACAAATATATTGACATACATAGTCTAGCTATTTCAGTCTGTACTTACTATGCCCCAAACCACATGAAAATGTGTGAGAAGGAATTTCATAGCCAACTCTTGAAATCCTTATGGTTTAGATGAACTCCCATATGATGACTATAGATTTTGAATATAGACTTGAAGGAATTGATTGGAAACTCGGAAAAAACGTACACAAACCAAATGCTCCATTACAGCAATTACCAAGCTTGTAAGTTAAACCTACAGCTGACCTTATTTACAAATCTGTGTTGTCATGTTGGCCTTCTATAGGTTTAACACCTACATGCTGCTAACTGAATGAATGAAATCATTGTAAGAATCGAATTTGAAAACATCTTTGCAGCAAGGGTACCGGATTTTCTCGCATATACGCCCCCTAAATTTAGGCCCATGGGCCAAAAATCGAATGTAGTACGCTTATACGCCCATGGGCCTATAAAAAATGACTATTTATTGATTTTTTTCAATAAATTCAAGAGTATTTTCTCACTGGCAGATCGTTCTGTCGTTACTTTGTTTCAACATTAAGTTCAACGCTGTGCCGTAAGTGGCAGTAGTGGATCGTTCTGTTGTTACTTTGTTTCAACATTAAGTCAAAGGTTGTAGGTGACATTTCCTTTATAATTCTTACAAAACATGCGGTAGGACTACAACAGTAGGTACGGTAGTCTTTGAGGAAGATTGCTGATGCCCATGCTCTTTTCACCTTTACGCCCACTGGGCCAAAAATTGAAAGTAGTACACTTATACGCCCATGGGCGAAAAATAAGAGGTAAAATACCAGACGAAATTACCCCTTCTTTCAGTTATACACCCAGGGCTTATATGCGAGAAAATTCGGTATATGGAGTATTTTGTAATTATGAATTTAAGCGTAAATAGAAAGAATCTGCCATATTAAAAACATATAACATGTCATAACATGTCAAAAGAGGCATGGGAAGCCTTGACTCAAACATGTAGTTGAAGACTAGCACTATACCACTGGAGTATGAATATTACCATAATACTCACACACTTGGTAATGTTCACGATTTACTTTGATGGAACGTCAATGTAACAAAATGGATGAATGTCCTGGTTACAAGTTTTTTGTTTTCTCGATTTAAACCTACTTATAAAACAAGTTGCAGATTATATAATTTGGCACAAAGCTAGAAAATATAGTCTAGTTTTAATGAGTTTCTTCGATTTGGAATTTGTTTTGTAAATAAAGTTGCAATTCATATATTAACCCCCTCGCTTTTGTTACATTGACGAAAGTCTGTTATAATACCTATGCAGGTTACTTTGACGACTTACGTCAATGTAACAAAAGCGATGGTCTAAATGCATGAATTCTAGCCGAGGGCACTTCTAAAAGCTAGTATATCGTCTAACTTTGTGCCAAATGATAATCCGCAATATGACTTAGTTATATGTCAGTTTAAATCGAGAAAACGTAAAACACGTATCCAGGAAGTTCATCCATTTTGTTACATTGACATTGCGTCAAAGTAACTAGTTGTGGAACAGTGATGTTCATCTCCCAACTTAAAACTTGGCCCGAAGAGGAACATATTTCCAAATTCACTAGATGAGAGTAGAAATAATCTTGATTTACGTCATTAAATATTTAAAATTCAGTCAAAGCGATGTCATATTTGAAATCTGCATGTAAAAGTACATCTAGAAGTATGGTTTCGAAAATTGTCTATCAACTTTGAAAAATCTTTTTTTTTGAAAATGTGACTTCTTGTTCGGGTTGATTCCCCATAGACCCCATGTTACAAAATCACAAAAAGTGAATTATCTTTTCTTGTATTGGACAGATAACATTTTCTTTTACTGGACATATTTTAATTTGCATAACTATTAGATACATAAGGGTTATATAAAAATTGAACCACGCAAATAGATGTAATTTAAGTTAAAGGGAACTTTCTACTATACCCGCCATGCTATCTGACCCGAATGAGCCACCTGGTGGTGAATCTGGAAACTACCTACTCGCATCTGCGTTATTGTTCCATGCTCGGCTATTGAAGATCAGTTTATTAATGTTTAACTTTATTTCGAAGTTGCCTCATTGCTTTTTAACATCCAAAATGAGAAATATCAATTTTAATGATAAGTTATAAATTAATTGTATAACCGATTTAGTCTTAAGTCATCAATTTTAACCTCAATTGTGCATAATCTCATCACATGAAGGATTATCATCGCAGTCTTCTATTGCCATTATAATTTACATTGATATATTACTGTCTGAGCTAAAGCTCTGCCATTTTTAAATCTAAATAATGGAAATGTTGTAGAGAAGCCAGGATGAGGCACGTGAGGCGCTTGCCTCGTCGCTTTTTTAACAGGTTTGGAAATATTTTCAGCCTCATCACTTTTTTAACAGGCTTGGAAATATTTTTCGCCTCGTCGCTTTTATCATCCTGGCTATGCCACTGGAGTAAGGATATGATCATGTTTGAATCGTAATATAGACCTCAGATCAGGTATATCAAATAATAAATACCTATAGTCTAGGCACAAAAGCTTTCGAACCCCTCACTCTTTTCAGTCGTTGGGAGTAAAGAAAATGTTTGTGCATTACCTGCTCTTCGGTCTATATCTCTTTCTTAATTCACTACTCTTAGGTGCAAACAAAGCCCATGGTGTATAACTGTGACGATGCTTTCACGATATTGACACTACCATGGTCATGGCAGGATCCTTGCGCAACTTAAAAACACTTTTAACATGGGGACGGTTGTCAGGCAGCAGGCGCCATAAGTCTTGCAACAGATACGGTCTCGATTGTTCTTCACACTAGACTCTATTGCAAGACGTGTGCCTGGCACTACCGTCACCATGTTATTAAGTGTTTTTAAGTTTCGCAAGGATCCTGCCATGACCGTGGTAGTGTTATCATGAAAGCCTGGTATAACCGTGACGATGCTTTCATGATATTGACACTACCATGGTCATGGCAGGATCCTTGCGCAACTTAAAAAGACTTAATAACATGGTGACGGTTGTGCCAGGTGCCATAAGTCTTGCAACAGATAGATCTACGGTCTCGATTTTTCTTCACTCTATGACTTAGGCTAGATCAGAGCTCAAGCCCGGGAGCTCAAGACTTATCACATAAATAACACGTATGAGTATAAGCTAATTGCACCTCACCAAGACCATGGATCCATAACTGTGCATTATTCACAAGCGGATGATGCAATAAATTCACTGAAATTGGAAATGTCTGGCTGCAGCTGGAAAAATTTCGAAAATCCGAAGATGAGACTGTTTAAATATTTTCTTATTTAGGCTCTAATTTATGCGAAACGTCTTACATAGACGGTTTAAATCTACATCTGTTATGTTCGCTATATATTGAAATATATTGCAAATAAGATTTCACTGAACTGAATGTAGAAAATGAAGAAAACAAACCTGCTTCAAACGTCTTGCCGCTTTGCAAAATTCCCACACTAAAGTGCCACCTATCATGAAATTACACAGGACGAAAAGGTGAATGATGATGAAATATCATTGAAATCCTAGGGACCTGTCATTTTAAAAAATAATTTGTAGGATAAATACTATTGCATCAGCAATTGCAGGTTATACGATTCTGAAGAATTCAGCTTGGTCCATAATAAGGAGAGTCACCTTCTGATTGGACAATTTGATATTGCACTAGACTATTAATCTGGCCACTACATGTGGATCTAATCTAGAGCATCCCGGGATTTTCCAAGGAATTGCATCTACATCTGTAAAACAACATCACAATGGCTTGCACGTTTGCACATGCTAGCTTCTCCACCTTTCACTAGAGCACATAGTTTTTCTTTCCTCAGATTCTTCTCCTCAAAACCATGAACTAAATCCTGGGATTGGCTCAAAAAGGGATGTAGTCGACCCCAATGCACCCCCCGAACTCCTATGCAGTGCACAGGGGCTTGTCTCGAGGCGTCGGGCAAGCCCTCCGATGAATCAGCAGTAGATTCATCGGAGGGCTTGCCCGACGCCTCGAGACAAGCCCCTGTGATGCAGTGTCTCGGTATAGACACTGCGGCGGGCAGATTATGGAATCCCCAAAATTTGGGGAAGATAGTCCCTCTTTTTGTCACAGATGTACTTGTTTTTCACACAATTTATAAAATATATGTTCTTTTATGTTCACCAATAATTATTTTGTCAAAATATTCCAAAATCAATGAAATATAAGAGGAAATCCCCGCGGAAGAATTCTGAGTAAAAGTTGTGTTGATAAAAGTTTACCGCACGTGTTGTTTATTAGTTAATACGCGCAATTCAACCAATGAAATTGTCTAAATTGTACAATCACGCGACCTGAGCATGGGACTAGAACCAATCACGTAAGTTGTTTATTACGATGTTACCATGCTTACGGTGAGATACCTGCCCGCCGCAGTGATATTATCACTGCACGGGAGTTCGTGCACCCCCCACCTTTAGAGGCCAATGCAAATATACATACTTTTCTTTGTCTCCCTGCTTAAATTACTATTTTTTAAATATGTTTTTTATTTTCTAGTAGAACTGAAAAATACCCCCGTCTTCTTTGGCACAAGTTTACCTAAGCGCCCATTTACATTGGATCCAGTGATATGGTCTTGTCAGTTCAACCAATGGACTGTTAAAGACATCCCTTTGACTTTCAATGACTACTCCAATTTAACATTATCTATATTCAACACATTATAGATGAGGAACATATGGGACAATTTTAGATCTCTACAATCTGGGGGGCACTATGCACACATGGAGTGCTGAATCTTTTTTGACATTTGGTATGGTAAACGCACATTAGATCTGGTATGAGATAGAGAACATCCCCAAATATTTGACTTTTATTGGAATGGCAGTGGTCAGATTTTCCAGCATTCTGGTACGAGAATAGTTGTGGATTATATGTTACCTAACATTTGTGGTATGGCATATCAGGCCAATATTTTGTTGCAAGGTATGGCATTTGTTCCCACGCGGTCTTAACTTTGTCCGTTAATTTGAATTTTTGACCTACCAGATGCTCAAAAATCAAGGATTGCGGGTCTCAAACTGCACCGTTTTCTTCAAATTTATACCATTAAAAGCAAAACAAAATTGCCTTTCTGCCGGTGCATTACTTTATTGTAGAGTCCCTCGTTCTTGCAGCGTTTTGGTCCCCAGCTGTTAGAAGGCCTTCTTACAGCTGGGGACCAAAATGCCGCTGGAAGTAGGGACTCTGTTTAAGAGAATAATGCACCAACAGAAAGTGATTTTTGTTATGCTTTGAATGGAACACGTTTGAAGAAAAACAGTGCAGTATGAGACTCGTAATCCTTGATTTTCAAACATCCAGTAGGTCAAAAATTCAAATTAACGGTCGAAGTTAGGACCGCGTGGTTCCATAGTTGGACACTGGGTACAGCGCTGGTGCTGTTGGTATGTACATTCAGATTAGCAGATATTATAAGTTATTGAATGATTTGAAGAGCAATACGATATATATTGCACTCGAGGAATTCTTAATTGGCACAAGATGAAATGGAGTCAGTTCTTTTGAAATCAGTTCAAAAGAACTGAAAATTACAAAAGTGGAACAACTTGTTGTCAACAACATGTGACACGAGGCATTAACTACAAAATGTCACCACCTGCCATTTGTTACAGACACTGAACACCAACCGCCATAATATGTCTCCACTTGTGGCGATGACATAATACTGAGTAATATCACTGTATCAGCCTCCTAACAATGCATCCCATACATAATAGAAATGAACAGATACAAATATCGTATTTACAATTTTATATTTCTTCTATTCTAATTTCTCTATACAATTTTATACAAAACATATCTTTATTGTCTGAATGTGAAATGGATTTAAAACACTTTTTCATCAGGTTAAATACATACACGCATGTATTATAGATGAATATTTAGTCTAAAAATTGAGACTGAATTTTAAGTAGTTAGTAGTAGTAGTCAAAACATGGCAATTTTGATGGCCAAAATGTTTGAATTTTAATGTTAAAATTTTATTTTATAAAAATATGATGTAATTGATCAAGCATATTCTATACAATAAAACAATGCCTCAAATAAATATAATTTACAATTATACACAGTACAATAAAAAAACAATTACTTAACAATACTAGTATTCAATATATCTTAAAGCAATACTGAAGCTGTGGTGGAATTGTTTCCATGAATCAATTTCATCTTCTGTGTATTATATGAAATATATATGTATGACTTGTAAGTATATGCAGTTTAAGAACACCACTGGAGCAGTACTACAGCAGAAATGTCCAAACTAGTATATGTTTATTCAATGTATAGTCTACATTTCTAAAATCAGTCAAAATGTTTTTAATTAAAAGCCTCTGGCAGTCGGACCATATTATGACGATGTATGAATGTGTTATGTATGAGTGTGTGTCAAATGTATCATGTTTGTTTTGATTTGTATTTTTTTCATTTGCTTCCCACTTGCACTTATTTGACTGAAGCTTTACTTTACTTTTTAGGTTCAGCACCATAGCAACACTAATGTGTTTGTGTGTGGGTGTGTGTTATTTAAAGGTATGTTTCCAATTGTTTACTTGGTGATGACTCCTGTCCACCAGACCACCCTCATTTCCACAAGAGGAGGGAAAGTAGACGGGGTAAGTTTAGATACTTGATGTAAGACTACAGGCCTGCCAGAATTATCTATAACATTGTAGATATATCAGCATACGTGGATCAACAAAATTTGACTATATACATTTGTTGTAACATTCCTCTTATTAATGGAACAATGGTGGCGAAATGCTTCTTTTAAGTAAAATAAAACAATGTATATCCTAATATCTATCATTACTATGAGGGCATCCAGCCATTTTGATCAGTCAGCACTTTTGCTGTGGTTTAAAATGTTATAACTAAAGAGATCTATGATGCTGTACAATCATCCAAGTCCATTGAACAGGAACATTCAACAACATTGCACCATCTGGAGTACACATATTTTGGTCAAGTGTTAAGGTACACAACCTTATTCTCCTCCAACAGGTATTATCCAGCCACTATATATTGTATCACAAAAAATAACTGTAAATCAAGTAATTATTCAACAGCTCAAGATAAAAGACGATGATATTTTGAGTTGAGAAATTTGATTCAGTTCATCTAGAAGTCACTGTCCCCGTCAGAGTCATCAAAGTTGTATTTGACAGCAGCTCTGGCTCGGCCACCTCCTCTAGGGACAACTGGCACAATGTCCATATCATCGCTTCCATCAAAGTCACTTTCACTTTCACTGTCTGCCTTGCGCTTTTTCTGCAATATCAAATTATTGAATTACTTATACAAACAATCAAAACCTGAAACATATTTAATGTGACTTTGAATACCTATAATTCTCATCCTAAATACAGTAACCTCAAATATTTTCAATTTATAATGAATTTGATGTGTAACTTACATTGAAAAAATGTCTTTCCAAGTAAGCAGTAAAACTAAGTAAGTAAGCTAAAAACTACTTGCACTTTTTTAAAGTTTAATTTTAATGATTTGACTTCTACACAAACAATTTCCAGAAACGAAAGTTAATGGATATATTTTACACAAAGGTTTGTTACCTTTGCAGCCGCTGCACTGGATTTCTTTTTAGGAGCAAAGTCATCAGAATCATCGGAATCCATCTTCTTTGGTCTTTTCTTGGGAGCAGCTTTTTTCTTAGGCTTTGGCTCATCATTTGATTTGGGTTTCTTAGTGGCAGCAGGTTTCTTGGGGGCAGCTTTCTTAGGTGCCGGTTTATCATCATCTGAGAAGTCGGAAATATCAATGTCTGAGTCCAACTTTGGTTTTTTAGCTTTTGGTGCAGGTTTAGCAGCCAAAGGCTTATCTACAAATATAAAATAAGATATTTATATACCAGGCATTAACATGCAAAATGTCATCACTGTCCATTGTTACAGACACCATACACTGACCACCAAATACCAAACACAAAAAAGTGAGTCCATAACAATATGTCCCACTTGTGGTGGTGACATTATAAAATCCTCTTTGAGGCAGCCCAGTGACCAACTGTTACTACCAAGTCCCAGAATGAATCCCATCATTAAGATACTAAAACAGATGTTATCAACTGAATCAACTCTGAGTAATAATCCTGAGATAATTGACCTCATGAAATGAGCCAGTCCACAGGTAAAGGGGTCTTATCAAAGATTTTTTCAATGTTTTGATGTTTTTGATGTGTGAAAAATACAAAAAAGACGAATTTGAATTTAGCACATTTTCCTCTTAATCTTGGGCACATTTTTGGCTCTGTAGCACAATTTAAATTTTTGTGATAAGACCGGTTTTCCTATGACGAGGCTCAAACAAGATTGACAGCTCGAGGCGACATCTATCACTACTTAGATACTGTAATATGTTTACATTCATGAACCTTTATTGTTAATTCATACACGTGTCATCCAATTGTACAAATAATCAAGAGACAAATAATGAAACTAAAATCCGTACCATCTTTAGGTTTTGAAATTCTGGCCCAAAGGTCATCAGGTCCCTCAGGTTCAGAGTCTGATTTTGTTCCGTTAGTGGACTGACTGGATTCCACAGGCTTAGGCTTAGACTTACTCATAGCTGCGAATATACTCGGCTGTTTTGGGTCTGCTGCTTTACCTGCAAAGGAAGAAGTTCATATGTATTCAATTAGACTTTATGAAGTATTTTGCCTGAATTAAATATTGAGGCTGAATGGTGAATACAGTAGATTATATCAAGTTGAAAATATCTGTCGAACACTTCAAAGTCAAGAGACTCATTGAGTAATGTTAATTGCAATTGAAACTAAGTGAAACACCTCATAAATGGAACACTTTAGTTAGAACCAAGGGCATTCCAATCAACCAGGTTTTAATGTTCACTGATTCAACACCAATGAGAAAACTTGCAAACAAGTTTATATTATTTGACATACTTTTTTTGTCTCCAACAGCTGTCACTTTCTTTCCAAGTGTCTTCTTCTTGGCTGGTTCCTTCTTAGGTGGCTCCTTATAGGAGTCATCGCTATCACTAACAGGGGCAGCTGGAAAACCATTAATACATGAACATTATTGTTATCATCTTTTTAAATAAAATAAAAAAAGAATTTACACAAATACAAGGCAGCGATCAAAGTTGATAATGATGTTAAAATTATGTTTTAGGGATTTTATATGATCTTCTTTTTATCATAATTGCTGATACTTCAAATTGCTGATATGAGGTTGATCAAATTCACATTTGAGGTTTATTTGCAGTTATTTATGAAATGTCAAGGACGGTGTTTGATAACATATTTACGACAATGGTACAATGCCTTCGAAAGATAACATTGATACCATTTATATTTGGAGATGTAATCCTTGAGTAGAATGAAAAATCATAATAATTATCTTGTAACTTTTTTAAACAAAATTAGCTCTGAGATACCAACCATTTTTGGGAGAGCTATCCTCGCTGTCTGAGAAGTCCATAGCAGCCTTCTTTGGAGCCCTGGAGTACAATTATGTAATAATTAGGTGATATTTCTCTTGCAAATTCTAGTATGATATAAAGTGCCTGGAGTCATGTAGTCACGGATTCGATTGCTCAATTGAAAATTGAATAATTAGTTACTAACTAATTGTTGGAATTTTAGCAAACTGCATTAATATAATAAACAGGGTTGCATAAAATAGTGAATTGAAGTCATTCTGAAAAGGAAATGTAATCATTTTTGAATGAATAAGATAAAGATATATAAATTCATTTGCAGAGAACACTCAAAAAGATAATGTTTCGGAATCCTTTTTAAGAGTTGAAGACATATAGATGGAAGATCTTTCCATGAGAACAAGTGTATTGGCATTAGAATATAGATCTTATTGTGATGAAACTCACTGTTTCTTTGGGGCAACATGGAATGATTCATCGTCACTGGAGATGTGATCGTACTTAGGGCCATCACTGTCAGAGTCTTTGTCTGCAGCCTTGTTAGGGAGAAGATCATCTTCATCATCAGACGCCGAATCAGAGTCATAATTGTATGTCTTTTTGGCTAGAAATAAAAAACACTTCAGTAATATGAGGATACTTAGGCAGCATTTTTCCCTGTATCCCTTCAGTAATGAGACAATACCTAAGTGGTATGATGTATCAGTTACTGGAGTACAGTACACTATTTCGCACAATAGATTACAGTCATAGATTACATGTATCATAGTCATAAATACATTTACAATAAGATTACAGTAAAACCTGTCCGATGGAATACCTCTCTGTAGGGAAAACCTATGAACAAGGAATGCTTTTCAAAAGAACCAAATATTTTTCCATTGACTTACATGTTAACGGACCCTCTCTGTAGGGAAAACCTGTGAACAGGGAACAAGGAACACTATTTTGGGGCAAATTATGAAAATTCACCTGTGAACAAGGAATATGGAATATTGGTGACACTGTATATTCCATTATTTTTCAGAGGTGTGAAAGTTTCAAGCCAATATCTGAATATAAAAAGCTTGGATTAATATGATTGAGATTAAGATAAGCCAATTGTTTACATCAAGTAGCATCCCACCTACTGTTAATTACCCTGATTTATTTAAAACTAATATGTTTGTTTCTTATTATCATGACACTAATTCTTCCTTTCAAAAACCTAATTGCATCAAATCAGTAGTGATAATCTAGGGACTGACACATTGTTTTATGGAGAGATAAGTACATGGTCATGTTGAGCCAAGTCTCTTTAAAACTTTTACTGATTCAACTTCTAGATTATCAATGACATCAACCCCATTTTATATCACTTGATGAAACTTGAAATTCAGTTCTTAGCAATATATCTCTACACATCATATCAATAATTACATCAACTAATCATCAGACGCTAGCAGCAGCTAAAATCAACATGAGGAGACATAACCAAGTATGGAGCCGGCATTTGTACAATCAATCAATATATATACAAATATGCTTATTCGGCAACTTTGAGTTTGCTGAAAATGCGGCCCCTCTCTATAGGGAAAACCTCTGAACAAGGAAACCTTCCTTCAGTCCCAAGAGCATTCCCTGTTCGCAGGTTTTACAGGTTACAAGTTTTTTCGCAGGTTTTTGTATATTACATGTGAAAACTAAATATAAATATATGAAGTACTTGTTGAAAGTGATTAAAGTGAAAGTGACTAACAATTCAGCTGAGCAAGGTTTGGACAATGAGAAACATTCTATTCTACCTGTAGCCGCTTTTCTTGCTCCTGCAGCTTTCTCTCTTGGTATAACAACCATATCTTCTTCATCATCTGAGTCGGACAGGCCATCACTGATATCCTCATCGCTGCTCCAAGGGTTACGCTTCTTGCCCCCCTTCTTTTTACCCTTAGGGCTCTTTTTTGGTGATTTGGGCTTTTTGGGCTCTGCCTTTTTAAAGGCGTCTTTGATTGATGTTTGCTTCTTGGCTTTTTTGGCTGGAAGTATGGAAGATTTTTGAATTATTTAGTAATTTACTTTTAATACAATGATGTAATACATTTGAATTTATAACATAGTTAGCCTTTAAATGTTTGAGGCTGTGCCTGCCAATTTCAGTCAAGAAATAAACATACAAATCATTTCTGGACTAGGAATAGTAACTCTCTAAGAATTGCGTATCGTTAAAAAGTTTATTCAATTGCACATAAACTGCACAGTAAACAATACTGCAATATGTTCCATCTAAGCATTGTGTGTGAAATAACTGCAACTAATATGACTACCAGATCACCTAGTCATAGAACTTTTGTCACACATAAAAGCAATCTTCTTGCTTTCAACAACATGTTCCCTGACCTATTAAGTTTAAATGGCAAAGTCCTCTGATTAAAAATCATTTGGTTTTCAGCTTTGAATAAAACAGAATTTTCATACTTCAGTTTTGCACTTATGTCAATGCAATGTGCAGGCACTTGGTGTAAGGGTATTTCTCTGATATTGTGATCATTGACATGCTGAATGTCTTTGCTCTGTATTTGAGCTATCCTTGAATTAATGTTAAAGTCATTAGACTCAAACTGACTCAGTTCACTAATCATCACTGTGGAGTCTCTATGTACACATGAGAGAGTAGAAAAGTTCTTTCTTGAACTAAAAATCTCAGTCATACCCTCTTCCAATAATTTTGGGCTGCCACCTATTCTGTCTGCAAGGGACACCATAGACTTTGTATCACTTTTGTCATCGTCGTCGTCCAACCCGTTAAACAGATCATCACCCGTCTTGACAGTTTTATCCTAGAGAATATTAAATTTATTTAAAGGCAGAATCTGATCTATAGGGGGTGACAAAATTACAAGCAACATGTATAATTGACTTACCAATCTATTCCTTACAATATCAAATACAATATCTCCCAAAAGATTCACAATATGTTTTAAATTGGTGAAGTTATTAATGATTCAAAGTGGAAAAATGAGTGAAAAATGTTTAAATTCTCTCAAATAATAAGAATGGTAACCATTCTTATATAAATATAATTCATTATTGAAAAAATCTTTAGTTTTCCTGGAATAAAGTATGCACTTTTGTGATTTTTAGAAAATAGGCATGACAAGGAATGACAGGAGCCAAAAATATTCTAAAATTGAAACAATTTTTTGTTTAGCCTGCTAGCTATATCTGATTCTCTCTTTAAAGTACAATAAATCCCCTTTATTTACAACACTATCATTCCTATAGTTTGATTTTATGACTACTACTTTTTTGATGTATTGAAGAAAACATTACAAAATACTGGACAATATAGCTTCTTAATAAGCTTGCAATTTGATTGCAAATAGTTAATGATATGCAGCACATACAAACAAGGCACACAGTGATAAATATCCCCTTTTTAATCGAAAAATTCAAAATGGGCGCCAAGTAATTTACCCAATAAACCCAAAACCTCTTTGTAAATTTCGAAGTTAAGGGAAGTGGCCTCCTTAGAATTTTGATGCAAGTTCTGTGATGCGCCTGCCAACCCAGCAGCACAAGATGTCGAAAATATTGCACGAAGAAAATGTGCCATAAATTACCTTTTTCTTCTGTTTCCTGATAGCCTCTTTTTCTCCTTTCTGTCTGAGATTAGAGTCTATGATAGGCACAACTCTACGGCCATATGGTGAGGCCATGGTCTGCTCAATGGCAAACTTCTTGGGCTTAGCTCTGCCACCCTTTGTCCCTTTGGGAACCTTAAGTCCAGCCAGTGATGCAGCCTCTTCTGCTTTCTGCTGCTCTTCAATCACCTAGAATCAATAAGCATGATCAGTTTGGCCTATGACTAAAACTGTGCATTTGGTTCACACTAATTCAGCTGTACTACTATTTGTGTATAGACCCATATAGTCTCAGGTTATCACCCCGTACTTTCTTATGCCATGTAAAATGAAGGAAATATGGTATTTGGTTTTGGAAGGACAGGGAAAATACAACTTGCAAAAAGTACTAACCACCAGTTCTTTGCTGAAATTATCCAGGTCCTCCATCCAGAGATCCTTGGGTGTCTTATCACGAAGAACTCTCAGTTCTTGAGCTTTGTTGTCACGCTGTTTCAATAACTCATCTTTCTTTTCCTTTGTTAGGCACCACAGAGCCATCTGGAGGATGTAGTTAAAGTCTGGTCCACCTTTCGTGGCTGACTGAGATTCATTTTCATCGAGATCGTTGTCTTCAATCTCATCCTGTATAAGAAAAATATAATCTCAATATGATGTACGAGGGTTGCCCCAGAAGTATTGAATTAATTCTAAGTTTTCATTATCCAAGGCTGAGATTTCATTTGTTTTGTCGATGTTGAGACAATTTCAGATTAATATAATAAAACCATAAAGGAATTTTAAGGGAAAATATTTTTATTATATTTAATTTTTGTGAATACCTAAACTTGAGTTGTGCAGGGTACCTGGGGAACACTTTTCATCCATAAATATTAAATAAAAAAATTCAACCCTCATTTTTTCAGTTCTTACCAGTTTATTCTGTGCCTCCTTCCAGGCTTTAACAGGGTCAGGATCATAGCCTCTTCGTACCAACATCTGAACTATCTCCTTCTTTGGGACATTTTCTGTACAAAAGAAAAATAGAAATTACATGTCAAGGAAATACTATCTTGTTACAAGTTCACAAGGATATATATTTTAATACTTAAACAAATATCTATTTGTTAAAAATCGATAGTCTCAATTTTTGCTTTATTGAATACAATACCAAATTGTCAAATAAATGTAACTGGATTTTCATCAATAGGACCAATGTCATTTTCCATTTTTCAACCAGGTGCTCTGACTGGTAGCTCTTTGAACACAAGGGGAACTACTGGAGGGAGACTATGGAGATAAGGTAACTCAAAACATGAACTATGAGAGCCTTCAAAAAGTAAGGTATATAGCTTCCAAAAAGGTATATTTTTGTTAGGTATAAGATTTTGTTACTTTCCTACAAAAACATTATTATATCCATATAAGGCATTAGACACATGAAATTTTAAGGTACATAAGGGTCTATAAATCATAACCCCTATAGTTTACCTATTTTGATGGTTCCCTCTATCTTCTCCATGATGAAGCGAGCCTGATTATCCAGCTTCAAGGACTCTGCTGCAAGACTGCCCTCCATGTAATCTTTCCTAATTTGGTAACGGTCCAGTCTTAGTTCATAAAACTCCTTTAAGATATCCACGACATTGTCATATCGACGGATGCACCCATTTTGGTCAAACAACACCTGCAAAATACATTATTATAAATCAAATGTACAATTTAAAATACTAAATGTCACAGACTGTTTTTAGTGATCACTGGTTTTCTAATTTTAGAGTAATTTCATAAAATTGCCACAATAACCCATATTTTGCTATTTTTACCATGTAGTGGTCATGGTATCACTGTTAAATACAGTGAGAACACTTTTCAGAGTCCCAAGTCCAACTGATTTGATATTAAATGTACCTCTATAAATGGTGCACCTCATAAGTGGAATACTTATTAGATGAACCAATGATGTTCCACTTAGACAGGTTTTACTGTAGATTGAAATGACTTACCATACTGTTTGTTGATATAGTGGTGGTGAGCTTGAAGAATTTGTGCAGACCCTGGTGTTCAGCTTGAGCCAGCTTATCAGCAGCCATCTTCACAATGAACTTCACTGTAGTGTCTGTGTGGTACTCCTTATAGTCCCTGCAACAAGGCATTGTATACTGCAGTGTTCTATACATGATTTTTCACAAGTGTACGGCAAATTGTCACCCCCCAAAGGTCTCTAACATTTTTCACCATCCATATTATGGACCTAATCTATTGTATTTCCATTATTTCCAGTTTGACATGTTTTGTATATTGCCGACAATGATGAAAAACGTAGGCAATAATATTGTATTGTATTTTTATATATTCTAATGGAATAAATGAGAGATGAAAAAAAAATATTGTCACATTTACAATTCTGGTCAAAATATACAAGTTTTTCATTTTGAAGCATTGGCTGCTGTAGAGCAAATGTGACTGAGGCTTATAAGGTGATCAAACCAGAGCATTCTGTCCAAACTTACTGAATAACTGCAGGTACTTTCTCAGTGCCCTGCAACATTGGCTCTAGTACACTCTCCTTGTAGTTCTGGGTCCATGTTCTAATAGGCAGCTCTAGGATCTCAACAGTAACATCGTCCACAATGTTGATCTCACCATGCACCACATAACGTATGGGATCTAACTCCTCAATGACTCCCTTGAAGTCCTTGAATGCAGGAACCTGCAATAGAAATTCATAAGCAGATGTTAAAATGGAATTTTCTAAAACTACAGTTAAGGTGGCTCAATTGGCTGGGTAATACATTATTGCAGGATTCCGAAATTTTATTCCAATAACATTTTCAATTTTATATGATGTTCTATGAAATTACATGATTGATAAACCAAAACAAGAAATAAAGGCATTAACATGTGACAAAATGTCACCACCTTTTAAGTTATCGCAAAGTGTTACAGACACCAACGCCATCCACAAAAAAAGTTGGAGACTATAACAATAAGTCACCACTTCTAGCGATGGCATAAAAATAAAGGGGATACAACAAGGAAACTGACCCGTGACACAATCTAAACCTAACATTTGAGAGAAAAACTATAAATTGTACCTACCATTGGCAATGGTTCATCTCCCTCCATCATTCTCTTGATATTGGCTACAATCTCACGTACATCGTAGTTGGGAATCTTTGTGCTCCAACCTGTACCGATACCCTCAGCTCCATTCACAAGGACCATGGGGATTATGGGACAGTACCATTCAGGTTCTATCTTCTGGTTGTCATCGTACAATGACTTCAATGTAGGCTCATCTGATGCCATGAACAGCAGGCGTGCAAGGGGACTGAAAACAGAAACAACAGATCATCATTTTTTATTTCTATTTTGTTTCTTGAAAAGTACTTGAGATGATATTTTAGTGACCCCAAAAGTAGCTGCCATGGCCTGTAAGGAGAGTTTGTATATGAAATAAGTAGGGCTCTCACGGTTTCATATTTCCTCGGTTCGATTCGGTTCATGGTTTTTATCTCCTCGGTTTCGGTTCGGTTTTCGGTTCTTATCATACTTAAGGATGCAGTACCGGGTCGGTTTTCACGTCTGTTTGCGCAGGTTTGACTTCCGGTTTGAGAAAGCTAGCTCCCAAGAACGTCATTTTCGCATTTAGTCTTAATCAAAAATTATAGTTTATTTCGATAATGATGTTTCCAGAAAAGAATTAAATTGCAAACATTTTATCAAGCATATTTTATCCCTTTCACTTTTGTGGGAAAACTTGTTCTTGAGTCGCAATTAGTTGATACAAAAACCAGGGTTCGAAAGGTGCCAGCTCTATTGAAAACTCAAAAAAGTAAAAAGATTCATTTTGGGTGGGTAAAATAACTTTTTTATTTTGTAATTACCAGACGGTCAATCCTCTTCATATTGCACTTGGATGATGATAACAGCATAGTGATACATTGTAAAAAATATGAGCAAAATCTAATGTCTGGAACTTATTCTACGCTGAACTGGTACTGCATCCTTAAATGTAAAAAATCAAATAACTCAAAAAGATGGTGCGATTTCATTATATAAATGAGCAGCCCGGGAACATGTTTACCTCTGATCTAAGTCAGTTTTATTTACAAATTAATCATTAACTTTGTATTGTATTTTATTTATGCGATGATAAATAGATGGCGCGATTTCATAATAAATAAGCGGCCCGGGAGCATGTATAACTCTGATCTATTCTATTTTTGCAGACAGCAAATTTTCACATTTTTTCACACATACCTTTCTCATATACCATAACGATTTTGCAAAGCTGGTATATCGTTCTTTCCGGGAGAGGAACACCATCTCTCGTTGGAAACCCAAAATAACCCCAACAGTGGGCCTTGCACGACTTTTTAGCATTTAGAATGCTGAAATCTTCACCTCTCATTTCGAGATTCATCTTACTCTACTTTAGCGAACGGCACTTTTTTCTGAATTAACGAACCGTTAAAAAACCGAACATCGGAGTTTTCGAACCGAGCGTACCGACCGAGGCCCAAGAAGCGCGGAGCACCACGGTTTCGGTGCACCGTTAGACCCTTAGAAATAAGTAACAGCTACTTATGGAGGCATTAAATTCTGTGATTGCAATTCTAATTGGAAATCTGAATTTTGATCGACCCAATCTGGTTGAGCAAGCCAAAATCAAATGATTATCTCTTGTTCAAAGAAGGAAGATCAAGCTCACTTTTAAATATGTTAAAAAAACTTTTTTGGGTTCTTACACTGGACTGATGATAGTCACATTAACACATTTGCATGGTAGCTTACCTAAGGGCAGTGAAGATGTAACGGGGAGACGCAGCATCCTTGCCTCCGTGAAGACGTGTACCAAACTGACCAATGGGTTGCAAGAGATTTACGTTGTTGCTGCCGACAAAATTCTGTGCTAATCCTATGATCGTTCCCATCAGAGATTGCTGCAAAATAAAGTAACAGATTTTATAATAGTGTAAATGGATTAAAACGTACGAGTGATTTTATTGAGGTATTATCGCTCATGAATGGTCTATTGTGGCTTGAAAGTGGGTAGACTTTGATAAACAGCTTGCTTCAATGAATGTGTTTATTGCTTGTAACCATGTTGACCAATGCTCCACATGGAGTGTTTTACTTCATTACTTCAATTTGAAATTTTCATTTTTCAATTTTCAAGTTTTCAAATTGACACACTTATAACCTAATTGAAATGCAGCCTCTTCTGTGTGATTTTAATATGTGGATGATTGTGAATTCTGAGAATCTACAATTGAATAAAATGGCAATATAATTGTTGCTACTTACCTCACCATGGTGATAGGCAGATTGTTCAGCTACTGACCCAGCCAATTGAGCCACCTTAAGTTCCTTGATGAGGTTACGTTTAAAACATGCAAACATCACCTTACGTTGCCCTGGCTTGAACCCTAAAGTGGAACAAGCAAAGCTATTTGAAAATATGCACAAAAAACTCTAAAAGATGCTAGGTAATTTTCAAATAATCAAATTACGAAATAGTAAAAACATTACAAAACCATAATCGAAAATAATTTCTTAGTGCATTTATACCTAATACCTAAGATCTTCCATGTTTTTTTGTCTGTTCTGTATCAAAATGAAATCATGCTGATCGAGCAAACTGCTAGTATTACATAAAGGTACTTCACAACAATAAACACACAATATATAATATCAATATGTAAACTACTTAACTGCCACCTAAAGCAACTACACCACACTAAAAGGACACTGTGATCATGCCTTTTATTTCAAATCTTGACAACATACACTGAGATTTTATAGAACCACTCACAAAGGTTGACCTCACAAAGGTCTAAGGGATGGTGTCCACAGGTTAAAAGTTGTGGAAGGGGGAGAGGAAATGATGAGAATTTTGTGCAAACTATTCATTTTTGGCCCTAGTTTAAATTTCTTTTTTCAGGGAAGGGGGTTAAACGATAAAGAAATTAACTTTGTTTTCTCACAACTGTTAATATGTGGAAACCCTTCCTACAGGGACAAGTTTCTTACCATCTACCATACAAGGAATGGACCTCTCATTGTCCATATTGCTGAAGAGGATCAACTCTTTGTTGATGAACTCTTGGAAGGAGATTCTTGAGGTGTTAAGCCCATAGAGATACACCTGAAGGTGATATTTATGAATAACATTGCATACAAGGTTACTTGAAATAAAGCTAAGGCATACAGCTGGGGGTGGAGGGGGTTAAATAAGCTATGTTCTCTTCAAGATTTTTTCTCATGTGGGTGTGATATTGCTGCCCAAAAATGGTGAAAACATGTCAATAATTGAAAATTTTCTCATTTTAAGTGGATTGCAGATGGGGCCAGCATATTTTAAGAATATCTAAGTTGGTGAGGCACCCACTTGCTATAATGCTGAAGAGAACACCTGAGGATTTAAGCAAATCAGAAGAACTGAGGAGGGTAAGAAATAAATGTTTTGGGCCAAAGAATTATAATTATGTAGTCACAACACACACCTAAAAGTCACAATTGTGCAAAATATTACAGCAGATAAAACTATTGGAGAAGGAAGACCCATTCCTTATTGCATAAATTTTTGTTTATTCAAAATATATTGTTGGAGGATGTCAAAATCCCTCCGTTTAATACAAAATTACACACAAAAGAATGGTCATCACTTCTATTATAGTTTAGCAAGTCCAAGCCACCCCAACACCATCTAGAAGTATTGAACACTCCCCCAAAAGTTTGGCAATCCTTTCTCTTAATTATATGTGTTCAAATCAGTTTATGTTTGAATTTTTCCTCAAACACAATAGGTTGGAAATTTAAATATAGATTTTTGCAAACACTAACAGGTTGTTACACATGATCCAGTAAGAGAAGTTTGGTTTCTGAACTTCTAAGGGAGTGCAATACAAAACAAACAGGATTTCGCAGCAATCAAGTTGTGAAAATTAAGATATTTTTGACATGATTAAGATCAGTTTTGTCATGCTGATAATGTCACTTGGATAATGTATTAATGCAAAAATTTAAAGGTTTTCCCAAGGAAATTTGGCTTATTTTCTGTCATTCTGACATTAAGCTTAATGTTTTCATTTAATTTTCTATTTCAGTGCATGACACATGTGACATTTTCATGGGGATCCCTAATCCACCAAATCACCAGTGTACCCTACAGTTCTACAAGCAAATCAAGCCACACTACACGAATCCTACAAGTGCAGGTTACAACACACGTAGCTTACCATCGACCATGCAAGGTATAGAACGCTCATTGTCCATGTTACTGAACAAGATCAGCTCTCGGTTGATGAAGTCATTGTATGTCAGATGAGACATATTTTTCCCATACACATATAGCTATAATAAAAGGACATAAAACATGGTTTGCATTAACATAGATTGATGTGTGAACAGACCGATTTGATCTCTGAAAGTGTCTGGCATAGTACATTTCCTTAATGCCTGTTATTTCCTATAAAACCCACATGGAATATCATATCAATATTAAACATTCTTTTTAACAGCCAGCAAACTACAAAACATATTGATATGACAAAGTCAGCAATACTGTTAACTGTTCATTAATCTACAGTTAACAGTAGAGCTGAGTACAGTTACAGTAGAGCAGTAAAACGTACAGTACTTAAAAACTTGTAAACGTAGCAATACAGGGCAATTTCCAAATGTCTGATACCCTATTAATTTACAAACAGCAAGGTTTTATATAACTGAGACCCCAGGAACTGTAATACCCTACCCAACCAAATCTGTATTTGATGAGACAAACAAAACTGTAGTTTTATTTGGAGCTTATCAGCATCAAAAGACCCTTAAAAAATGTACTAACATCTGGCATCCCTAACTGGGCTCTTCTCTTCCTCTCTTCCATCCAGTTGGTCAACCATTCCTTCCTCTGGTCAATCTTCTTCTTGCTGAATGCCTACAGGAAAAAAAGAAGTATTAAATAAAATGACATCCATTGGGCAGAATGAGAAAAATGGGGGGGGGGTGGCCCATTTGATGATTTAATGGACACAGGTGAACAAAGATAATCGAAAGAAAGCAGCAAGTCTTGTTGTTTTTACATGGTTACTTGTACATATCCAGAATTAAATTCATCACCTTGACACCTCCTCCAGGCATAGAATAGACAAGGGATACTAGTAAACACAAAAGGTATGTCACCACGAGGAAAGGTGATGCTGACTAAAAGGTCGGATAAAATAGTGGCTATAACAATATGTCACCACTTTGTGGTTGTGACATAACAGTGGAACATACCAAATCAACTGCAGAATCATCTTCAGTGCCAGTGTACTTGAACTTGATCCTGTGGCGTGTCATCTCACTGAAATACTCCTTTGCCTCCTTAGATGTGGAGGTACCCAAACCTAGAACAGACATAACAGTGGTCCCATTAGCAGTAGGCAATGCAGCGATTCTCCGGTTCTTTCAAGATCAAAAAGGGAAGCATATCAAAGTCCTCATGTTTATAACACAGAGTAGCATACCCTTTTCTTGAAAGCCCACATTTCTATCAATATAGGAATTTTGCAATTGTTTACATGTTAGGATTAATTCATCTTGCTTGTTGACAGAAATTCTTATGATGAAGTATCTGGTATATTTCAAATCTAAAAATAATTTAGGAACTCATTGAAGAAATTAAAGGTGAAATAGTATGATAATCAAATAAGGTGGATTGTGAATGACAAATATTCTGAATCCACCATTATTCATTAATACATTATAATTCTAAATCTACACAGCCAATATAATTTGGCACCGTTTCGGCATCGAAAAAATTCGACACTGTTCTGGCACTGTTTCGGCACCAAAACCTTTCGACACCAAAATTTTCTACCGGACTAGTCAGTCGAAATTTGGCACCAAAACAGATTGCATTTTGGGGGTGTACCCTAAGATTTTTGACAACTCAGTGACCCCTGAGAAAAATCACCTTTGTAGTACTTGACTTTATAGGTGTGCCAGTTGGGAGTATCTTTCTTCCATTCCTCAAACTCTGGTAAACTGTAAAATGATTGTTCCTCTGATCTGCCCTTGGAAACCTGGAGAAGAGAAATGTATATCATGGTAATCCAAATCCAGTATTCAATTGGGAAAAGAGAAGGGTTAAACATAACAAAATTAATCTGTTTTTCCATAAATGTTGACATTTAGACACCATACCTTATTGCCTTCAAATCAATATAAGCAGGAAATACCTTAATCACAGGTGTGAAATATCTTGACAATAAATGCAGTGATCTCCACAGGATTTTTTCTCAGGTGGGTGCAAAATTCACACCAAAATTTTGTTCAAAATATGCCAATTTTTTTATGATTTTTCTCATTTTGAAGTGGGTGCAAATGTATTTTCAGGTGAGTGCAAGCCTATTTTCAAAATCTCAAGTGGGTGCTGCGCCCACTTGCTTCAATGCTGGGGAGATCACTGAAATGAGAATACCTTCACCATAGATATGAAATATGTTGGCGATAGGTGCAAATACCTTGACATTAGGTGTGGATTGTCTTGACAACAAGTGTGAAATACCTTGACAATAGGTGTGATGAACTCCTCCAAGAAAGGTTGCTTCAACAGTTGGGGCCAGTTGTGGTGGATAAAGTTGATAAGTAATCCCTTGATATGGGACCCATCTTGATCCTGATCTGTCATGATCATAAGCTTCCCATAACGCAAAGTCCGCAGTGAATCATATGTGTCATATTTCTGTTTGTACTGCAGACCCATAATCTTAATGATGTTGTTAATCTCAGCATTTTCCATAATCTAAAACCATTGAATTTAACATCATTTTTTCAAATTCATTTTGACAATCAAAACATTAGTTGCCATGATTATAAAACGTAAAGTACACACAATTATATCCAAGAGTATAAGCAGAGAAAAAAAATTATACAGTTACAATTCTTTTGTGTTTTATCAAAACAATAACAACATTTCTACAATGGTATATGATTAACTATGTCTATAAATTTTACATCGGAATTCTCGAATGCTGAATATTTAACACAAAATGACACAAAATTGTTCCAAAATGGGTGATGAAAATAAAAACAATTTCAAAACTTGTTTTATATGACTCAGGACCACTTCCATGAATGAAAAACATAAATCTTATGATCTCACCTGCTTATGTGTGGCCTCCCGCACATTGAGCACTTTTCCTCGAAGTGGGAAGACACCATACCTGTCCCTGCCAACCACCCCCAGGCCAGCCACTGCCAGGGTTTTGGCTGAGTCTCCCTCAGTCAGGATCAAAGTGCAGTCTATTGAGTTCTTTGTACCTAGAAAATTTGTGAGAAATAGTAACATTAAATGCATTTTTAGTAAATCAACTTTTTGGACAACTGAAGAATTAAACACTTGCATAAATTACAAATACAGCACTAATGCATATAACAAAGTAGGTATTCAAGTTATAAATCAATCAATATAATTCATCCTTGTACATGTATCTAGTCAGGATGAGGGTTACCTTATATGCATATGAGTGAATATTGTGTGAAATGATTCGCCATAATGTTACTATATTAAAGACTTGCATATTCATGGTTAATTTGTGCAATCACATTTCAATACCTGCATCATTAGCATCATCAAGTTTAGGAATGCCTTTCAGTTTGTTCTGTTTCTTGCTTGTGCACTTGGTGTTCATTTTCTCCTGAGCCTTAAACTTCATCCAGCTCATAATGGACTCAACGATTCCACATTTGTTCACCTAAAAACAATATCTCGGTTAAGGATGGGGCCCAAGTTGCCAGACCTGTAGCCAGGGGAAGCCAAAAAAATCTTTCAAAATCATGCAGTTTTCACCATTCTGAGCATTTTTCAAATGTTTTTTTTTTGCCAAAACTGACAAATGTGAACACACCCCTGGAAGTGAACCCCCATTGGCAAAAACTGGCTATGGGCCTGGTGTAAAAGTTCAGGTGATTTCATTAGGGAGAAGGATTGAATGACGATTTCTCAGAAAATGTTAATTCTGAAGTGAGCGAACAGCAAATCATACAAAAGGCCTATCCCTATTTTTTTTATCGCTTAATACTAGGGGTGAGACGACAACCCGATGAGTCGAGGACTCGCGGGTTTGGGGCTTCGAGTCGAGTCGAATCGAGTCGAAGTTGATGAATCGGATCATTTTCGAGTTGAGAAAAAAATTCGAAAAAATAAAAAAATTCAGAAAAATACTGTCAATATGCATGTTTTTACTCGATATTGCGTTGAATATATAAGTTTCAATGACTTGGATATGGTTGTATTAAATTATTATATTGTATGTACACATAAATGAAAGAATATATGTAATAAAATCAGAATAAACTTACGACGAATTGTGTTTGTTTATATTTCCGGCTTTCCACCATTGACGCATTAAAAATACGAACGGTCAAAAGCGATGTTGTTCGCACTTTATCTGACTCGAAACGGATTCGAAACTCGAATCGTCATTTTCTGACTCGAATCGGATTCGACTCGAATCGGATTTTTTCGACTCGTCTCACCCCTACTTAATACAATATAGTGACTTACTTAATCTAGTTATGAAACTTAGCACATAAAAATGTTGAACAATTCATAAAAAAAACTCTACAAATGGAGTTACTTTTCCTTACTGAAACGTTATACACCAAGTATTTCAATGAGAGATTAATAATTATTATTTCATACTAAAGAGACTTTCCCAAGACAACACCTATTGAATCTAGTTTTACCTGACCAATAAACTTATCACTCATTGAGCACTTAGAGCCAAAGCTCTTTGGCTGTAGTGTCATGTGTTCCTTAGTCTGTGAGCCAAAAGTTGGGTTCTCAATCAGGCAGTTGACAAATACAAACATGTGGCTCCGAACCTGATGGCAGAATGAAACAATCAATACATGTAATAACACGAGATCACCCAGGCTGTAAGTGTAAATGTGGTCATGCTGATTTCTTGAAATTTCTCAGTTTTTCATGAATTGCCTGTAATGTAGACACTTTGTTACAATCTAAAAAGTTGACAATTCCTTCCACTTTCATTCCATTGATGGCCATCTAGGTCATTTTACAGCATAACCACATTGACCCTCTAACCATGGGTTATTTTCAAATTTACTTATACTAGATTACCTGGGCTATAAATTTATCTTGTAGAGAACATTTCGATCCAAAGCCTTTCTGTTGCAAGGTCATGTTTTCTTTAGTTTGAGAGTCGAAGGTTGGGTTTTCAATTAGAGCGTTTACAAATACCCACAAGTGGTTCTTCACCTACATGCAATAAGCAAACAACATTCAAAATAAATAAAAAAAACATAAAAATAAGAGGAGGCAAAATTTATTTAAAAAAAACTACAACATAGCCATGCAAGTACAATGAATATGATCATTCATAGAGAGGCATTCTTCTAAATTCAGTATGCAACACATTTTGCTTCAAAACTTAATGGTGAAAGCCAATTGGTCACCCTCAAATGTTACGAGATGACTCAAATCTCTGACAAAAAGGATTGAAGATTTATTTTGAGCAATTAATAATGGATGTACAAAATGAAAAATACAACCATGCGCTTCTATACTATTAGTGTCTCCTACATCCAATTCAACATGTATTATTGAAGGATTACAACATCATGTCAAACAACAATAAATACAACAACAACAACCTACCTGGAAAGGTTTGATTTGTATGCCTCCTTTATTCTTTTTCTTGACTACTTCAATAAGTTTTGAGACAACTTGATCAGCAACATGGTCTACATGTCTACCACCCTATAATACAAAACAAATGTGAACAAGGCATTTATCATGCAAAATGTCACCAGCTGCCATTTGTTACAGACGCCAAATACCATCCACAAAAAGTTGGAGACTATAACAATATGTCATCACTTGTGATGGTGATGACATAAAAATGTTGGGCAATTTGAAATCTTATTTTCATTGTTGTAATCTTCCAGTTCAAATAAGCCTGAAAAATTAAAAAAATCAGGACCAAAAATAATGTTTGTATTTTAGGTCTAATATATTTGAAACTAATATACAGTATTCACTTCCATTGCTAGCTTCGTTGAACCAACTTTAGTATTATTGTTTCAATTCTAAGGGGTCTAACCTTGGTTGTGGCGATACTGTTGACAAAGCTGACTTGTTGGAATCCTTTCTCACTCATACAAACAGCAACCTCCCATCTCTCATTGACATTCTCGTAGACCACCTTCAGAGGGCTATTGTTCTCATCTGTCTTGTTTTTAACATAGAGGTCTATGTAATCTTTGAAATTTTTCACCTGCAACCATATCAGAAGAATATTAAGTAGCGACACTAAAAATACCCATTTAAGTCCAGGCAGTGGATATCATTATTGGGGCAATGTCTTAGGCTTATGTAAATAAATCAACTCACTGGTAACTTCTTTCCATTAAGAATGACACGAACACCTTTGGTAGAGGCTGCAATATCATAGGCTCTCCTGGTGAATAGATCCACTGTGTCTGGGTCTAGTTTCTCCATCTTGAACTTTTCAAGGTCTGGTTTGAATGTGATGCATGTGAAGTCCTCCCCCTTTGGTGCAGAGTTGATCCTGGGCTCACCTGCCTTTGCCATATTGTTGGCCCATGACTTGTAAAGACAAAGAAATTATTCAATAAGAAATATCAAAAATAGGAAATGGAACAGCCTACAGTAATGATTGAAAAAATTTCTTAATCAAGGTGCATTTCAGAAAACTGTAATTTCTGTGTGCTTACTACTACTATTGATCACTACAAGCACAAGTGCTTAAAATACTAAATTGATTAAAAAGTTCTGGTTCCTTGTTACAAAGTACTAACTAATAATTCAAAAAGAAATATACAGTTAAAGAATGAGCAAGAGAATAAACACTAAGAACAACTAAGTGCCTGTACCTGTTTGAAGTGTTTCTTGTAGTCTCCAGCTTGTGTTTCCACTGTGAACTTCGTGCTGAATATATTACAAAGTTTAGCACCATATCCGTTGCGTCCACCTAAAGTAGGGAATAGAATAAGTTCTTACTCTGATCATGCATACACATACAAACTAGCCTAGTATTCTTTTCCGATTTTTTATCACAAGCGTTACACTAACATCCATTTTACCCCACCCCTCCCCATATAATTATTTTTTTTGTTTAAAAACTGCTTTTTACCCCCCCCCCCCCCCCCCCCGTAAAATGATTTTTGGATAAAGTTGACAATGATTTTTGATCCCGACCAAACCTCACCTGTCACTTTTTTCTGGTCATCGTTATAGTTGCTGGATGTGAGTAGATGTCCAAAGATTAGAGTGGGTACAAACATCTTCTCTGTCTTGTGTTCAACCACTGGGATACCTTTGCCATTGTTCCAAATCTTAATTTGGTTGTTCTCACTTAAAAGAAATGTACATGAATATCAAAGTCCATGACAAGGCATTAACATGCAAAATGTCAACACTTTAATTCAATATTACTTCTCAAATGGAATTAACTTTGTTGTAAAAAGCCTAGGCATATGAAACATGATTGGCCCAACATGTACTGAAGGAGGAAAATGATTAGGATAAAGAGCAATACATACTTTTTCAAATACATGTACTAAAGTGTACTTACGGATCAATATCTACTTTAATTATGGTCATTTTAGGGTCTCTCTGCTTGTTATCTGCTGCGTTGACTGGAAAAAGTGATTATTATATCATTTTAACTTAATATAATTCATAAAAAATGTTTTAAAATAAACATGAAAAGATGAACATTACAATAAGAATTATGGAAAAGCAAAATTTTCAAATTGTCAAGATTGAGATATTTTCAGGTAAATGCCCCCTACCCACAACTAAAACTGGTAGGCTTAACTGAAAACTCTGTAAAACTTAAGAAAAATTTCCTGTATACTCAAGTTATATATCGCATGTGTATCTTAGGCAACTTAGGATGATGTTACAAGGCTTGCATTTACGGCGTCCCATACATGTTAAGGACTCAAAAATAATTTTGAGGACGCAAAAATTGAAAATATTTCCGTTTTTTGGACGCAAAATATTTTTAGGTCAATACTACAATGTGTTTACAACGATACCTAACAAAAACAAATAATTATGATCTCTCACCTTTATTTGAATCGTAAATAAGGCTCAACATGTTGAATATTTACAAATAATCATGATTCTCTCGAATTTTTTCGACTTTGTTTATTTTTAGATTTGAAACCATGACACGCCACAGTTTTTCCTATTCAGAAACAAATATTAGGTTATTCATGAAATAAAATGTATTCATTGTCGAATGAACGAACATGCATTTATTCCGTCCGTACTTAACGTTTACTTCCGTTTTAAATTCGTGGCAAGAAATCAAAAACTGAAAATATGACAAGTAAGGTTAGAACATACATTCCCGAATGGCAAACAGAGTTTGATTGGTTACAGCCAGTTAGGAAAGAAAACTCCAATATTATTATCGGAATGAAGTGTGTCATTTGTACGCGATGTTGTGTTGAAGCAAAGACAATCATGTGACAAAATTAACTTCAAGGTGTTTTGGTAAAAAATGCTTTTAAAATAAAGTTATACCTCAAAACAGGCTAGAAATAGGGGACACACTTTTTTTTCAAGGGACACACTTTTTTAAAAAAAAATTGCGTCCTTGGGACTCACAAATTTTCTAACCTAATGCAAGGGCTGTACAGTTATATTGATATGCATACCTAAAATTTCATCAAATATTTTGTAAAGTCCTGGCACATATGTGATCTCTCTTGAAACCATGCTGTTTTCTTCATTATCAAACACCCACATTGGCTGAAACAATACAGGTACAAACACTTAAAATTGTGAATTTGACGGACGATCAAAAAGAATGTACATACAACTATTGAGTATTGACTATTTCTTGTGACAAATTAAAATCTTTTACAATTTCTCATAAAATAAATGAATAATTCAGAGAAAATTAAAATATAATGATTTGATAATCTTATGTTATTTAGAGTGATCAGACTAAAACCAATGGTGTTTGGGCAGTCTATCAAAAACCTCACCTGTGTTACAGTTTCCACAGATCCAATATAGGTGTCAGGACGGAGCAAGATGTGCTCTAATTGTGATTTCTTCTGGTATATCCTCTCAACTGACAAACGTTTGTCAGATTTGGCACCAGATGGCGCACCGGGAGATGGAAGATTCTCGATATCCATGTTATCTGAGGATGGTTGCGCCTTAGCAGGTTTGTCCTTTTTCTTTGCCTTTTGATTCTCAAACAGTGTCTGTAAAATATTGAGCATGTGAATGATATGTTCAAACGATGTATAAATCCAGTGCTTGACAGTTGGATTGTGGGTGCCAATCAAACCAAAAAATAAGCAATAAAATGGTGGAATATTCTATGTATTTCCAACCCCTGTGTGCTTGGCCTCATAAAGTAAGTATAGGCTTTACTTCTTTCAAAGGCTACCTGACTTGCTCTTAAAACAGCCTCTATGCGCGCTGCTAGACAATCGTGATGGCTGAAACTGAAATCAACTGCTTACTTTATCATCTCCAAATGTTTCCGAGATCACAATCCTACTTTTATGAAAGTCTTTAAGTTATCAGCTGCTTCTGTCTCGATCAGGACTTGTTTGTGTCCCCATGGGGACATTTTCAATGAGAAATCAAAGTGGTGATTAGACGCAAATTCACGAATTAGCGTTCAAAATCTCCATAGATTTCCGAATGAACTTTTAAAATTGTTGAACTTCCAGTGTGGAAATCACCAGAGATTTGAAATGCTACTTTGACCGTGACTTTCCGTCAAAACAACCATTTGATTTCTCACTAGAAAATGTTGACTCGCGGACAAAGGTAAGTTCTGATCAACACAGCAGCTAGCAGCTGATAACACTTTTGTAAACAGAGGATTGTGATGTCCCTGGGGATTCACTCTAAATAATTTGGGTAGGTATGTGCAGCACGGGCAATTTTTGCTTAGGGCATAAACCATGGAACCTTGCCAATCTGAGAGGAAAAAAACATGGAAAATTTGTCGAGAGAGCCTTTTTTTTACGTCAAAAATCAGTTTTTCTACAAAAAATCGTAATTAATTGGTAAAATCAGTTGATGAGGTTTGGGACAAATCACCCAAAAAGTGGATTTTGTAGTTAATATACCAATATTTCAGGAAAACTCCCTTTTATAAGTCTGAGAGGAAGTATACATAGAAACTTTCAATCTTGAGAAGAAATTGACATGGAAAAAATGCTCGAGTCTTTGGCGCGGCACATAGGTATTAAGGTCAGGGTACATGTTCGGAATTTTGCTGCAACCCTCAATAGGGTCACATGTTATTTTTCAAATTTGAATCACTCCTTCCCCACAGTGTCTATACCTCTCACTTTTGCACAATGAGTGCACTTATGTACCTAGAAAATAATGCAAAGAAGAATGTTTTGATAAAATGTATAAAAAAACAAAACAAGAAAATTCAGTGAAAAAATTCTGAAAATTTTCACTGAATTTTCTCATTTTTTATACACTTTACAAAAGAAATCTTCTCACCAGTCTTTTCTAGGCACATAAGTGCACTCTTTGTGCAAAACTGGAAGATGTAGACAATACATTACACCCGGGGGTTTCACTCCAACCTCTTAATTCAGTGAAAATTTTCAGAATTTTTTCACTGAATTTTCTTGTTGGAACATTTTGAGATGTAAAGTAAGCAGATGATTTTAATGCTTCAGTTTCAGCCATCAAGATTCTCTAGCCGCATTAAGGAGGCGATCAAAGGCTGTTCTATCAAATCAGCCTTTGAAAGAAGTAATCTAGGCCCTATCTCATGTCTGGGCTACTGAGATTCTACTTTGGCGACCTTGACTACTAACTAGGCTTACCTTCTTCTAAGGCCACTATACCAGTCAAGAATTGGCTAGAGACTCAAGTAAGGCTGGGCATGGGCCAAGCTTACTCGAGTCTCTAGCAAGTACTTGGCTAGAGGTAATTTCATCTGGAATACTTTGAATTCCATTTGTAAAAAGCTGGCCGCCGTGTCATAAATTTATTGAATATTTTAAAAATCGCTAAATAAATAAATCATATAAAACGGAACCGGCTCGGGTTCTTGATGAGATATGACATGATTTCGTCTAAAATTAGAACAAAATTGCTCCGAGAAAAATGGTGATATTCGAAAACTGGACGAAATGTTGTTAATGTCTGACATTAGTAACTGGCTGTAAATTCTAAGTTAGCGATCCAGAAGATGTGAACTAGAGTCCATTTCACTGCTTCATTGCGTCAGTAGAACGACAAAAATAAGAAATTGGGAGACCATTGTGCAATAATATATGGAAAAGTGTATTCATAATGTACATGAATGACATTTGTATATTTCAGATTTTTTAGTTTTTTGTGCAATAAGCCTGTGCCGTCTGGTCTTGTAATTTGAAGAATTTCAGCCATGTTAATCTTATTGAAAATAACATGGCAGAGAAGCATCCAAATATAAGAGGCCACACACTTTATAAGCCAAACTAGAAGCAATCCAAGATATACAAATGTCATTCATGTACAATAGGAATATATTTTTCCATATATTATTGCAAAATGATATTTTGATTTCTTATTTTTTAGCTTTTACTGACGCAGTTAAACAGTGAAATGGACTCTAATACACTGATCACTTCATGTGTGTTTAGGATTTTTTTTTGGTGAGGTAATTAGACCAAAACTCGCAATTCAAATTGTGATGTGGAAAAATGGCGGACATATGATTTCAAATTTCATGATTATGACATGACCAGTTGTTCATGCAGGAATTTATCTTTGGCCACGATACAGTGGCCTTAGAAGAAGGTAAGGCCTAGCCTAGCCTTAAGCTAGCGACTGAAACTAAACTATACCTGAAATAATATACAATATATCAACGTGTAGTCAACCAATAGATCTTCCAAGAACTTATTTCATTCAAAACCAAAGGCATCTGCAAATTCCTAAGTTGGGCCAAAATAATTTATTTTACCTTGAGAGGCCCCTCCATCATTTACTTGCAAAATTGTCCGCAATTTCCACCAAAAGCTAAGAAAATTAATATTCCAATAGTTTCTCTGCTTCCCAAAGATATACGACGAAACTATAAAAGAGTCGATCTTAACACTATATCGACAGAATTCTCGACAATGTTTCAAAATTTACAAATTTCGGTTCCAAATTTTCATTTTGAACCGCTAAAATGAACCAATCAAACCTTTTAAATTTGACCTCTGACGTCATCCAGAAAAGGTTAGGGGCTCCTAAAGGTATTTGATATAAATACATTTTATGCGTTTTATGCAAGAAATAACAATCCATGCAAATTCACATTATATAGTTATACTTACCACCCACTCAAGACCTGATCCATCTTGAGACATATTTACTAAAATTATTATAATATACTAAAAATGCGACTTCTTTTCTTACTGTATTTTTCCTATTCAAAACAAAGCCTGAATCTCAAGCAGCTCTGATTTGTGTCTTTATCTGTGCATCTACGCTCTTAAAATGTCAACTACGTTTATCATTTTTGTAATTTGATGTCTCATGAATGTATATCACCATCACATATGTACGATTTTAATATTTTTCTAGCATAAAATAGATAAACAATATCTCATAAATGTGCCCTGGATTTATTTCGCATGGATCCAAATTTCAGTGATTGTATCAGACAATTTGATTGGACAATGATTTTGAAATGTTACATACGCCCCAATCAAATGTCGTATTACAAGTTGATTCGGAGTATGAAGTCTGTCTGTTCGTCAATTTGAAAAATAAAAACATCTAAAAACAAGTTTCTTTTCAGATTTTCAACGTTTATTCGTCGATTATTGATACAAAACCATCATACTACATGTTAAGCCATGGCGGGATCTGCACTGAAAAGGCTCATGGCCGAATATAAGCGTAAGGACAAATATATTGAAAATATGAAGATAATTTTTTTTGCCAAATGTGTTTACAATAAGTTACTAAGATTTTCGACATCTAAAAAGTCACTCGACTTTTTTGTGATTTTGAATCACAGAAAGCATTCTGAAGTTTTAAATTGGCGGCACGTTTAATTTTCTGCCCTGTCAACCCTCATGCATTAGGCGTGATTGTCACGCATTTGCTGGAAAAATAGAAATCACGCATCAATTTAGCGTGTATGATCAAATATCACGCAAATCACGCATTTTGTTGATATCTTTAAAAATCGTTTTTTGTGAAATGTCGATACAGTAAAATACAGAACGGCTGAAAAAAGCGAACGCATTTCGTTCGGTCCCTGCACGCGATTGCCGTTTATGTCACGCATTTGGTACAAAATATGTGTATATATCACGCATTTGTTTCGAAAAAATTTAGGTGTCCAAAATCTACCAGTGTTCACTGAAGCTGTCCAAAGTTTGAAGGAAGGTGTTCAACATTTGGAAGTCACTCATGTTAGACTGTCCCAAGTTGACAGCCCTGAATTTTTGGCATCAGCCTAATGTATACCCGCTCGCTATGGCTCAGTGGCAGAGAGAGTCAAGATTACCAATATCGCTTGGCCCCGGGTTCGATTCCCGGTTCAGACAAGTTGTTTGTGCGTTATGTAATTCTGGGTGTTTGACTGAGTGGTTCACGACTCGTATACAAGGCTGTGGTGTGTACCTGTATGTCTGTGTACCTGTGCACATAAAAGAAAACAGGGCTCCTTCAAGGAGGGGTTTCTGGCTCTATCTTCGAGTGTAAAAATACGTAAATTACGGAATATACCAATGAGGTATTGCTCGTCAAAATATGGCGGTAACCAAGATATAATAATAATAATAACCACTTAGCTTTTATTGATTCTTTCAAAAGTTTCGTCATAAACTCAGTTTGACCAGAAGTATCTTTGTTGTTGCTCGATTTTTAAAAAAAAATGTCCCTTTTCTAATCACCTGGATGTGCGATTTACTTGCACTCCCCCAAAACGAGGGGTGTCAAACGCAAGATGGTAGAGATGCAGACATGTCGCCACTCTCAGAAAATCTATTCCATAATTTCAACATTACTACGCGGTTTTACAAGCAAAAGGGATAAGGGGAGGTTGTATATAGGACTAGACAAGATGAAAATAAATATTCTAAATAGATGACACCCCTTTCGAAATAAGATGAACTGAACCTATCATGTCACCGATTTCTTAGAAGAAATTACGTCAGAAAAACAAAAGCTCCGTAGAGAATTTTCGCTTGAAATGCAGAAAAGTAAGGCCAGTTTTCTATGGGAATATACGGTTATTAATAGTTACGAGTACAATATTACCGAGTTCGATGGTGCATAAGTTAGGTGGTGGATCATTATCCCATCGAACGAAGTTCGGAGGGATATAGGGAACGCCTCCGTCCGTCCGTACGTACGTACGTCCGTCCGTCCCTCCGTACGTACATCCGTACGTACGTCCGTCCGTCCGTCCGTCCGGGCAATAACTCAAATACCGCTGGCCCGATTTTGTTCATATTTTGTACACATATACCCTATGGGGGTAGAAGTTCTGCTCGAAAGCCGATTTTCAAAATGGCCGCTCATTTCAAAATGGCGGCCATTTTAGTGCCGAATTTACAGTAATTTAGGTGCAATATGTAAAACTGTAATAGCAATATGTTTTAGATGTAAAAAAATTATATAGGACATTAATAAAGCTAGAAATGTAGATATTAAAGAAGCACATGGCAGCCATCTTGAAAAATGGCGGCCTTTACTCGTTATTTTACGATTTTTGCTGTAACTCGAAAAGTAGTGGAGCGATTTTGTTCATATTTGGTATGTGAATACTATAAACATTGCACACTGTCTAAAGACACTTTTGGTAGAAAGTGGCCATTTTAAAAAATGGCCGCCATTTTAACCTATTTTACTATAACTCGAAAAGTAGTGAAGCGATTTTGTTCATATTTGGTATGTGAATACTATAAGGATGGCACACTGTCTAATGACACTTTTGGTAGAAGGCGGCCATTTTTCAAAATGGCCGCCATTTTAACGTATTTTACTATAATTCGAAAAGTAGTGAAGCGATTTTGTTCATATTTGGTATGTGAATACTGTAAGCATGGCACACTGTCTAATGACACTTTTGGTAGAAGGCGGCCATTTTTCAAAATGGCCGCCATTTTAACGTATTTTACTATAACTCGAAAAGTAGTGGAGCGATTTTGTTCATATTTGGTATGTGAATACTATAAGTATGGCAAATGGTCTAATGACACTATTGGTAGAAGGCGGCCATTTTGAAAAATGCCTGCCATTTTTGCTATATACTTTGTTTGTAAAAATGCCATCCATGGCTGTTCGATGGGATTCGCTACGCTTTGGCGTTGCCGTTGTTCTGGTTTTCAATGTGAATCAATGCGACTGTTACTTTTTGGAAGGTTTTTGGCAAAAAAGTCGACAGTTATCTAACATTTCTTTTATAATGGCTATCGCAAGAATACCCTTTGCATTCGTTTGACTTCACTTCTTAAAAGAGAGCTTCGTCTGTAGTTTAACTAGACTCTGCACGCAGGGTATCGCAAGAACTCTATGTTGGGCTTAAAATGAAGAAAACCACATTTTTGTAGAGCTGCAAGTTGAAAAAACCTATTTCAGTTCTTTAATGTAAACAAAACCACTAAATACGGAATGATATAAACACCACCGTGTTTAGATACAGTATTGAGGACAGACAGTAGCAATTACTCACTGTGATATTACATCATTTCAAACTAATGGCTGCCATATCAATCTTGAATACCCATTTCTGAGTCTCCCTCTCTGATCTAAAACCAGTTATCTTATTTTGATCTTATTTCATTCATGTGTTGTTCTAGAACTGACTCTCAATCCCCCAGAAGGAATAATTGCTGGTCCTGTGGATGAGGAAAACTTCTTTGAATGGGAAGCACTTATAACGTAAGTAAGAGCGTTTTCTGAAGCCTCAAATTAAAAGTCCTTCATATAACAGGGTACCTACAGTGATCTTCCCAGCATTTATATAAGTGGGTGCAGCAGTGCACCCACTTGAGATTTTAAAGAGAGACTTGCACCCACCTGATCTCCACAGGATTTTTTCTCAAGTGGGTGCAAAATTCTCATTTTCACAATTCAGACCAAAATGGTCAAAATTAACCCATTTTCATGATTTTTCTCATTTTCAAGTGGGCACATTGGATTTTCAGGTGGGTGCAAGCCTATTTTCAAAATCTCAGGTGAGTGCTGTGCCCATTTGCTTTAATCCTGGGGAGATCACTGTAATGAATTGAATTCTCGACAAATCTGCTTCATACATGTTGGAAATAGTAAAAGGAGACACTTCTGAGTTATTTCTAGCATGAATGAAATGCTCAAAATGAAGATTGATTTGAGAAAAAATGTTCTGTTTTTGGTTTGATTTGCTACTCCTTGGAGTTGCTGCTTTCTAATCTGAAGTGTACATATCAATAAAAAGTTGTAAAATCCCATAAGCTGTCCAGAAACTTGTTGTTTCAGTGGCCCAGATGAGACCTACTTTGAAGGAGGTGTGTTCCCAGCAAGCCTTACATTTCCACCAGATTACCCACTCAGCCCTCCTAAAATGAAATTCACCTGTGATATTTTCCATCCTAATAGTAAGTAATGCTACCCATTATTTATCATTCACTGTCATCTCAACAGTGCTGAAATTATTCTTCACATGCAAAGTTCAAAAATCAACAACAAGTTTCTTGTAGATTTTGGATTCTGTACTTGGAGGGTAAACTCGTTAAACTTGTTTGTAACAAAATGAAAAATTTTAATTTATAAAAACTTTTTGTATCTTTTAAAAACAGTATTGAATACTTCCATACAAGCTTTCCTTTGATGTATAATAATACATGTCCTAAATCTCTGAACAGATTTATACCAATCAAATATGAAAGTTGATGGTAAATTAAATATTATTTTGGGGTTTAACAGCACAGTTTTATAAGGGATGAATGTGTCCATGGTTGAATTTTAAGTAGATTAAATAAAAAAATATAACATATAAACAGGTTAAACCAAAATTCAATAATTTCATTTTCCACAACAGTTATCAATTGGACACCACCCCTAAGACATAGGGGTGGTGTTACCATATATCGGTAAGTTAAAACAATCTGTTTATTTCAGTATACAATGATGGCAAGGTGTGTATTTCTATTCTGCATGCCCCTGGGGATGATCCCATGGGATATGAGAGTAGCGCTGAAAGATGGAGTCCTGTACAGAGTGTTGAGAAAATACTCCTCTCTGTAGTTAGTATGCTAGCAGGTAGGTATATCTCTTGCATGAAGTGTTTTGGTTTAAGGTAAGTGTGTAGTGTACATTGAGCCATTTTGATGCAATCTTCATAGAGCCACATGTTACTTTTAAAATATGAACTCCTCTTTCCCAACATTGTCTACATCTTTCAGTTTTGCACAAAGAGTGTACAAGTGTACCTAGAAAAGAGTGTGATGAATATTGTTTTATAAGATGTATAAAAAACTAGAAAATCAATTGTGACCTAGCATACTTTTTAAAAGTTCGAAATGTACACATTTACCTTAACACCAAAGAGTGGAGAGAAAAGTGAAATTAGCAAGGAATTAAATCACTAAATATAAACACACTGTTCATATAGGCCCATGAGCTGCTTTCATTAGGAAGGGGCTTTAATTTTTTGAAACTGCCTTTTAAATTAAACCAAAGGCGAAAATTAGCACAAGTTTATAAATATTTTACTATAATGAACACATGATCATAATATAGGATGGATTTAAAGTATGTTTGTACATCATCCTGTTTTTCAGCCAAATATTTCATTCAATGAAAATAACAAAAGATTGCTTTTTGAAAGATCATAGGTTCTCCTCATTCTCATGTAATCATGCAGGGGGGGGGGGGGGGGGTTCGCAGGGTTGAGGCGCCCCCCCCCTCTGGCAACTGAACCCCCCTTGGCAAATCCTGGCTACGGGCCTGTCATGTGTTAATAATATATAGGGAATTCATGTTTTTCTTATGTTTCCAGAGCCGAATGATGAGAGTGCCGCAAATGTGGATGCTGCTAAAACATGGAGGGACAATAGACCAAAATTTGCCGAGATAGCTGAACGGACTGTGAAACAGTCACTGGGCTTATTATAGCCTTGCTATTATAACATGGCACATTTAAGCCTAGTGTATTATAGCCAGGGGATTATAGTCGAGGGTATTATGGCCTGATTTTATATGGCCTATTCATTTTTAAATTATATAAGGCTTGGAAGGAGATATACTTTTCCGAAAGCTATCCAATAAGATTGTTAACCAGTCAAAATATTTCTAATTTCTTATCTGAAAAAACCAATGGGAAGAATTCATTACATTTGCATGTTTTTATTGCGCTTAAAAAGTGCTGTATTACAATAAGAGAAGACTAATAAGGTCTAATAAACAATTCGCAAAAATTGTGATCAGGACATTTTACTTAAAATTTTTAAGGATACGAGAGCAGAATATTTTTATATTAGATTAGAGAATATTATTGTCAGTTTTTGTATTACTGTTAGTCAACTTAATTTGGCAACCCATTTAATTTGGCGAATATGGCGAATTGCAAAATTCACAAAAACACGTCAATTCATGTTACCAATTTTTCAGAAATCCATGGTCAATTACTTCGTCCAGTTTAAATGTGCATGTGCACATATTCAGTTATCTGCACCATTTTTTTTTTATTTGAACAGTGCAAAGTTTTAGAAGATGATTACTACGACAGTATGTCAATTCCGTCTTGAATAAGACAGAACAGACAGAATTCTGTTTTTTTGTTTGGTTGATCATAATTTAATAATTGCATCAACAAAGACAAAATTGCAGATTAATTTCGCCAATTTTACTGATATATTTTATCCTTAGACTACTAAAGCAAAATTAAATCTTTGCCAATTTTGCCCAATTCGCTAAAATTAAATCGTGGCAGATTAAGTTGCCCAACAGTATTCAAAGTACCACCTGCTTTTTTCTTGGCCTATAATATTGTGCCATTTGTTCATATATTATATGATATTCATGACACCAAAATCTCTAAATAATAATGGAAATTTTATTATGCAGTCAACCCTGTTATTAGAGTGAATATAATTGAAAAGTATGCAGACTTCTCAATGGAAAGAGAGAGAATGAATATGTGCAAAAGAGGAATGGTAAATCCTGAATATTCAACTGCATGATATCAACACAGGGTGAAGCTTTTGCATAAACACTGCATCTACTTCAACAAACTTCAACTGCATTTTTCCAGTCATTCAACATGTTCAATCGTGCGTTTTGATTGTCTTGATCACCGAGCAACTCCAGGCTAAGAATTTCTAATTTGACCTAGATTATTGTACATTTTCTAGGTTCCGGTTTATATTTTGAATTTTTTTTCATTAGATGTCAATTCCAAATCGATTTGTCAGGTTTTTTTTCAGGCAAACTAATCAGCAAGTCTGTATTGTCAGCTATGCATTGTGTATTAATAATTTAGAAATACATGTATTGTTGTTCAATGTTAAATTCATTATTTCATTTTCATTAACATGAGTACAAAGAGTTTGAATTATTGACATATTCCTTCATTTAGGGATGATGTCAAAACTTGGTCTAAAGCAAAGTTAATTTAGTCCCTGATTGGGAAAATTATGGTTTTGTAAGTAAAAATGTTGAATTTAAAGTTTACGCAAATCAACAATTTCAAATTTTTATGTCATCACCACAAGTTTTCGTTGGTTGGTGTTCAGCAGCCAGCACCTGTAACAAATGGCAGGTTGTGACAGTTTGCATGTTGATGCCTTGTGTAATATTGGGGAAGAAAGGGGTTAAACCATGATGAGATCAACTTTGCTTTTTCCACAATTGATGACGTGTGAACACCATTCTTTATATCATTATAAGAAAACTACTATATCTCAGTGTCATGCAAATTAAGTTAAATTAGGGAATTGGGATTAGGAATGATGGGATATGTTGTGCAATAATAAAGGTCTATCTTTGTTTCAAAAATAAAAACTCAATCCTATAATTTGTAAATAAGAAAATTGAATGTGTTTTGTTGATGTTTTATTCTGAGTGACCACTTGGTACTTTGCCATGTAGAATACAGTAAAACCTGTCTAATCCAAATGCCTCTGGAACCAGTCAAAAGTGTTCGGCTTAGCAAGTGTTCAGGTTTCGAGGTTTTTTAAACATGTAAGCCCATGAGAGATTGTGACCAAGAAAAAATGTTCACATTAAGAGGTGTTCAATATGCAGGTTTCACTGTATGTATTGTCAAAACCTTCCATTTATTTTACAGTGATAATGTATGAGAATCGTGACATGTTGTGTGTACTTGTCTACATTTAGGGTCAATGTGATTTAGTCATGAAGTTGGTTTAAAATTGCCCTAAAGTGTGGCAGAGTAGATTCAAATGGTATATCTTTTATGAAGCATATTCTTTCAACCTCTTGAATACCCAGAACAACGGATGTTTCTGTCATAAATAAAATCCCTTGGGAACCCAGAGTGACAGATATAAAAACTGCTCTAACTTTGACAATTTTTATCCAATCTACACAGATATATATTAAATAAAATAACAATAAAAGATAAGATATTCAGATTTATGGGTATAATAGGCTAGCCAGTTTATTTCAAATTTAGTACTGTTTCATGGTCAATTTTTGCATCACAGGAACTCAAATACTATAACTAAATGGAATATGTAGTGAGAACTTCCACATATTATTCAACATGATTTGTCTGGAACTGTTCAATGACTAGTTTATTTATTTAGTTATTGTTAGGATGATAATGTTTTCTCTTTTAAAGACAATAAAGCTCAGCAATTCCTCCAAATTTTGCTTCAAATCCCTATATTAATAAAAGAATTTTTGCTTCAAATTTTTATTGTTTTATTTAATTTTCTAGCATTATCTTGATAATATGGTTGTACTCCAGGGGTCGATTATAGGGCCTCTTCTATTCTAATTTACATTTGTGACACAATCTCAAAAGGATGGTATTCAGTAATCACTAGAGTTCCTCATCTTCAACTTTATTAGCCATCCATTCTCCTAGGCTCATTTGTGAACTATGGAAGCTATTTGTCGCATCAGAGTTTTCAGATGTATACGCAATACTTGCGGGATCAGGACTTTTTTCAACTTCACTGTTTTTATTACTTAAATACTCTTCAATCTTTTGAGTGTCCAAACCATTCTTCTTGAGTACATTGTCTTGTGGTTTGTTAGTAGTATTTTTAGGTATTAATGGTCTATTTCGACTAAGTTTCTCTTTTTTATGCTCTTCCTTTAGTCGTTGCTCCTCCTCATCTTGTTTTTGTTTTTCCTCGAGTTCTTTTTGGCGCTGCTTCTCTTCTTCTTCAAGTTGATTCTGGAGTTCTTTACGCCACTAAAATTTAAACAATATGAATAAATGTAAAAATAAATCACTGATGAAGGTGAGTAAAAACATATTGTCATACTGTATCGTAGAATTGTGCTTCTTGTCAGATCTACATGCCCATTTGATTATTCCTCAAGTGCATTGTTATATTGCTGTTTTTGTTCTATACTTGTATTGAGCAATATTCATAATTTACATGTTTAACACTTAAAGACAGACCCTATATCCTATTAGTATATGAGTTATAGATCTGTAGGCTACTCTCTATTCTGGCCATCAAATTGACTGATATATTACAAACAAACAAGCAAACAAACAAACAAACAAACAAACAAACAAACAAACAAACAAACCTGATCTTCAACAATTCGTTTGAGGTCGAAGCTTGTGCGCTGGTTGAATGTTGGTTGGGGCTCCTCAAGGGCGGTGGCCAACATTATCTCCTGCCTGTAATACAGAATGTTATCGTTTTATGTCATTTAAAGAAAATTGCTATGAAAAATGTGAAACAAGCAAGGAGAAAGAGCATGGATCATCCTTGTCCAAGTGTAATTCATTGCATTACATTATATGAGCTGCTATTGAAGCAGTGAAGGACCGATCTTGAAGGATGACATGGATCACAGAGAAATAGCCTTCAATATTAGGAAGTGGATCCAAATAACAGCAATTGATGGAATAGGTATCTGAGCCTCTTTAACTATTGAGGTTGGAGAAACTACATGTTTCATTTAATGTTTGAAACTGATGTGGAAATATTGCCCCATAGAAGCATTCAAAATGACTGTTTATGAATAATTTGTTTCCACCAACTATAAATGGCCTTTTACTCCTAATTTTGCTTATTTTTGTTGCATGCATATAGCAAAGCAGGATGATGAAGACTAATGGAGAAAGAAATATCACAATTCTTCTGAAGCAATTTTTGGGTCCAGATGTGTTATATCTTAAAATTCAGATGACAAGTCTTTCATTATAATCTGTTCACCATTCAGATTTTATAATAAAATGAATCACATCTATGGTGATCCTTCATCAGTATACTGTAAAACCTGGAACACCTGGAACACATCTGTTACATCTAAAAAGTATTCTACTTGGGAGGTGTGTGTTCCATGTATACTGTACTCCTGGTTAATTTTGCGAGTTTTAATTTCGCAAATTTTGAGAAAACATGATTTGCGGCTATTAAATTTCGCGAGTTTCACTAAGTACACCTACTACACTATGTCATATTGGTCAACGACACGCTGCACTTCAACCTCTATTACATTGTAATTTTTTGGTTTATTTGATCTAATAAGCCACTGTAACAACATTGTTACTTAGTATCACATTTATCGCCTAAAAATGCTTGACAAACATTTTACAAAACACAAAATGTAATGGAGTCTCAGGTAATGAAAAATTTCCCAAATCCCCGGGGATTTAAAATTGACAATTTCACGAAGATTAATTTTCGCGATTTTACCACATTCGCGAAAAGCACGAAACTAAATCGCACGCATAAAATACTGGGAGTACAGTAGAGGTTTATTTATCCTTAATTCAGTTGGTCTTGGGACACTAAAGTGTTCTACTAGACATGTTTCTCTTCAAGAGGTGTTCCACTTAGTAAGTTTCACTGTATTCTAAAATTATTCCTTCAGAGAGAAAGAAATTGTCTTGTATTTAAAGTCTTCATTGTTCGCATCTGTTAAACATGCAACACGCGCTCTTCTCTGTACTTACTTCAATGTTGTTCTCTTAGGTTGCCTTGAGGTATCTGGTCCTTTTGGAGACACTATAGGGGCTTTTGGTCTGGGGGATTTCTTAGGGGGGCTTGTTACAAGTGGTGGCAGCGGTGGGAGGTACACCTTACTCAGTTCTGCAGCAATCTTGCAACTTATTGTACTGGGATGAGAGATCAAAGACTGACTTAGTAGCTTCTCTATACTGGCCTCAACCTGAAAAAACACCCAATGTTTACGAAGAGAATGCATTCAGTTTCGGGGAAAAGAGAATCCAGCTTTTTAGTACTGAACAAAGAAAATAATGCAATTTTGTCAGGTGAGAAACAAGAAAATGTCAGTTGTTACAGACACAAAATGCCGAACATCAACCACCGCCGTAAAAAGTCGGAGACTTTAACAATACTCATGGTGGTAAAAAAGCAGAATGTGAGAGACATTGAAAATGCCTTCATCACCAGATCACTGACCTGTCCAACCTTCAGGGCCTCCAGCACCCTAAGATCTTTCTCGAGGGAGTGAGCCTTGAGGAGAGCATTCCAGGCCACTGTCTTGAGTCCCTCTCTGTTAGCATCACCTGCTAGGCATCGACATATCTTCACTAGACCCTGGATAGCTGTGTAGCGCACCCTCCAACTCCAGTCTTGTACATCTAGTGAAAAACCATTTTATATTGAATATATAATTCTATGAATGTTAAATTTCCATAGCTAAATTTCAGTTACTTTTAGTCTGCTTACTTTACTTTGTTTAAGAAAATAAAATTATTGATAAGGTTAGCTAATTATTATATGTGCCGCCCCACCATTGGTGGAGGCTAAGTCAAATAAAAAGTTACCACCATGTTATAGCATCTTATTAATGGTACTGCATATACCTCCAGTATGTATTGTTTGGGCAGGGACGAAGTACAACAGATCCAAGAGTCCAGTGCTTTTCATCGGATACGCGGCTGTTCCTTTTTTGTGCAGCCCCTCTACATCCTTATTTGTACCCACTAGGGCAGTCTTTTGAAGAATTGACGTGCTACCATAGAGACATATCTCTGATAGCAATTCGGTGTAGGTAATGGCTACCTCCCAGTTCCAGCCATGTAAACCCTGAAGCTCTGGGATCTGCAATCAATATACATGTTGTAGAATTTACAGCATTTGTTTTATCACTTAACATACAACAGGGAAACGGGCAATTTCCAAAATCTTTCAAAAACTGTCTCAAAAATTAAAATATCTTTTGCCTATTGGGTTCATTCTTTTTGTTTTGTGTAAGTAAATCTAATCAAATCCCTGGATGACTGTATTTATACAGTATTATTCCTTTTGAAAATGTGACAAGTGTTGGCAAGTCTAGCACTAGCTTGAAAATATCAAAATAATCTATTGATAGCTGGAGTACATGTATGTTGATCATTTCTTCTACATTCCCAAACAGTACATTCGACTTCTTGTAAATTGCATTTTTTTCTTAACATTTTGGCATGATGTAATTTAGAAGTCTTCATTTTTCATACATTTTCCTTTTAGAATGACAGGGACTATGAGGATGTGTTTATATGAAAAAAGAAATATCTAATCATACATTTAAAAATTCTAATAAAAATCTAATCTAGTTCAAATGATTAGTAGCATCTCATGCATTCTTACTAATGAGCCACTAATCAATAAACATTGCTGCAAATCTACCAAACTAAGGTTAGTTCAGTGATCTAAATGTATCTATCAAAAACACTGGGGTCCAGCTTTGGTATTCTAGTAATGGTATGTCGAAAAATATATTATGAACCATTACAAAAATTATACCATAAAGTATATATAAATGATACAGGGTCACACAAAAAAACTAGCCTCAAATTTTGGAATTTTGCATTTTAGTACATGTTCACCTATTCTCTACAGTCAACAAACTGATCACTGTCCACACAAGACAAGAAGAAAATGCACATAACTGGGAAGTTGTGTTTTTGTGTTACCCTATACATGTTCATGATATTTTAGAGGTGATTTCAGAAACTCCATCCAGAAAATCTATAAGTTTCTGTGCACTAATTTATGATTTTGACTACATGCATATGTACTTTAAAAATGTCTGAATTTGTGTGTTTCTACATGTATAACACTCGTGAATATGTGACTGACATACTTTGAACCCTTTTGATAATTTGCACACCTGGTAAAAACATGTAACTAAAGTTTTTAAAATGTTAATATGTTATCCATTGAATAAAAAGTGTAAAAGTTTTTGTCTAATTCTACAGTATGAAATTAGTTTGGCTTTATCATAATACCCATACAGTGAACAGCCTGTGAAATTCTACCAAAACTCCAAAATGGAGCTGTTTCAAAGATATATGTCTTTATTTATGCTGCAATGGTATATTTCACAGAAATAACATGTACATTTATGTTTATTCATTTTTTAAATTCTAACTCTAATGTTTATTCAATGCAATTATCTATTTTTCTCTGAAATTTATATTTACAAATCTGACCATTTCATTACAAGTGTACTCACAGGAGCATTGCCATATGTGAATGCTGAGCTAGCCTGAGATCTTCTCCCCGCTCCCTCTAAATCAGAACCCGCCTCTGCCCACCAGGCAGTAGCTGGGGCAGGGTCGGTAAAGGGGGTTCCTACCCCTGTGGCCATGGTTTGCCTTGTAGAGGTCTTTCGTTGAGATTCTCTGGTGACCTTTTGTGGTGAATCACTAAGCTGATTCCTGGAGCCAACTTGGTCATACCTTAAATAATTTTCAAAAATGAGCTGGAATAATTATTATAAAAATGAGCTCGAACAATTATTCAAAATGAGCTGGAATAATCATTTCAAAAATAAGTTTGATCTTGAAGACTCCACAATTTTTACCTATAAATTGAAGAATTGTTATTGTTTCTTTAATCAATAAATTATTGGCCTCACAGTCATTTTATCTCCATACAGAACAGCGTAACATACTAAAAATCGTGTAAAGCAAAGCATGTACAATTTATGTACAGTACTCTACCTTAGGCCTGGTGGCATATCTTGTGCAGGGTCAATTGGGCTCAGATTTTGTTGGGCTGTAGTTGGTTTTCCAGGAGTTGAAGTGGGCTCACTTTTCTCATATATGTCACTAAGCATACCATGAGATCTTTGGGTCTTTGTTGTCTGCGGAGGACCTGGATCTTCTGAACATAAAGAGAATTCACACATTGTCATTAGAAGAACCAGGCATTAACATGAACATTTGACCACCTGCCATTCACAAAAAGTTCACAAAGAGTTACAATATGTATAATAAATATAATAATATATAATAAACCACAACATCCCAAACTATGTCCTAATGCACAAATATTCATGAATCATTATCACAACCTTTTTATACCTAAAGATGTTAATATTTACCTGATGTTCTGGGAGTGTGTACAGATGTTGGAGCAGCCTTACAGCCAGCAAGGTTCTGCATGACCTTTAAAGCAGCTATGTTCACTTTAGCTGCCTCGGCTATTATGTTCAGTCCAATCACTCCATCAACCCTAGACAGGTCATAAAAAACAATTTATTCTTCAAAATAATGTTTCAAATATGTCTTTAACCATTGCATCATCATACCCAACAGAATGAGTAGTAAGGCCTAATTGTAAATAAGTAAAATAAATTTATATGTATCAAAATTCAATTTCTACTATTACAAGGCATTAACATGCAAAATGTCATCACCTGCCACAGACCCACACAGACACCAAACACCAAATGTCAAACACCAATCACCACCACAAAAAGTTGGAGACTAAAAGAATATGCCCCCACCACAAAAGATAAAAATATACACATCTAAATCACAATTACTGGAAATAAAACATAGCATTTCAACTTTTATGAATACGTTCCTGTAAAATTAAAACTCATACCAGCTTTCTCCAGCCAGACCTAGTCCACAATGGGCTAGAGATTTGAGAGCATCTTCCAGTCCCCCTCCTAGATGACTTGTGCACCTCCATACATCCAGAGCATGCCACAGAGTTGGGCTGAGGTCATGTACACTACTGCTTATAGCTCCACTCCTCGCGCTTGATGACCGCGCTTTTGCATTATGTTCTGAAGTGTCGGGGAATAGCTGAAGAGAAACAACATATGCCTATTATGCAATTTGCTATCAAGCTTTTGCATTATGTTCTGAGGTGTCGGGGAATAGCTGAAGAGAAACAACATATGCCTATTATGCAATTTGCTATCAAGCTTTTGCATTATGTTCTGAGGTGTCGGGGAATAGCTGAAGAGAAACAACATATGCGTATTATGCAATTTGCTATCAAGCTTTTGCATTATGTTCTGAGGTGTCGGGGAATAGCTGAAGAGAAACAACATATGCGTATTATGCAATTTGCTATCAAGCTTTTGCATTATGTTCTGAGGTGTCGGGGAATAGCTGAAGAGAAACAACATATGCGTATTATGCAATTTGCTATCAAGCTTTTGCATTATGTTCTGAGGTGTCGGGGAAAAGCTGAAGAGAAACAACATATGCGTATTATGCAATTTGCTATCAAGCTTTTGCATTATGTTCTGAGGTGTCGGGGAATAGCTGAAGAGAAACAACATATGCGTATTATGCAATTTGATATCAAATATTTAATCTTTAAGAAAAGCAAATAATTAATTATCTTAAAAGCAATGTAATTATCTAAAGATAAAAATGAACTAACATGACAAAATTCTCAACACTACCAAATGGTTACATTATTGTAAGAACTATAGACATGAATACTGATACGGACCTACCAAGCTGTGCGCTAGTTACAGAAATATGTCACAACTTCTTGTTGGTGACATAAAAACTTATGAAGTTTAAAGATGAAACAAGACATTAACATGCAAAATGTCACCACCTGACATTTGTTACAGATGCCAAATACAAACCACCAAACACCAATCACAAAAAAGATTGGAGACTACAACAATATGTCACCACCAAGGTGCCATTAAAAAATTTAATAACTATGTAGTAGCTTCAGATCTCAAAGTACCCTTACCTCTTCATCATTAGTCTCTCTGGTAGATACAGACTCTGGTGCTGTGTCCACAGTTACTGAAAGGTTGGTCGACTTAAGACTCCCTGCATTCTGGACTGATGGTATCTTGTCACCCTCTTTCAACTCCCCTGCATCAAGGTTGGCATCCCCAATTATGATTTTCCCTACTTCGTTGATAAATCTCACGTAAAGAAGCGCATTTGGGTATGGACTGTACACATCTTGACTCTCACCGAAACCTAAAATAAATTCAAACATGTTGAATGATAATAATAATTGGACCTCAAAACTATAGACACCATAACTTTCCAATGATTCCAAAGTAATCCCATATGTAAACAATACATTGAACCTTTTCTCCACTCCAATTCTGAGAGCCTAATTGTCTATGCATAATTTTTTTCTTCCATTTATATGCAACATTTGAGGTCTATATAGCAACTGCAGGTCCGTAGCAAGGGGGGGTCACTTTTTAAAAAATCACTTGAAAAGTGCCCAGAATGGTAAAAACTGCATGATTTTGAAAGAATTTTTGGCCAGGGGGAATACTGACTGTTTAGCCTGGGGGTCATTAACAGAACTTTTGCAAAGTTACGAATTTGCAAGTCAATTGTTAATTTTACGAATTTGGTAAATGTGCATTAACAGAACTTTCGTAAAGTTACGAATGATTCGCAGTTACGAAAAAATGACGTCACATGTGCTTTCGTTCCTAACTTTAATAGCACCTCAGACCCTTTCATAACTTTGCGAATGCCATATTTCTCATCCAATTCTTATGTAAGGTATACAGGTTGGCAAAAAGAAATTGTTCTTTATATGCATGCTAAGTTTCAAGCTTAAATATCCACCTATTCTTACATGATAAGCAAATGTTCCTGAGCTGGGAATCTTTAAAATCGCGGAGACAGGTTTAATCACAGCGCGCAATGATATCAAATGACATCATATTTTTATTTGTGCTAAATAATGATATAAGATGACGTCACAATTTAAAATTCGTTTACGAACGATAAAACTAATGAATGACTTACGAAAGTGTTCTGTTAATGGCCGATTCGTAACTTTATGAATTCGTAAGTCATTCGTAACTTTTTAAATATTTACGAATTTCATAAAGTTACGAATTACGAATTCGTAACTTTGCGAAAGTTCTGTTAATGACCCCCTGAATATTAAATTCTGAGTAAAGCATAGATTTTAGAATAAAAGGTAGTAAAATATTCATAAATGCCTCAATATAAACCCAATACAAACTTATGCATAGGGCATATGAATTATGCTTTTGTATCGATATATCAATTCTATATGTGCATCTAGAATTTAGAGTAGATGGCAAGTTGTTGAAATAAATAGTGAGTATTGATATCATGTTTATGCACATAATTCAGCTATGGTACAAGACTGTACATATTGCAGTAGAGGTTTTTCACAGGGATGATAGGGATTGTACAGGGTGTCCCGAAAGTATGGGGCCCCCCCTAGGCAGACATATTCCAGTGTCCTCATAGTATGTGCCATATATCATTTTAAAGCTTATCCAAAGTTACACTGATTTGCCAAGTATCATGGTTTAACTCCCAAATGGTAAAAAGTTACAGTCATTTTAAAAGTTAGTGTTTTGTCAAAATAAAGTTCAATTTTACACCACATTACTAGTCAATGAGTCCCCCCTTGGCCATGTTAACACCCGCAATTATTTTCAGATATGACCTTAAAAGCCCTTCAAATAGCGGTGTGGAATTTTATAACCTTCTTAAAACCTGTTAAGGCACTTTAGAAGAGTTTCCTTAGAGTTTCTACCCTCACGGTTCTCTTTTTCCAACTCAATATCCATCCGACCCGAAAAAGGTTGCTGCTGTTATAGATGGCCCAGGAGGACACATTGACTAGTGATTTTGTGTAAAATTGAACTTAATTTTGACCAAACACTAAATTTTGAAATGCCTGTAATTTTTTCACATTTGAGAGTTGAACCATGATACTTGGTGAATCAATGTAACTTTGGATAAGCTTTAAAATGATATTTGACACATACTATGACGACACTGGTATATGTCTGCCTAGGGGGGGCCCCATACTTTCGGGACACCCTGTATATGAGATTTATCATGAGCAATGATAAGAAACCTGACCAAGGATATATGGACTGGAGGTTATTTACTGATGGAGATTGAATATGGGTTTTAACATGATGAGGGATGATATGATAACTGCCTGAGGATATGGTAATAGCCTGACCTAAAATGAATATAGATTATCCTACATGAAGTTCAGGAAATTGGGATTATCCCATGGCTAATAACACACCCACCAGAGGACCATGGGTGCTGAGGGCAGATAGGCCAAGGATAAGTTATTTCCAAGAAGTAAATGTATGTGGGTCAGGGATGCAGAATATATGAGATATATGAGATAATGTCATTTTTAAAATTGTTTTCATCAATCTGCTTTATTTTCATAATTCCATACTTGGATAACTACATGTATGTACACTGGAATAACTATATATCTATAACACATGTACCACATATTGAATGAGCTTAGTACAAGGGAGAGAAGGAGAGAGGGGTTGGCAAACCATACCTCCTATTGATCCATGCAGAGCAGCAAAAAAAACAAAAATATAAATATAACGACAATAAAAAATCATATCATAATACAAAACATTTCTATTTATCATCCTAAAAAGAAAAATAGTTTATCATGCAATTCATTAAATTCACTAATTAGCGACAAAATCTACGAACATCACATAGCAATTTGTTCTAATATCTTCACATATAATATACCCCTCTCTAAAAATAAACACATTTTCAAAATTGTGTGAATATTGAGCTCATTCCCAAGTAAAATCATCTAGATAGGTTAAGCCTATTCTATAAAGCAATTAGTCTGGATATTTACCATCTAAATATGTGAAGAGTCTGTTCTTGAACTCATTATGTCCTTGTAGCTGGCCTGCCATATGATGGTAGAATAGACGCCCAAATACAAGCTGCCCCATCTAAATGAAATAAAAAAGCAACTTTTAAATAAAAAGAATGAATCTTATACATGTACATGTATTAATGAAGCATTAACATGACTAAAATGTCACCACTGGTAAGTGGTTAAAAGTATAACAATATATTACAGATGTTACAGAATGCTGATAAGTGACATCAATGCTTGAAACTACATACACAAAAATAACAATATTTCACTTCTTGCTGGGGTGGATGTAAAAGTGAAGATGACGATTTCAGGTTACATGAATAAACTTCATCAAAAAAGATATAATAGAAGTTTGAGTCACACTTAAAATTTCACACTTAAAATTTTATCACATTCTTATCATTCTCCCCTCTGTACAATAAGCAATGTGCAACTCCCAGATACATACAGTATGTCTGGTAAAAGTACCTTTAAGAGTTTAATCTCTGCAGTTCTAAGGTATGGCTGGTTGATTGCATCAGTTCTGAGCCAGTATAGGGTTGTCTCTGCAAGGAAGAACAACGCTGGCACCTGCTGTTTGCTCAATGGTGCTTGGTCTAGAGATGTTATCAACACATCTAGGCAATCTGGAAATTAAAAAAAACATGTTTAAATATACCTGAGAAATTGGTCATATATATCTAAAACGTGTTCACTTGAGATGTGTTCCACTTACAGAGGTTCATTCAAACATTAGATGAGTCGATCTTGAGACCCTGAAAAGTGTTCCACCAAGAGGAATTCACTTCTAGAGGTGTTCCTCAGAGGTGTTTCACTGTATATTTACCTTCTTGCATCTTTCCCTTGCATTGTGCCAGTTGAGATAGTTCAGTCCATGCTAAGGGCAAATTAACATTCTTCCCACTGCCCCCTTCCCGCAGTCCAGCTCTTCTCTGAAATATGTAACATTGTAGAGTCACTTTAAAATAAACTTCAAAGAACAGGAAAAAGAAGGAAGCAATCTGTAGGCTAATCAGTAAGATAAATGCAATATTTTTCATCCTCAAATTATTTGTTAAAATCTTATGACTTGGATTATGATTTGATGGTATGATTTTGTACAATCTATTCTAATTGAAAAAGGCTAACTCAACAGATTAACTCTAATTTAAAGATGTAGAATAAAACCCTCTTTTAAGAGAGAAAAACAGACTAAGAAAAAAGAAAGAAGCAAAACCAAACCACCGAAGAGTAACACATACCTTTATTCTCATAAGCATCTTAGTGGCAAGTTCTTCCAATCTCTCTTTCTCAGATAAACTCTTTGCATTGTTAAACTGGTGTACAAATCCCTCTGTAACTTCTAGGGGATTTCTGAATAAGAGTCAGCCAAATAAATAGATTTAAAATTAATAAGTCAATGCATGACTGTTTTCTTCCTATTTTTTGGGTCAATTCAGAGGTCTTATTCAGGATCATCATTATTTTTATCAAATGACTAGAAATAGAGAATTGTCAATTGCTGAAACCATTGCATATCACACAAGTATGCTTTGAATAATATCTTAAAAAATGACAGTATTGAATATCTGGTCGATCATGTAAACTACAAATTATGAACACAGAAGTATGTATAACAAAGGATAAGATAGCACTTATTTTGCATCCTCCGAACGCAGGGTTTCAGATACCATCCACTAAGTTCCTTCCTTCTTCTTGGAAGAAGAAGGTACGAGTTCTGGAAGCCTGTGTTCTGAGGATGTTATTTTGCTGATGAAGATACATTAGCTGTATCTATCATACAACTGTTCCAGTTACCTGGTAGTTGAAAACTTCCTCTCCGTTGCACTCTGTGCATAAGATTGCTTGAGTAGTCTCTCCTGTAGCTCTAATCGCTGACTATGGGAGATGATCCCAAACTTATGAACAATGGGAATCTTTGCTATAGGCATCTTTCTTGCTCCTGGAATATATATTAGGCTACATAAAGAAATCTTTCTGCATCTGATATTTAGCACTGAACATGATCAACAGATAACTTTTTAATATTTTTTTAAACCACAGACAAGAGCTTTTATGACCACAGATCATAGCTTGAAATTGTATTATTTCAGCTAGGTCAAATAACATACATGTAGGACTAGGAGGGTGTGAATCGCTCTGTTAGAAATCAGAAATCAAATAACCCCTTTATCAATGCATTATTTGCAGCATTGCAGGCTTAATTACAGGCTTATAAATTTATGATGTGCCTTTCATTCAACCAGTAGTTTCAGTTGCTAGTACCGGAAATAACCCGAACGGCACATTTGTATGATCTTGGGATTAATCTTAATCCACCTATGGAGGATTACTTTCTGGCTAAATTTTATTCAAACGAAAATTGGATAAATCCTGTTGATCCCCCCTCATAATCCTCAGAGCATATTGATTGAAGATATGCCAAAAAATATTTTGATTACATGTAGGCCTAGTGTATGCATAGTAATCCAAGATCTATCCCAAAGATAAAATTTACAATTGTACCAATAGTCTAATTGACTGCTCCTGAGATAGGACATTTAGTTACCGGTATTGTCATATTTTACCATCTAAAATAACACGTAGCCCTAGCTGTGACACAGAATTTTTTGCCTCTCTTGATTGATTGATGACAATAGGCCTATTGATTCAGACCAGTGACTGAATGATCTCCTGTCCTGTTCTGAATGCTGAGATTTTTTACCATGAAGAATGACATAACTAAGCGTTACATTGACTAACACGATATATAGACAGATGAGTAAAATAAACTTACTGGTGGGAATCAACGTGTGATGATGAACCTGCTGTCAGTATATTTCTTTTGCGAATATTTACATTTATCGTAAAATTTTTAAAATTTTAAAAATATTGGCCGCCATTTTGAAACAATACTATAGAAATCATAACACAGCATGTACAATATTACAATAACCAATAAATGATTCAGTTGATCAATCAACTACATTTGGAAAGTATAAAACGAATGTCAAATTAAGGTTTTTGTCATTATTTTCCCATGATCGCCATTATTGAACTTGAAATATATATCCGATCAATGTATTCGAACCATATCTAATGCACGTCATGGCTAGGACAAAAAGGTCAAGGTCGAAAAACATGAGTAGATCTAAGGTATACTTTACTGCATTATTGCCTCTTTTATCATATATGTAGTTTTTTCCCACTAAAGATCTGTTTCAAATTAAGCCTCGATAGTATAACCATAGCTATATCATGAAATTTAATCGGTTGACACAATTTACGATGATAAAAACTATAATTTTCAAACCATGAGCCTCGACAATTTTATAATTTTCTGAAAGTTGAACCATCGATCCTGCAAACAGATAAATCAATTTGCAGCATAGGCTAAGGGTTAAGTAATAGTAAGCTGTATATCTCTTCTATATACAGCTTACTATTACTTAACCCTTAGCCTATGATTTGCAGGATGGTGTCATATTCTTATTACACAGTGAGCACCTGTATTTGCATCTGTGTTTCTAAAACGAGTGATAGTATACTAACAGGAACACTTAAAGTGCTGATACAAAATAATAAAGGGTGCTTTTTCAAACTAAACAGAGTGCTCCCACGCCCTGTGATCGTACAAAATGGATGGAGGGGGGAGTAGGCGATTTCTGCAACTCAACAAATTTGGAAGATTTATTTTTTCAAGAGAAAATTTACAACTGAATTGCCAAATGATTAGGCGCAGTGCATGGCAAAATACATGTATGTTAGGTCTTCTAGTATTTTTTTTGAACTGATACGCTTCTAAGATATGAGATCTATTAAAAATAATTAAGGCGCATCATCACCAACGTGCAAAAGTCAATGTTTTTGCCCTAAATCAGGCAACAATGGTCTACACGACCTGTAATAAATAGGTATAAGGGACGTTATTATCACAACACTAATGACATTGCTCGCTTTATAAAGTTAGTTTCCATGCGTTATACAAAAAATAATCGAAATGAATTAATATTGGATGGAGGGGGAGTGGATGGAGGGGGGAATTATATATCTTTACGATGGAACAAATTCACAAGAACTCGTGTATTTGAAAAAACTTAACTCAGTACCCCAGTAAGAAACTGGATATTATATCTCTGCAGAATGAAAAATGGGAACATTTGGAGTTATAAGACTAAATTCAAGTAGCATATCTTATCATGTCTTATATACACGTTACATTACAGGTTATATATACATGTACTTTGTATTTATTTTAGATGTACGAGTATTTACTAAGAAAAAAATCTGCCATTTGTCACCGTTTGTGTTTATTTTGGAGATTGAGAATGAAAACAGCACCAACCAAAATCACCTACTGAAAAGTAAAAAGTAACAATGTTTTAGTGGTCAAAAATTACTCAAGGTCTCATGATGACCCTTACTCACTTCAAGAGCCATGTTAGATTTTAAACTTATTTTATATTCTCTTCTCTTTTTTGCTTACAGATCGTAGATCGAACCAACTAGCAAAAAAGAGAAGAAAAATAAGATTGTCCTTTACTGGAAATGCAGCCATACTTAGTTAGGTCATAGAATTTTTAGTTAACCCTTTCCAGACGTGAATATAAGAGGAAAATGTTGACCTGGTGATGGATAAATAAGAGTGGTTTTTAGGTAAAAACTGGAAATGACGTATACTCCGGGACTTGTACTTTTCTAGGATTCTAGCCGATAAAAATAACAAAATATTGCTTCTGGGACAGGATCATACAACTTTTACATAATTCTTTACCCTACCTTCTTTGTATTTTAACAATCAAGTATACATACCATATTTCAGCAGATATAGGATAAATTCATAAAAATATTTTTTGATTGATAAAATCATTGATTATAAAACTGGAAGTGCGTTCTGTGATGTCCGGGTGTGAATATTTCAATTATTCAGATTTTGCTGTGGATTTGATTTTAAATACTTCTAAATGATCTTCTAATGCTTACTATGATTTCTATTAGTAATGTTTTGAATTCCCTGCTTCATATTAAATAACATTATCACCATTCACTTCTGGTCTGTCGTAATAAAGATGAGCTGTTTAGCCGTATACATTTGGCTTAATAAGCAGTAGAAAAGTGTTATGTACGAATCAGATTGATCGTTATGTAACGCTGTTAGAGAGAATTCTAAAGCTTTTAATATATTTTATTTTTATTATTTCATCGGTACATTTGGGAAATATCATTTTTGCGTACATGATACATAAGATGTGTTGCAGTTTTGCGTGAAGATGAAATAAACTGCGTAAAAATCGCGAAAGACATTGTTAACGCGAACATAGATTTTTAATAAGCATTATCACATGTCAACTACTTGTCAAAATTCAGTGTCAAAATACTGAATAGAACTGAAGATATTGTCATTTCATTGATGTAGCTATAGGTAAATAAAGATAGTGGTGCCAAAAGGAGCCTATCATCCTGAAAGGTATTACATAATAGGGCTCCATATGGAGCCTTTCGTCATGAAAGGGTTAAAGGAGCAAATATGAGATTTTCAGCAACTAAGGTCTTCACAAATATGATATGATTGATTGTGAAAAAATCTGCATGCTTTTGTTTTTTTTGTCAAGTTTTACACCTGCATATGTACAAATTTTAGTTGTTGGTTATGTTTTACAGGTGTGTAGAATATTCAAAGAGCTCCATAGGACAAGGCAGCATGTTTTCAGTGGAGATCTGGAAGCTCAGACAAGTGAGTGTTTTGCAGATTTTTTTGAGCCAGTATATTTTAAGTGGTGACATATTCTTACACTGTAGTCACCAACTTTTTGTGGATGACAGTTGATTTTTGGGGTTCGGCAGTTGGCATGTACATGTAACAAATGGTGTCTGTAGTAAATGATGATAACATCTAAATGACCCCAAAGGTAGTTGACATAGCCTTGAATGAGAGTCTCATGTGATGCTGCCAATGTATGTACTTATAAAAGCTTAAAATTCAGTGTAAGCTATTTGATTGGGGAGCTGGATTTTGATCAACAATATTCTGATTTGTTAAAGCTTGGTCATTATTATCTGTAACTCAAAGGAGGTAGGTAACTGCTCTCTTTTAAAGAAGTAAAATCAATTTATTGGAAAAGTGATATTGATATAGACTTAGTACTATTCTTCATTTCCTTGATATTACTCAAATTATCTCACTTCAATATGGCATTTGTTGTATTTTGATATGTTCTCCCTTTAATGATAACAACTTTTCGATAAAGGTACACATCAGCAAAAATTATACTTCAGAGGGATAGCATATTCATTGTTCAAGGCTATGGCATGTCAGTTACCTTTGGATAACCATGAAAATAAATTCTATATTTTGCAAATTCCTTGGTCCATTCTACTTTTTACATGACACCATAATCCACTAGATCCAGCCCATTATGTTAACCAAATTAGAGCAAAGTAGGGTCAACAGAATGTTGCTATTTGTCCTATGGTTCGAATACACCATTTGAAAGCTGAAAGTGTCAGCTTTAAGGATCTTACCTGATTTCAGATGTTTGCTTTCACAACAAATGACTTGTTGATTTTTCAGAGGGAAGACTTAAAATAAATGAAGAATTCAAGAAAAATAAAGATGAAACAGATCCTGAAAAAATAGAAAAGGTGTGTACAATATTAAAATAAAACTTTATAAGGCCAGTAGACAGCTTTTCTCAAGGGGGTTCACGTTTTCAAGAATTTCAGGGGGTGGCTTCAGATTTGATAACTCTGGCACTCTAAAAAAGTGCTCAGAATGGTGAAAAGCTGCATGATTTTGAAAGAATTTTTTCCAAGGGTGGAAACTGGACCCCCACCACCCTGGCTAGAGCCTGGTGTTATAACCATCGTGGCTTTAATAGTGTTAGTTGATTTAAATATTTCATTTCATAATAGAGTGATTGTCATTTAGTGTTGGTTTACTGAAGATTTATAATACGGGCAAAAGTAATACATGTATTTTCACTGTCTCATAGTCTTCTATAACCTGAATCCGTGAAAATATAGTACAAGTCATATGTAATGTTTACATTTGCAGCTTATAAAGACTGCCAATGGTGCCAATGACTACTTGAAGAAAATGATAGTGCAAGCAGTGAAGGTTAAAGATGACACATATGGTAGGTTATATCTGTCCCGTTGATCATGTGAAGCTGAATTGGATTGAACCTTCATCGATCTCCAAGCAGACCTGTCAACTTTTTTCTGGAAATCTCTGATAGAATTGTTTAGAAAATGGCTGCTCCTAAATCAAAATTCAACGTTTTTGGAAAAATTAACATTTAGGGATATGTATATAAATATTATTTATTTGTTTTGATAATAAGACAGTTACACATCATTATACAATTTAATTATGCAACTTTAGTAGAATTAAACAATTTGCTACTCTCTGGAGTTGCTGTTTCTCTAGCTCTGTTTTAGTTTTAAGAAAATTAATTCCCATTGTACATGAGCAATTTTTCCAATTTTTGTTTATGAGTAATGACAGAAAAGGGTTGTTGTATTGTATTGTATTTTGTTTACCACCAATGAAGGTGAGCAATACCTTTTGGGTATATCCCGTATACTGTAGATTGGGTTAATTTGGCGCTACTTAATTTGGCGATTTTGCCATTTTTGCCATATTGGCGGCTATTTAATTTGGCGGATATGCAAAAAAAAAAAATAAAAAATTAAATGCAATATTAAACTTACGCGCTGTTTGCGAATTACGATGTAAATTGGCATGTTTGGCTATGTTCATTTTTTATTTTGAGGACCACTGGCGATATTCACCATGTTTGTACATTTTTGTGAGATCATCCAGTACATTTTGCACCTCGATCGATGCTGCTACTATACCATGCTTTTCCCTGAATATTAGTGAGTGACTGACCAGTTCTGAGCCAATTTATGAGAGACATTTTTTCATATTTTTGGAAAAAACTAAACCGGAAGTGACCTAAATACACTGGAGGAAATACCCTAGATAATTCCCGGGGATTCATTCTAAATTTTGGCGAAGATTTATATTGGCGAATTTTTCAATTTCGCCAAATTCGCCAAATTAAAGCGGGCGCCAAATTAACCCAATCTACAGTATATACGGTCGTAATTAACATAATTAGCCTGGAAGATAGACCCAGAAACCCCTCCTCAAAGGAGCCCTGTGTTCTTTTATGTGCACCCATACATAGACATACAAGTACACACCACAGCCTTTTGTACGAGTTGTGGACCACTCAGTCAAACACCCTGGAGTACTTTACGCACTTTTCAGGGTTGTCACGATATATTTATCATAAAATACTGATTTTCTTTTTTTTTCAGAGGTTAAACTGACCAAGGAGACAGTACTACAGAAAAATGCAGAATTGAAAATATCAGCAGAGGACATTGCACGAGCTAGAAAAGCAAAATCATCAAAACAAAGCTAGCAATAGAAGTATAATAGACATAGGAGTATTTAAATTGGACTAAATGAGTGAGAAAAGCAAAATCATCAAAACAAAGCTAGCAATTAAATTATAATAGACATAGGAGTATTTAAATTGGACTAAATGAGTGAGAAAAGCAAAATCATCAAAACAAAGCTAGCAATTAAATTATAATAGACATAGGAGTATTTAAATTGGACTAAATGAGTGAGAAAAGCAAATCATCAAAACAAAGCTAGCAATTAAATTATAATAGACATAGGAGTATTTAAATTGGACTAAATGAGTGAGAAAAGCAAATCATCAAAACAAAGCTAGCAATTAAATTATATTTGTAGACTAATAGGAGTATTTAAATTGGACTAAATGAGTGAGAAAAGCAAATCATCAAAACAAAGCTAGCAATAGAATTATATTTGTAGACTAATAGGAGTATTTAAATTGGACTAAATGAGTGAGAAAAGCAAAATCATCAAAACAAAGCTAGCAATTAAATTATAATAGACATAGGAGTATTTAAATTGGACTAAATGAGTGAGAAAAGCAAATCATCAAAACAAAGCTAGCAATTAAATTATAATAGACATAGGAGTATTTAAATTGGACTAAATGAGTGAGAAAAGCAAATCATCAAAACAAAGCTAGCAATTAAATTATAATAGACATAGGAGTATTTAAATTGGACTAAATGAGTGAGAAAAGCAAATCATCAAAACAAAGCTAGCAATAGAATTATATTTGTAGACTAATAGGAGTATTTAAATTGGACTAAATGAGTGAGAAAAGCAAATCATCAAAACAAAGCTAGCAATTAAATTATAATAGACATAGGAGGATTTACATTTGACTAAATGAGTGAGAAAAGCAAAATCATCAAAACAAAGCTAGCAATAGAATTATAATAGACATAGGAGTACTTAATTGGATGAGAGTAAGGCTTAAATGGACTTTTAATCAGTCTAATTTAAAGCCCATGGTTATACCAGAAAAAAGTGTACATTAGTGTACCCTGCAATTCTTAAGGTTCCCATGTCAAGTTTGAAAATATGTTTTTATCATTCATTTACTATTTGTCATGACTTTAAAAGTTATTTTTGAGATTTTTGAATAGGGGCTTTAAAGGTCCTTTGTAAAGTTTAGACCACTTTGTCAAATATTATAGTATTGCCCTCAATATACTCAAAGATGTGTAATGTGCAACTTTCTTTTTTAATCGTCAAAACTTTGAACAATTATTTTATTGCTTTTGGAAAGTGAGGATGAAAATGCAATTTATTCATATTTAGTTCTTTGGATATGACAAAATTTGGTTTGCTTTAAGATTGAACCTCTGTAACATGTAATGTATGAGAATGAAGTGTTATGCATGAGAATGAAATGTTATGCATGAGAATGAAATACATAAAAATAACACAACTCATATTTATATAATGGTTGAGGTAATTTGACAATCATTCCAATGGTATTCAGGAAATATTAGGTTTTCTGGCCTGTAGACAGCTTTTGGCATTTGGCAAAGGCAAAATTGTTCACTTTTAAAAAATCATGTTCACTTTTAAAAAAAAGTCCAGGGGGGTTTACTTTGGGGACAACTTTGGCCAAAAAACACTTCAAAAGTGCTCAGAATGCTGAAAACTGCATGAATTTGAAATAATTTTTGGCCAGCGAACCCCGAAAGGTATCTCAATGAAAACTTCTGAAGTCATGATAAGTGGTATTTGGATGATAAAAATATTTTCCATTTTACATGGGGCCTTTCACAAATGGGTTCAGACTTGCATGTAGTATGCCTAATGCCAGGCTAAATACTGTTTTTTTTATTCATTGTATGTATTGTATTAGTATTTATGGTGAATTGTAATAAAAAAATCTTTCACTATAAAAATAAGATACAACTTATTTGTTTTATTACTGTGTTATCATTACAATATCAGCAATCTTATAGAATTTTCATCATAACTCCAAATTTTTTAAAGGTCTGAGTTTTAAGATTAAAAAGATGTTTATTGAGGATGTAACAACATTTGAGACAAGTGGAGCATAACCTTAAATATTCCTCATAGTATTCAATGTGTACTTTTTAAAAGTCCAATCATCTTTATTACACAAATGTCATTTACTTTTCTAAGGTTGTTTACCTCGCAATAATTTTGAAATAAATATCCCCTTTTCACATATTTTTGACTTTTCTAGAAGAAATTCCATATGTAATTCTTTTTCACTTCATAAATCTTGGATTTTAAACGAAATTTTGGTATGCTTTTTGAAAATATTGCTTCCAAGCACTCTTTAGTACTTGCAACAATGATTGCTCAAAAGATGCACAAGAAAGACACAATCTGAGTTCAATGTCCAGTTCACAGTCAGCATGACAGCAGCATCTTTCAAATTATAACCAATTATGAATGATAGGCTCACATCTACATTTTGTATCATCAGGGCCTGGTTAAGAAAGAAAACCTATTGACCCGCCAGTGACTCATTTTGTAATAAAAGATGGTGATCTGATGGTCTTCTGTTTATAAAAAATCATGAAAGATAATGTAAGCAATTCCATTCTGGAATATACACATTATGTAAATTTAAACCCTATCCACATTTGGAATTTCTTTTCATTGTTCACAATGTATATTTGATTTGTTACAAATATAAACAACCCCCTCCCATCAGCCAACACCCCCATATGTGTCACCTGGAACTATTTTTTTATCCCTACACCGTGTGAATAAATCGTTATTTATTTGAGAAAGTATTATTAGTTGTTATTAGGTATACAATATATTATCATCGTTCATGAAATCATTCTAAAGTAATACCCTTGTATGTTATTTTGTATTTGGCGAATAAACGTTTTATAATTGATTAGTGTTAATTCCATTGCGGATGTTTCCATTAGTTTAGCCGGGTGTTGTTCGGCTCCAAAAATTTAGAATTTGGGTTACAAATTAATTTACCTGGAATATCAAGGTAGGGCTTTGTATATGAAACAAGTTATTAATAAATTTTGTAATTTATGTTCGAACTAACATATAGGCAAAATGATGTCAATGTTTCATACATTTTGAGAACGTACTAACAGGTGGTTGCGTCTTCAAAAGTAAACATTTCAAATGACTGATTTTTAGTTTACCTGTATTGAATACTCAGGTGTTGCATTGCATTTGTGAATTTGAGAAGTGTATATTTCATTAGTGTGAACAATATAAAGATCATGGTGTAAGTTTATGAAAAAATGAAAGCTTTGAGTTTCCCATTTGGGAAGGTTCTGAGATCGAGAAAATCATTGACATGTTGATAGAGGCTCATTTAGATCAAGGAAGTCTATATCTTGCGAAGCTTGGATTCCGGCTTACGTTATCTAATGCCGTAGCTAAATATATACCTCAATCAATTCCATAGAAACACCACAAGAAATGTGGCAAAAAAGACTCAGCTGTACAGTCTCAAATTGCACACAATTTTTAATCGACCAGTATTTCATAATCTATGGATCCTTGAGATCTACCCCTGCGATAGTTCATTTTATGTGTTCGAAAATTCCGACAGCTGGAAATGGTTTAATTGTCGTTGCAGACATCAATAACTCACAGAGAGCTTTTTACACATGGTTAAAATGTGTAAAAATGTATATTTAACAGAGAGCTTTTTACATGGTTAAAATGTGTAAAAATGTATATTTAACTCACAGAGAGCTTTTTACATGGTTAAAATGTGTAAAAATGTATATTTAACAGAGAGCTTTTTACATGGTTAAAATGTGTAAAAATGTAGTTAAATATACATTTTTACCATCGCACAGACACCCTCCCCCCCCCCCCTCCCTTGGCTACGCCTATGTCAGAGCAGAGCAATGAAAAACAGAAAAAATTGACAGGAGTCACAATATGAATATTGTGGTCATTTAAAGATTCATTTCATCTTGAGTAAACAGATATATTTAGTTTTTATTAATCAGTAAGTAGCTGCTCAAGTAGAAGGCCAACATTATCAAGTGGTTTATATATGTTGATTGATCATTTTATTGAAAATATTGACTAGTGTTATCATATCACTACTGACATTACATTGAAGCTTAGATAAGGCATGTAAGATTTATGATAAATTCTTTCTAATCTTTTTGCCCATTGGGTGAGTTGTTGTTATCACCCACTGTCTATCTGTCCATCTGTAATCCTTGTGGAGAGATTATATCTACTTAACTCAGAAATATATGGGACGTACAGCTAATGGTATGGTATATGGTATATACATTACAATGTCAATTAAATACCATAAATGTCGACCTAACTTTTATTGTTAAAAACTTTTGATTAAGTCCAAAAGTTTTATGTCAGTTTTGAAGCATACAGGTACGTAGTAAAGTATGCTGATAGACAATAATTTCCAGAATTTTTGGCAAAAACCTTGCCTACCATTTTTGATATTTATATCATAGGTTAAGGTTATTTAGGTTAACGATTATTGTACCTAAGTTAAATTGCATTCCAAAATAAAGTGAAATTAGCTCAGTTTGTATCTGATGGCATGTTCTCTTAACAGCTTAAATCTTATTATCAATTGACAATATGGCTCATTTTCAACTTTCTTGAATTTCTTTGAAGAAAAGTTGAATCTTTGATTTGTAAACTATATCCTTGTAATGTCTTTCAAGATAGAAAGTAAGCCTTGACTTTACAGGTAGACCTCCCAATACTTGAGATATGATATATCATGCTATGTTCAGTGTATACTGTTCTTTACTCTGTTCAAACATTTTGAGCCAATTTTATGTCTTAGTCAAACATTATTACAGGTTCATGGATTGAGTTCCAATTTTTCAACTGCGTGGTTGTTTTTCTTTTGATTTGCATGTTGACAGATATGTACACAACTATGATTATTTAGTCATTGGGTTGGAACCTTTGCAACTCATAGTTTACTTCATCTATCATGCGACTTGGACCTAAGAGGCTGGTCCTTCCTTATACATGTAGCGTACTATATCTTGCCCTTTAACTCATGAAAAAAGCTGACATGTATTCTAATTGAAATGTATAAGTACGTATTTAAGTCTAAATAGACCATTGTTTGAGTTGTACATATTTAAATTCTATGCCTTGTTTACATTACCTCTTGATAATGTGATGGTGCACAGAATTATACAGGTATTAAAGCATAGAATTATATTAAAAGCATGATGTAGGTATTAAAGTATTACAGTAGATTTCAAAGTAGATCTAATGAAGGCAGGAAAACCAAAAATATAGAAATGGTAGAAATGTATGCTGCTCATTGTTGCATTCATAGTGAAAGAAATATTATTGGGTAACTGTAACTAATGCAGAATTTGGAGGTAAAATTGAAATAATGATGTTCATGATGCAGATTCTAAGTGAAATCTGAAAATGTTGATTTGCCTTTCTCTTGAATTTTTGGAATCACTAATGAAATCATTATTAACCTATCACAAAATAAACTTCATTCTTCCATGGGTTGGCTTGTATATTTGGACAAGATCCCCAAATCATCTAGATTTAACTCATATATTACAGTCAAGATGATATATAAATAAACCAGCATATATTTAAAAATGCCAGTAAGTCCTCAAGTTAAGATGCCCTTTCATTTTACTTTAAAGCGTTAAAAAGTAAATACCTGAATTCTTGAATTCTTAAAGACATGTAATTATGTTTCAATCAGAACTTGTGTAGGCAGAGGAAGGATAAGTGGGACCTCTTTGGGACCCTTGTACACATGTTAAGGTGTACCTTAAATGATTGATTACATACCTATCCTATGTGTCAATAAATGTGATTTACAATTTCTAGCAATTTTTTGTTGTTCTAAGCTGTGATTGTCGCACTGAATTTTTTTCTCCTGAGGATACTTTTATATTACCAAATCGTTGATCCATGTTTTTTCTTCGTGGTCTCCCCAGGAACAGGAAGCAAATGTTCACTTTTCCAATGGGTAATACGTTTCCAATAGGGCAGCATGTAGTTTTTTGGATTTTCAACATGGCCCAGGACCTAGTTGCACTACATTGCTGACTGATCTCAGACTCTGTATTGTATTGTATTTTATTGTTACTATTGTATTATTGTACTATGTTATCAGCATATACTTTTTGCATATTTCTAGAGGTCTTGTTTTTTTATCTTTCAGAGGCAGCACCATGTCTAACAATAATACCACAGACCCAGCCTTCAAAGTTGTCCCCAGAAGGCAAGCATGTTTCCTGATCTGGAGGATTGAGGTAAGTTTTATCCGGACATAATACATAAAATAGATTACAAGGATCTGGAATGAAATAAGCACAAGTGAGGCGGAACTACTCACATAGCCGGATATTGCCGACTGAGTTTTGTAATTGAACACTATTGCTAATGAGGAGTGTTCATGTTTCGAGGTTTTACTTTGTACTTAACCTCTTGAATCCCAGGCTCTAAAATCTGTTGAAACCAGAGATTTTTTCATTTTTGCCACCTTTTGGCATTATACTACATACCTATACAACTTCAGATGCTCAACTTAGTAAAATTAGATGGCAGAGATCATTTCTACACATTTTAAAACAATTTTTGTGTAAATTTGATTTTCTCGTCACTCTGGGTTTCAAGGTCATTTCTGAGGCGACGAGAAATCTCGTCACTCCAAGTAGTCAAGAGGTTAAAGGATGTGCTATCCAAAGTATTCTAAAACTTATGCCAGGGGCTGGTATTCATTGGAGCTTGTCTACAATGAAGTCATTAATTAAAATATTTAAGTACCAGTTGGACGTTCTGTTTAGCATTTCAAAAGTAAGTTGTATCTTACAATCTTACATGACTTAGTGTCAAAGCCTCTAATTTAGTAATATGTGTAGATGAAGCTCTCTTTTGATGAAGTAAATTCAGACTTTTGGAAATGGATATATTCTATCCTTCAATGTACATGTTAGTGAATGTTGCTACTTTAGGATTGGATAGGTGATAATTATAGTAAAGCTCACACCTTTTTCAAGGCACTAATGTTTCTAATATCAGTCTATTGTACTGTAACTTATTTATTTAAAAGGAATTGAGAGTTATCAATGGTTTCTCTCATGATCGAATAGCATAGTGCAGTATATTTAAATCAGCAGCGAAAATCATGTTGAATACCGAGGGATCTAAAGATATGACTTCACCAATGTCATGATTCCATTTTTCATAAACATTCATGGTACCAATTGATATTTCCTGGTTATCACATGAAAGTCGTGACATTGTTTTGATGTAATGAGGATGATGCATACTTGTTAGTATCCTACTTCTCAATTAGAAAGATGGATAGGGTAGATACTTTTACAGTTATGCTGCAGATCATAGCCCTAAATTAACTGTCAAGGTCATTCAAGTCAGAGTTAAAATATCACTATCAGCTGCTCAATTCAGAAATGTAGTTTTTATGTTACCAACAGAGGTGATATCTTGTTATATTCTCCAGATTTTTGTGGATGGTGGTCAGTATTTGGCAGTTGGTGTTCAGCATTTTGTGTCTGTAACAAATGGCAGGTGGTGATATTTTGCATGTTAATGCCTTGTTCCAGGTGTCTTTGATTAACCCTATTTCTCTGGCAAGGCTAGATACGGATCTCTTTTAATGAAACATAGTCAACCTATATTTCATTGAAAATGGTGAATGAACGAGTGGAATTTGATGCAGTCAAGAAACAATCATGAGATCATTATCAAAATAATGTTTAATTAAACTGACCTATGGGATATAGGTATTGTATTGAACAAGTAATCTCTCCCAAGAGCTCGCCTGTAACATAATGATGGTACAATACCCTGTAATATAATCACAATTATATGTACAAGTAAAGTCCAGTAGAGTTAAAATGTCTAAGGATATTATGAAAACACTTACCTATCATATCCTCAACATCATTATGGTGTGTCAACTCCAGATTGTCATTTTGGATTTTGGAGAGATGTTTAGTAAAAACGCAATCTAAGATATAATGTTCATACCTTAGTTTGATGTACAGGTATCTTTTGATTAATCGACACTTTCATGATTACAAGCTGAACAATTGAATTTACTGTTGCAGGTAAGTCAACTGGAAGAACAGATTCAATGGTGTTGCATTATTGTAGTTCATAGTGATCTTTTCTCCCTTACCCATCATCCTTTACCTGGCATCATATTTCTGTACCATTTATACTTGTAGGGTGAGGAATTCCAAAAAGTGACTTAAACGTTCTTTGATTGTTTATTTATTTCTTTGATTATGTCATGTGTTTTCTTCCTTTTTGAATGGGTGCAAATAGATTTTTATGTTACCACCACACTTTCAGTGGTCGGCGTCTGTAGCAAATGGCAGGTGGTGATATTTTGCATGTTAATGCTTTGTTATGTGTTTGCTAGCCTCTTTCCAAAATTCCAAGTGGGTACTCTTGCACCCTGGGTATAGCACCCACTTGGTGAGATTGTTCCATTAGTAATTTAGATACACCATTGAAAAGGTGACATGATACATACACCAATGATTGTTACCACCTTAACTTCAAATTGCTTCGATGGCATCTGAAAAATGGCAGTTAAAATAATTTTAGGTCACTGGTTAATGGTATTTAGGCAAATTATATTTCATTTTGCGATCAGAAACATAAATGATAAAATGTTGTATAGGTATGATGTTCTTAAATGCAGGTAGGTCTAGGTCTGTCAATATGAACTTTTACGATACCTTGGTAATACCAAGATGATATATTCAAGTGCTTGTGATAACTGGGAGAGGCTAAGATTAAGAAAATGTACATCTCTGTCATTAATCTATATTTTCACATGCTTGAATACAGGCGATCCTTCTACCATATAAGTAGTAATATCTGAAATTAATTAGTGATCTTTCTTATATTAGTACTATGCTAAAGGAATTTCACCAATTTCCAAAAGGATTACTGTGTAATTCAGTATATACGAATTTACGTAGTTACATTCCCATGAATTTGATTCCTTGTTTCATCTTTCTCTGACCTGACTACATCATGTTAATTGGATCTGATAAAATTATCCCATCGAATGAAGTTCGGAGGGATATAGGGAACGCCTCCGTCTGTCCGTACGTAGTACGTACGTCTGTACGTCCGTCCGTCCGGGCAATAACTCAAATACCTTTGGCCAGATTTTGTTCATATTTTGTACACATATACCCTATGGGGGTAGAAGTTCTGCTAGAAATGTAGATATTAAAGAAGCACATGGCAGCCATCTTGAAAAATGGCGGCCTTTACTCGTTATTATACGATTTTTGCTGTAACTCGAAAAGTATAGGAGCGATTTTGTTCATATTTGGTATGTGAATGCTATAAGCATGGCACACTGTATAATGACACTTTTGGTAGAAGGTGGCCATTTTTGAAAAATGGCCACCATTTTACCATATTTTACTTTAACTTGAAAGTAGTGGAGCGATTTTGTTCATATTTGGTATGTGAATACTATTTAAAGCATGGCACACTGTCTAATGACACTTTTGGTAGAAGGTGGCCATTTTGAAAAATGGCTGCCATTTTTTGCTATATACTTTGTTTGTAAAAATGCCAGCCATGGCTGTTCGATGGGATTTGCTACGCTTTGGCGTTGCTTTTGTCTATTTTATTATTGGGTACCGTATCATGCAATTATGAGATGCCATGTTTAATGTATAGGGGTATCTGGCTCATACAGTATATGATATTTCAGTATAATGAGATACTGGCACATTACCTCTGAATAAGGATATAAGCAATTTTGATTGAAGTGGGAAATTTTCACGTGAATGTGATTTTAGTTAGAAGAATCTGATCATAATTGCATGCAGCCCTATGTGATAATATTAATTTTCATGTGATAATATTAATTTTCATATGATATATGATTTTGATAATTTTAACTTTTATGTTATATTATGACCATTTAAGGGGAGACATCAAAAGTTCGATGTTGGATGGAAAACTAAATAAGTTTAGTTAGGGGGGAGGGGTTCAAACCCATTTTAGTTTGCTATCTGACAAATTTCAACATTTCAAATTTTTTGTCAATTTTGACTCAGAATGCCTTGGGATGGTTTAAGAATAAAGATCTTACATGATGCTTTCTTTGTCAAGATCATTCCAAAGGATTTTGTTCTCAATAGTTGTTAAATGCCACAAATTACGATAGGAATTAACAAACTAGATTGTGTTTAGCAATAATTTTTCAAATTCTCAAACCGGAAGTCAGCGATCAACTTTCATGGTATTAAGTTTTTTGGGGGAGGGGGGAGTCAGAGTCAAAACTAGATTTATTTAGTTTCCAATCCGACATAGAACTTTTGATGCCTCCCCTAAGGAAAAGGAGTGAGTATTAACATGGCAAGCATATATATGGTTATAGCTACCATATGAGGAGAGAGATGGTTTGGCAAGGAATATTCCTTTAATTTGGGGCTGTCAAATTGCCTAGTCTGGAAGTAACCTAGTGAATCAGTTCCTCCACCCTGGGAGCAATAATAGCTGTTCAAATATTGTATCGTCAAAATTCCTATTTCCTGAAATAATTAATCATTTCAAAAGTTCCTTCTTCAAGAAGTCAACAAAGCTGTTATGAGTATCAGAATGAAAGGATTATTATGTTGAAATTCCTGACCCTTCCTGTATATGTAGTGGAGGACTAAATAAAAATGTTAAATCAAAAAGGCCAGAGTTCAGTCTCAAAATCTAAATGAAAGGAATCGTGAATTTATTTTAAAAATCACAATGTAAACACTTGAAAAATATTACTTAATAAGTCAAGAGGAATAGTTAGTAAAACGCATGTTGTGTTGTCATAATAAGTCAAGATTTTACCTTAAATTTAACTTCCTTATACCAGTATATATGTCACTATATAGCTAGGCTTATATAATCCTTATTAGACCAGGAATTGTATTTGAGAATACAGTCATGTTCGAACTTTGAATAATGTTGCTCTCAAAACTAATGCCAAAGTCAAAACAAAAGATGGATTTGACGAAGTAGCTATGTATGCACATTGCAGTGCTTGTAATTTTGGATCTATTCTACTTGTATATCAGATCCAGGTTTCTCAATAGGCTTTTAGAATCCAGAGTTTAATGTCTTAAGACCCTCTTGCTCCAGAGTTTAATTAGCTTTTCCAGAGACTAAAGTTTTTTTCGAGAGTCTTATTTTACATTTTGTAACATTATTTGTGGTAAAACTCTTGAGAAAATACATAAAACTGAATACAAACAAGGAATAGGAAGTCAGAACTATTTTAAAAATGTATATTATGATTAAAATATTAAGATAATCTTAACTTGTATTTTGAAAAGTAAGTATACTTATACTAGCATGATATCTCTGATCTCACATGGGGGAAGGGGTAGTCGCAATAGGGTAGGATAGGATACAAAACCCTGATGTGTAAAAGGTACCATATTGGGGGATTGAGTTAAATTAGAAAAACATATTTATTGGTAAAGTAAAAAGTTAAGCCCCCCAATGATGTTATAGTCCATCTTTTAGAGGCCTGGAGTCTAAGCTGTTTGTGAATTTATTTATTTAATTTTGTATTAGGCTATTCCTTATCTGGTGGGTCATAGAAACCACTCCTTTGAGACCCCCTGGCTCCCATACTATGATATAATCCATCTTTTAGAGGCCAGACTATGCTGTTTGAGAAATTATTTATAAATTGTTGATATACAGGGTGTCCCAGAAGTAAGGTAAATGGGCCTTGTATTTCAGCAGTTGGTCAGGTTTTCATGAAATTTGGTTGGATAATTCACCATATGAAAAATCATAACCCTTCCATTAGATTGGAGTTATGGTTGCCATGGAAACCAAATGTACCATGGTTTTATTTTATTTGTATTCATGCCAGAATGATTATACAGCTTCATTTTCATTTCTTTTCAAACTCTAATTTGTTATTAGAACTCCATATTATGCAAGTATATTTCCAGTGGCTGTCCTTCATATTTAGTAATAACATTCAATAGTTATTCCATTTCCAAAAACATAACTTGACCACGATGAAGTTAGTAAAAAACATTATCTTTGTTTTCAGAAATTGAAAGTGGTTGCAGTTCCAAAGGAGAAATATGGCAGCTTTTTCAAAGGGGATTCTTACATTATTCTCGCAGTAAGTTCACTTTGTTTACAATTACATTTTTTCAAAATTTTATTCTCTGATTACCTAGCTCTATTCAAAATTTTATTTTGTTTTTAAAGGAATGCATTTGAGCATGGACTTTTAAGAGCTCTTCAAAGTCCATACTTTTAGTGAAGTGGTCATACTTGTTCTTATTCTAAAACATACCAAAATTAGAATAAATAGAATTAGCCTATAACTTGCACAATCAGTGAACTCAAGAAGAACTTTCTTAATGGTGATTTCCAATTATCAACTGTAGTGGAAAATGAAGTTAATTTTGCTGTGGTTTAACCTCTTCCCTCCATCTACCGAAATTTTAAAATATTGATTGTTGAATATTAAAAAATCAATACTAATCACTAAAGAAACCATCATTTACCCCCTCCCCTCTTACGAAACAGCTATTCCACAACTGTTGATAATTTGACACCATCCCTGACTGTAATATAATGTTTCAGTTTGAAAAAATTGCTCGCAAAGCGGAAGTGAATAAATCACATCTTAATACTATTTATGCACATATTACCTATTGATTTTACACATACATGTATACACCTCAGAGAATGTGCAATTGTCATGTCACTTACAAGGCAATAAGTCTTTTCAAGTATAAGCAGAAAAGAATTTAAGGTTATATTAAAATCAACTGATCGTGCAAATTTTTGGTTATTGTGACTTTTTTAAATTAAGGGTATATGGGGTTGCATTGAGAAACGATTTCTTTCAATATTTTACTTGTTTTTATATTTTTATTTTTTTGAGGGAATTAAAATATCTGTATGAATATAGCTTTAAGCTAAAAATATCACAGTTTCGCAGTTTTTCATTGTCAGAACCATAAAATGCAGTGGAATCATGGTTGAGAATTTTGACCTAGATCATAAATACTGCAAAACTTTTTTTTTGTGGAAAACTCCATGTTAAAAAAGTACTGTTGACCACAGAATGCAGTGGTGCCGTTTAACTATCATGATCGGCCATTGCATGACCATGGTATTCATTGCATTTTATGACCATGGTATAACAATGGTCCATTTCAATTTGGTTATATTTATTACTATTTTTAATCATAGGAGTATGTTGATATGTTGTATATTTTTATTTTATGCTAATTCATTATACTTTATACTTTAGTTCTTGTAATATGACCCAAAACATTCCAACATGAGTTTCAAACAAACTTTTATATAAATAAAAGTATGTCATCATTTATACTTTTATCTGACTCAAGCTTCAAAATAAAAACATCAGAACTGTGGGAATGAATGAAGAAATATGAGCCATGTACAAATATGGTAATCTATTTGGCATATTTTTGCATTAGTCTTGCATCTAGTCCTTGTTAACCCTTTTATCCTCCTGATGAAAATAAGCATGTATATCCCTCTGGGTAAACTAGGTAAGGGGAGACAAATTACTCAATGCAAGACTTTTTGCATGTTTTTGTATAAAGAGCATGGAAAAGTGACAAATATTTACAAAAATGGTATTTCCCTCATTATTATTACATCAAGGTGTGGGGCTCGGAAGACCGTCCATCAAACTGCAATACCAAGGTACTTGTTTGTTGTTTGATCAACAAAAATAACATATGAATATTGTTATATCTTGTTGTAATTTAAACACAGTGTCCAAATGTCAGCAATGGTAGAAAAATAAAGTTAATTCCTGAAGAATTTAATCATTGTAATGAATGTTTAAAATATTGTTGATTTATTCCTATTATTAAAAATCAATATTTTAAACTTACAAAAACGTCATTTAACTCCTCTCCAAACAAAATTGTCTTTTTCTTTTATAACTGTTGATACTTGGACATCATCCTAAGCCTTATGAGCAGCTCCAAGAACTGTTTCAACTTCATTTACATATGTCATGTATATGCTTTCTTGGAGCGCTTGAGAGTATGTTAGATGTCACGAAGATGAAGTCTGTATTAATGCTTAGAAATTTGACATTTCAATTCAGGAAGAAAACATGTCCACAAGGCAGAGGTGCTTTTTTCATAAAAGTGGTTTTGGGACGGGGTCAATATATCTTATATGACCGCGAGGTCAATCCGAATTTCAAAGTATGAACTTGTTCAAAAATTTTGACCTGGCCCCTTTTATAGAATTGTAAAGTGTGATTTTGTAAAATGTGTTTGTCACAGTCAACATGTTGTAAAAATAAATGTCACAAAATCATAAGTACATGTATTTAAGTCTGCATGCAATGTGGATTAAATGGATTTTCATGAAAACTTTATTTTTATTCAGTACAACATAAATATGTGGAGTGGCCTTACTCACGTCGAGAGCTACCATGTTATTAGATTTTGAAAGTATAGCTCTCCATCGTGAGGATCTCCAGCCTGAAGAATTGTGACATCTAAATTTGATCAGCGCCAGTCAGCGGCTTACTGTTTGTCTCAAACTGTAGCCTACATATGGGCTCATATGTGTCTACTTTCCCCGTGCATATAGGATCGCGGATGTGCTTCTTTGGCGATCAGGAGTTCTAATCGTTTTTTGTTCGATACCCATTTCCAATATGGCGGTTAAATGGAAATATTATCGACGCATGCGCAACTTTGGAAACGTCAAGCCGCCATATTGAATATACCTGGCCAAAACTTTTGACACGACCAATAAAATGAAGTCCTGATCGATACATAGGGCAGTGAGACGTTCTATAGTTGAGCTGAATGAAACATGGCGATGTAGGATACATTTTCAGGTATATAATGTGCAACATGAGTCAGCTGAATTCCCTGGAATTTTCTTTGAAGTCAGGATTCTTAAGCTGTTGATTCTAGCGATAGAGAGCTATACTTTCAAAATCTAAGTAGCTCTCGACGGGAGTAAGAGTGGCCCATCTCACAGCTAGTGAATCATTGCTTTTCATTATTTGATTTTTACTATCCTCTTTTTGGAACTGCATGACAGCTACTCAGTGTATCACTCCATGTTGCGCAATTTGAGCAATGTGTTTTTCTGTTTAAAGGTAAATTCCCAAATTTTTATGAATACAGATGATAGAATTAACGTCATTATGAGGAGGTGAATGAATTAAATATTATGTTACGTAAAAGGCAGGAACTTTTTACTAGGTTTTAAAATCAATTAATTGAACTTTCACTGAATAGATTTTATTCATCTGCGTTCCCTTTGAAATCGTTATATATGGAGATATATCAATTTGTGTACTTAAGAGATGAATGGACATATCCTATGGAGTCACTGACCTCACCCTCTAAAGCAGCTTTACTATATACCATTTATTAAATAAAAATATGAAATGACTCATTAAAAAGGGCGACCCAAGTTTCTCTGGAGTTTCCAGTCCCTGCCTATGAACAAGGGGTTGATATATTATGCATCACTGGTTTATATAGGGCTCTCATTTGGAAATATATAGGGCCTGGTTGGTAACATTTTTAGTGTACTGTAATTAAGTCACAATAATTCAAAAGTATATTTTTTTTGATTCATTCTTTTGACACATTATATAAAGGGGTATTTAGTCCAATTCAATCTAGGTGACAACAATCATGGCTGGTCAATGCATTGTGGTTGGAGCGTAAATAGACTGTGGTGCTGCTCCATGGTCTAAAAGCCTAGTGAGAGTCCTCATGCTTCTCTAGAGAGTACTGTGAAGTCTACTTATTTTTGCATGAATGCATGAGGAAAATGTCATCATTGATAAAGTGAACTTGTGTGTGAATTGTATCAAGCACTATCACATCTTAAGGGTCAGGTATATTCCAGCCTTAGAGAAGCCTAAAGATAACTGTTATGTAAATACATGTAATGTAAAACCTGTTTTCGTGGAACACATTGGTATACTTCTAAAAAGTGTTCTACTATGGAGGTGTTTCGGGTTCATTTAAGATAAGGTCAGTCAGTCTTGGGACTGAAAAGTATTCTACTTACAGAGGTGTTCCACTTTGCAGGTTCCTCTGTTTATGTGATTTTAATTTTAAAAAAAAAGAAAAATAAGGACATTTTTTAAGATTTTATAAGCATATTCCTTGTTAGATGTCATATTTTCTATTGTTCTTTTTCTTCATATGATGACTTATTACATGTTTATATGCAAAGTGCTTTAGATATTGTTTCAAATGTATATGGCATTAGCCAGTACAGCTAGAGTGCTTTTACTTGAGACAATATATGATATAAACCAGGAATGATATAATAATGTGATTTTGACATGCAAGTTGATGGTAGTGTTAGTGAATAAACTTATCCTGAAGTGATATGAGGAATATCAGAGATTCAAAATTCAACCTTTAGTATTTTTATGGGCCACCTTTACATGTATGTACAATTTTCCAACAAATATGTCTTTTACTGATCCGAATAAAGGATTTCGAAAAGGATAATCCCGATACATCTATTATATGTAGAAGCAACTGAATATGTAAAATGTGGAAATCTATAATTCATAATCCTCACCACTTGCTGAGTGTTGGGTAAGATACTGAGGTCTTAATAGCTGCTAGAACAAAGTAAGTTGATGTGAATCCAGAGAAATGATGCAAGACTAAAAATACTGAAAAACTGTTACATGTAACTATATTGTTTGGTCTTTGTTTTGTAGGTGAAGGAAATAAAGGGGCGCCTAGATAGCCATTTACACTTCTGGCTCGGCTCAGACACATCCCAGGTAAAATAAATGTGTTTTACAGGTTCTGATTTATGCCCTTAGTGGATTATGTTATGCAATTTATAATTTGGGAAAGTATATAATTATTTTACCTCAGTGTCACTTTTCATTCATTGTTACATATGTACAATACCGTCCAAATGAGTGGTCTTGGGGATGTGGGCACCCCCGCCTAATACTCAGAAAATTAATTGACATTGTTCCAACACAAATATCAAAAAGATCCATGAAATCCCATTGAAGTTATTGAATGTTTCATGTCCATTAAAAAAAACATGCATTACTTTATATGATAGCATTTGTGGGATGTGATGGGAGTTGTATCACTGTATATTATTATTAAATTGGTAGGATGAGGCAGGTGTTGCTGCCTATAAGACAGTGGAGCTGGATGATTATCTGGGAGGGACGCCAGTCCAACATAGAGAAGTGGAGGAAAAGGAGTCCCCCATATTCATGAAATATTTCCAATCTAAAGGTGGTGTCACGTAAGTTTTATTTGGCGCTACTTAATTTGGCGATTTTGCCATTTTTGCATATTGGCGGCTATTTAATTTGGCGGACACTAGGGCTTGGACAATGCTCCGGCGCCATAACTTCCATACATTGGAATAAAATACAAATTGTTACCTATTCCTTCAATTCAACTGCTATATCTAGCTAGTATTTTATTATTGAAAGAATTCTCCCTTGAAATGCATAATCATGTTGAGGTTTGTTCAGCTTATCCTTTTCAGATGTTGCAAAAACTAAACCGGAAGTTCTATTTCCCCAAATTCGCCAAATTAAACCAATCTACAGTATATATTTAGATATTTAATTGTGATACAGTGATAAGTTTAACCAAGATTCCTTAAAATTTGACAAAGTCAAATTGGGAGACCTACAGGGTGTCCCAGAACTCATGAGAATTTTTTGAGGGAGATATAAGGCATGAATGATTTTTCTTCAAATTCAGTGCACTTAATAAACAAACATTGAGGAATAACTGACATGAATTTCAGCCACATATCTTTTATATTTCCGAATTTATTGACATTTGAATTCTACATCGCCATAGCATAGCACCCGGGTTATAGCATATTATCTGCAATTGATGTCTTTTCAGCTACTCTTTGTACACATTCCCGAATCATTCTATAACCATTTCTGTAGGGTTCTCTGAAACAACATGACTCAATTCTTCATCCGTTTCAGTGACATGGCCCAATAATCTTTGTTTAAGGTCTCTAAAGAAATGAAAAGTCTAGTAGAGCAAAATCTGGCAAGTATTATGGAGCTACTATATACTGTAAAGTCTCAATAGAAATCAAATTGGATGCAGTACTGTCATGCATGTAGTGACTTATCGTCTTATTCACTGGTGCATTGTCAGTATGCAAGATCATATTGGCTAGCAAATGGGGACATTTCATTCAGTCCCTCAGGAACATGTTATTATGATCTTTCAGCAAACCAAATGTACAATCCGTTGATGTATTTGGTCTCTATCAAAATTTATATATTGTTTTATCAAACTGCATCGTCAATTATGAGAAAAATGCCCAATTAAGCTTCTACAAAGAACGTTGGTCTTATTGTTGAGAATTTGTATAAAATTGACAAAATGTGACATAAACTTTTGTATTTTCCCGACAACTCCGGGGTTTGTGACGATGTAGAATTCAAATGTCAATAAATTCGGAAATATAAAAGATATGTGCCTGAAATTCATATCAGTTATTCCCCAAAGTGTGTTTGATAAGTGTACCAAATTTGAAGAAAAATCACCCATGCCTTATATCTCCCTCAAAAAATTCTCATGAGTTCTGGGACACCCTGTAGTGTCATTCCTTATTTCCTTTATATAATTGGATTGATAGACCCCATCTTCTATACTATTCACAATAGGGAATTTTATTGCTTCAGTTATTTAGAGGGTGGAGTGGCCTCAGGTTTTAACCATGTCGAGCATACTTTTCAAGAACGACTTCTGCATGTTAAAGGCAAGAAAACACCAAGGGTTCGTCAAGTAAGTTAGATTCTGATATTTATTCCTAGTTTATTCAGTATTTAATTAAATGTTCTAATATTCTTCATACCCTTATAATAAATAAATAAATGAAGGTTTTGATTATGATATACATTCCTATTTGCATGCAGTGCCAGCATCTTTTTGCAATATTACAAAGCTGATGTGTTAATCCCTACACTAAAATGTCAGGGGGGGGGATTTGCTAAGGATAAGAAACCAGCTGGTCACTTCAGTAAATAAAGGCCATTAGTATAGCAATTTTCCAATACCAAATAAAAGTACCATTCAGCATAAAATGTTAATCCACTTATCCAGGGAAATTTTTATTGTAGAGTAAAAAAATTAGTACTTAACTGGATTGTAAAATTCATTTCACATTGGATTAGAAGTTGAAAATGGACCAAGTTGCTGATTGGGTCAACAAAGGTGTCCATGGGAATTTTGAACTAACCTGTGATAATCCCTTTCTATAAGTAAAACCTGTATATAGTGAACACCTATGGAGCCACTGAATGTAGGTGTTCACTAGAGAGGGGATTTTTTACTAGAGTGAATGTAACATAAGCCTTGGAACGGTGTTCACTAAGCACAGGTGTTCACTAGAGAGAGGTGTTCACTAAGACAGATTTGATTACTAGTATCCATTCATAAGATAAATTCCAGGATATTTAATCTAACTGATACTCTCCCTTTAAATACCATGAATTGTGAATGTTACCCTTATGATCCCCATTGGCTAGTCACTATATCACATACTGGAAATTGACCCGAATTACAGGTTGGAGTGCTTGGGTCAGATCACAAAATACTACTTACCAATTTTGTAATAATGTAAATGATCGTAAAATGCTTTATATTCCCAGCGAAAATTCCAAATCCCTAGCTGACCTATTTCTTGTATAAATATAATATGCGGTAATGATGTTAGACTATCAAACGATAATTAAAAACTAAGATGGTTTGACAATTAAGTGCAAATTCATTCACTTTTCTATTTTCTTCTGACCCAGCCCAAAATTACCCGACCCAGCCCAAAATTACCCGACCCGCACATTCTTTCTAGCCTGACCTGACCTGAAAAATATCTGACGGGTGACACCTCTAGTCCTCTACCAGTCACAATTACTTCCCTCTGACTACCATACACAGTTTAACAGTTTTGATACAAACTACATATTCAAATAAACGGGTTGTACTTATTTCTATTTTAAATTTACAGCACAAAGAAAGTTGAATTCTTGCAAAGGATATTGTAAATAATTAATTAAGGTATTCATCTTGTCATCCTAATCACAAACTTAAATTTCTTTTCCTAATAGGTACCAATTTCATGGGATTCCATGAATGACGGGGATGCCTTCATCCTAGATTTGGGTGCTGTCTTGTTCTGCTGGCTAGGGAAAGAAGTAAGCACCTCAGAAAAGTTAAAGGTAAGAACCATTTTTTTTATGTTACCACCAACTAAAATCATCTACAGTGGGGACATTTTGTTAATGCCTTGTTAAAGAATAAATTGGATGGTGCCTGTTTTTGAAAAAATATCTTAAACTTGTCAGAAGTGGATAAACATTAGCAGAAATGTCATGTATGCCTTTGTGTGTGTTTTTTATGTCACCACCAAAAGTGATGACATAAATGGTCTCTATTTTTTGACAGTGGTTGGTGGGTGGCAGATGGCAGTGAGTGGTTGGTCGGCAGTGTCTGTAGCAAACTCCTAAACTTCCAATAACTTAACAAATTCTGTTTAAACTGACTTCAATTTCTCAAAAGTTCAAATTTGACTTTAGATTGAGATTTGACCTTCAGTGACCTTCTCAAGGTAAAAGAAGGTCAAAATGTATTTACTCAACTTGCTTCAAATTGACCAATTTTTTCAAAATCATCAACAAGTTCTCAGAAGTTCACATCTGATTTTAGATTTGACCTTCAATGACCTTCTCAAAGTCAAAACAGGTCAAAAAGGAATTTTTTCAACTTGCTTCAAATTTTCAATAACTTACCAAATACTGTTTAGACTGACTTCACAATTTTTCAAATCATCTGCAAGTTCTCAGAAATTATCATCAGAGTTTATATTTGAGATTTGACTTCAATGACCCTTCTCCTTCTCAAGGTAAATGCAAAGTATTTTTTCAACTTCTTCAAATTAACCAAGCAAATTGGTGGTGACATTTTGTCATGTTAATGCCATGTAACAATTATTATCCCATCGAACAAAGGAAAATGAAACAAATAAAATGATACATGTATAGTATATTATATTAATCATTTTGGTAGATGTTTTAATAAGAATTCAGTTGTAGCCTATGTTGTATAATTACCTACATTTTAGTGCATGGCTTATGCTCGAAATCTACGTGATGAACGTGGTAAAGGAGACGTTGTTACAATTGAGAGTGGAGAAGAAAAGGATATGACTGAAGATGAATTGAAGGTGTGATGTCATAAGACATATGGCTTGATTTTGCATGCACCGTCTGATTGCTGTCTGATGTTTGTTTCTTGGCAGAAATTGTGATGTAACCACGTCAACAAGCTTTTATTTTTCACTTCACTAACAGATACAGTGAAACATGTAAAGTCAAATACCTTTGTTAGTGGAACACTTTTCAGAGTTCCAAGAGCAACTTAATGGTGAATGAACCTCTATAAGTGGAACTCAAATGGAACATTTTTAGAAGTACCAAAGGTGTTCAACTTGGACAGGTTTTACTGTATTTGATTTGTCAAAGTCCATCTCTATCAATTATTTATGGAACAAAGCAGTCTGTTTGCAAAAGTATGACCATGTTGTTCAATAAATGAAAAATAATCTCATTTCAAAAATTCCATGGAATTTTCAAAGAAATTTATAAACAGATTTGAATTGATAATCCCATTTTTGAATTGATTTTCTCTTCATTATTTTTTTCTTCAAATTTCCATTTCCTGATTGATGAGATGGAATGTACAAGTCATAAATCTGTCAGTGAAGTTACTAATACAAATCTTCCCTTCAACTTTTTTCACCATTGTAGGAGTAGAATATTCACACGCATGCTTTAATGTCTTTTTCTCTGCAAATAAAATGTCATGAGACTTGAACATGAATCTTTTTTATTGAGTGTAATAGAGAGGTATAAGCAGGGAATTTGTTTCATGTTATCATTTTATATTTCTTACATTAACTCACTCAGTTACACATAGCATATTGCCAAAGTTTAACATTAGCTGCAATTTACAACATTAGTGGCAACTTACAACATTAGCAGCAATTTACAACATTAGCAGCAATCCAGAAATGAGACATAAATTAAAACTGCTGATGATCCAGACACAAGGAGGATTGGCTCCCAGAGTGCAACATTGATATTCTGTCCTATATATGGGCATGTTGTGATCCAAAATTCGAATTCAAACAGCCACCATTTTGTTCACCTCAACATTTGAATCGTGAATTTTGGTGTTATTTCCTAACGAAAAATGCCAAAACTCACAAGAAATGAGCGAGATATTGGTTCGAATCTTTTGAACTGTTTATTTTGAATTTATAATCGGTTATAATTTCAGGAAACAACAACATTTCTACGTTTTCATTGTTGGAAAATATCAAGTTTCGATTCTGGGAGCCAATCCTACTTGGTCCAGACATGAAAAGAAAAGAATTTCTCATTTAGAATCTATAGAAACTCATGACAGTTTAGACACAGAAGTGCATGCCTACACTTACTTATCACTTCAGGTTTTCTTACAGATTGACAACAGCAGGACACCATACTAATACTCCTACATTCATGAATATTTTTTTAGTAGTTCTCATACTGTAGTACAGGGGTTTCATTAGAATTTCTCTCAACAGGCTAAATAAAAGAAAACAATAGGCAAAATTAATGGAAATCATAAATTAATCATGGAAAAGTTGAAAAGTCCCTAAAATAACAGGTGATTTTGTGAAAACAACTAGTGAGAATCGCATGTTGCCTGCTGCTAATGAAACCCCTGATAGTATCACTATTTTGTGTTGTATGGCAAGTGGTATGCCTGAATTGCAGTAGAGACTAGAAATGCAATCCTTTATCTTGACTCGGCACAGTCTTTTTTTGTCTAATGGCACATACGGGCATTAAAGCTCTGCATGCATGTCTGCAAATTAAAATGCAGAATATGACTGTGGCAAGTTTACCTTCCTTGTGTTTCATTTGTGCATTTGAAGGCAGAATCAGATCTATAGGGAATTACAACATTGTCAGCAACATGTGCATTTGGCCCACCAATATATTCCTTACATCTCAAAAATATTATCTCCAAGAAGGTCTTATGATAACGTATCAAATGGCCGGCAGAAATTTGAAATACTCCCAAAGATATATATCCACATTTATAGAAAAAAATATGATTGAAAAATTATTTGGTTTCCTGGAATAAAGTTACTGTAATTTTACCCTGTGTGCAGAGTCTAAGTTATAAACTATACCCTCTGCTTAGTATAGACTAAATTACAGTTTAGCAGCCCTGCTCCCACGACTGGTACCCGTGACAGCATATCAAATCTATCGGACTGACCTATTCACAACCAATCAGCGAGCTGGAAGGATGTACCCTAAATTTGTCCTCATTAACTCTGGATTATGTCAATTGAAACAGTTTTGAGCATTGTTGCTCCTTAGATCTGATTTTGCCTTCAGAATGTCATACACTCAGTCCCATTGCATCGTTTGCCTATTTTTTGCCTATTTGCTATAACAACTAACCACCACTCTGCCCTAAACCTATGTAGGCAATGGAATTGTCCCGTAAATTGAGAGACGAGAGGGGTAAAGGTGAAATAATTGTGGTAGAGAGTGGTCAGGAAGAGGAACTTACTGATGATGAAAAAAAGGTTTGGTTGCTATAGTAACTATCAGTGACGTCATGGTTATGAATCTTGCCTCACAGCTGAATATTTCTGTAATGTAGCTTTATATGTTCACTTTGACTACTTGCTAACTGCATGTTTGTGTGTGCCGAGCTAACATTGTAAATTGTAACATCTTTGAAATTATTGTCTTTTTTCAGATTCAAATATATGAAAGGTACATTTAATTTTAAGTTCTCTATGAAATGTTAATGTTTAAATATTTAAGCTAATTATTTAAGCTAATTTAGTGCCTTACTTTACGTTATATTTTTTTCTTTTGTATTAATCTGTTAAGAACCTATGCTTAGATTAAGAATATACATTTGTTAAGTTGGTGAATGACTCCTTATGGTAATTTGATTACTGAAGCTTGTATTAATTTAAGTTAAAATCAGGACATTTATTTGAATGGCAATTCTTGATTGTTTCAGGCTTCATGCATGAGTTTAACTCTCTTTTTAAAGATTATGTCCTTTGTAACATTTTTTAAAGATTATGTCCTTTGTAACATTTTGATGTCACTCATATTGGTTCTAAATTGACTCCCCCCACCCCCTCCCCTCTTTTTCAGTTTCAAAGACCCGCTCTTAGCTGACATATTTAATATTTAATGTCTATGATTTATACGATAAATGTGTCAAATATGCTTGTTTTTCAATTCTCATATCTTTGTACATATTTCATTTAGCTGTATATACCTTGATCTAGTGAAAAAGCCTATTATGTTTATGTTAGCATAAGAATTTTTATTTGGTTTAAGCCCCTGATATTCTGCTAGTCGTATCAAAACATGACCTGCTTATTTTGGTTTAATTAGAGTTTTAGAACTTAGGTCCCTTCTTAATAACAATCAGAGGCTATTGTTTACACATGGGTATTTATTTGATGACAACAAAACTAACATGTATAAGGTGTAAGCACGTCCCTAGAATGGGCCAGGAAAAATGCTTATTATATCTAGCTTTCTAGATTCAACTATCAAGTAAGGTCGCATATAAGATTTGACACGTATGAATTAAAATATTTAAGCACATACAAGTGATAAGAATTTTGCCATTAGCGTTTCCGCAATTCTTTTTGTGATTTATTGAATTTAGAGCGTAGCAATACAAGAAGCCCAGTGTTCCAACTATGGTACAAGTATAGTTATCAAGAAAAACTATGTATGAAGTTCAAATGAAATTTTGTTTATTATGTCCATTTTTAGTTGTTCGAGGAGAAACTTCCCCTGGGGTCCCGCAGTGTTAAGTCTGCCTCTGAGGGGGGTCAGGATGAGGCGTTTGAGAGGAAGGCTGGAGCCCAACTGAAGTTATACCTGTAAGTGACATATCAATACTTAACCGCCAGCTTTATGTAATTCTATTTAATAGTCAATCTGAAAATTACATGACTATCAAGATGTGTTAAATTCACCAATGATTTGTTATGTCACCACCACAAGTTGTGACATATTGTTATATTCTCCAACTTTTTTGTGGATGGTATTTGGCGGTTGTCTGTCAGTTTTTGGCGTCTGTAACAAATGCCAGGTGGTGACATTTTGCATGTTGATGCCTTATACCTTAGTATTAAAAGCTATTGTTATGGTATAACTTCATGTTTGCCCATTTTATGATTAACCCCAGAGTGCACCAAAATGTACCCGAGGGTGTTCAGATGCAATATAAGGAGATTAGGTAACCATAGTAACTTAAAATGTGATTTTTATTGTTGTTTGTGCTTGAGAATGTTATGCATTTCACAGGACAACCAGATGGTTTGCTGAGACTATACATGTACCACAAAGTGTATATAGTATATGAAATCTAGAATCAGTCATCTTAGAATTGAAAAATGATAATTTAACGTGATGAATATTTTTGAATCATGAGCATTAACATTTTTTTTATCATTCAGTCATTATTATATTATATTAAAAGAAAAAATTGGTTGTACATGAAAATTCTGTGTCAAGTCTGTAAAGCAAACCATCTGTTTAACTCCACTTATGATGTTTGAACCACCTCTAAGAGCAGAATACAGTATTAGACAGCGAGTTAACAACTGTTCTTAAAATTGCAGATAGTTTTTGTTTGTCAAAGGCTAAAATTCAATATATTTTAACTTTATTTGGCATGTTGCATCAGGGACTATTCTTCTATTTTAGATCAGTAATAAGTTCTTATTTTAATATAATGAATTTACTGATTTTGCAGTAGTTTTCTCGAGTTGCTATATGTATTAGTTAGATTGATCATGAATGGATGTCACAAAGTCTAAATACTAAATTCTTCCTTGATAATATCAAATTCCTGAATAAAAGTTCACTCTTCATATGCACCCTATATTAAACTGAACATTGTATTCATTTGATTTACAGTCAGCACATTAAAACATTTTGTTAATATTTATCACACTTTTTTATCACACTTAGAATGTGCATTGTTATTGTCTTGAACTGCTCGTTGGGTGGGCAGAAAAAACTTGTCTTTCCATTGTTTGCAATTTTAACCCATATAATGTACATTGTACTTTTAAATAGTTTATATTGATAATGGATTAACTCTTCCAGAGTCTCGCCCATGTATACAAGTATATGTCTATAGAATTGACAGCTACTGTATCCGATTTTAGAAATATTCTTTTTTTATACTTTTATGCCTAATTTTGAGATGTGCCAATAAGAGATCATTATAAGACACCGGAGATCACACCACATGAAAACAAACGTCTAGAACATTAGTATCACAATTATATATGTGTTACAAATACATTTACAATATACTTATAATCATAATAGGCTATTTACATCATTATATAAATATGTGTTACAAATACTTATACAATAGAATGAAGTCATGTTTGTCCATTTACATCATTATTTTTATTTATTTATTTACATTGCAGTTGTTCAGATGACAGTGGCACCCTGAAAGTAACAGAGAAGAAGGGAGGTCCACTAGTGAAGGGAGACTTGGACACGAATGTAAGCTCTTCTCACATTTCAGTTTCAATTCAATTTATTTCAGAATTTCTTACATAATATACACAATAAAATCATGCCGCTAGATGGTAAACATGGGGAAAGTACATAACTTAGAAATCAAGTTCTAGATACTCTATACATGTAAGACCAGAATAAAAGGTTACCATGTATCTGTCTAATCGAACTCCACTATAAGATCGAACAAGTGTTCAGATTGGCAAGTGTTCATATTTTATAAGTTACATGGTCATCATTAGGAGAATAAAAGGGAATGAAAAATCTTTCACATTTAGAGGTATACACATTAGACAGGTGCACATTCTGTCACTCTACAGTATTATTATATACAGAATACAATGTTTGTCTTTGAAAAGATGTCACTCCAATTTCTAACAAATTCCATAATGACAGATTGAGTCTCTCTTGGAACAACACATTTTGTAATTGTGGAGAGAAGTTAGAGTTAAACACATTTAAAACTAATCTGAAAATATTTAAATTTACTAATGCTATATAGCGAGATCAATAGTGCAAAAATAGTTTATTCATGGAACGAAGCGTGAAACTTTCCAGATATCATCAGGACACTATTCCCTTTGATTTAAGAGCCAGAGCCATTTTTGTGGTTCACTAGAATGACCGAAAATTGCAAATACCCCCTCCCATAAAAATCCTGGGGGAGGGGGAGGGAAGAATTATTTTTTTGTTGAATTTCTTTTTTGAATATGATTTAACTTCATTTTTAGTATGTTATTTTCAGTGTTTAAAAGCAATTTTCAAGATTGCATCAGTATTTCTCATGGATATTCATTGTTAAAGCCTGACCAAGGGCGACGCCCACTTTATCAACATGTTAAATATACAAGTTAATGAGTCTTCTATTATGAATACAATAATTACCTAATAAGGCTGAATAGAATTGATAAGATTAAGTCAGTTATTTATGTTAAGATGATGGATGCTGTAAGTAAGTCAATTTCATTGTTAAAGGCTTGTGAAAGGCCACACCCTCTTGTAGATATAAAGATATGATAATATAGAATTCACAATTAATGATACATTATTTTGACTTTTAATGACAGCACTTTGACTAATTGATACAAGTTACCTTATTAAGTATCTTAACTGCAGTTCAAATATCCTATTTTGTGCATTTAAGCACTTCAACACTCTATTATCATTATCACTGACTTAGGTGCCAAGTCCCCACAGGGCAGTACATGCAAGATTGGCTTTAAAGCACTTGCATCTTTTTGTTGAGCATTGTTGTTTGCAGCTGCATTTTACTAGCATTTGGCATGCATCTGAAGCTTGGGGCAATGTTTTTCACACTGGCACCCAAATCATTTTCCCAGCCTTTGTGGTAATGGATTCCCAACCCAATAGAAGGGAGGACTGACATAGGTATAATTGGCCCCACAAATAAACTGCCTGGAATAGAACATGTTTGATATGCTGTTGTAAAGCATGCAACTTATGTTGGTGGGATGCTCTCAATTTGATTTGTTTTCTTTGTGAACATTTCTTGTCTTGCAGCATTTACAGTTGTTTCATTGTTGTCTCTATTGTATAAAATCACAACAAAACGTTTAATAATTGGCATAACTTTGGCTAACTTATTTGGATCTTCAGCCAAAGTTTTAAGTGCATTTGTCAACTCGGATAAGTAATCCAATGTTTCCATGCTGTTGTTTTTAATTAACCATGGAATCCAGATGTAGTGTCTGAACCAGTGTGGGCATGAAATAAGGGGAGACACATAGCCCTACCATGTCCAAGGGCAGCTGCCATTTCATGGGAAGTGAGATATCTTTAATTTTTCACCTTTTCCAAAACTATCTATTTTTGAACTTTGAGTTCTGATGATATACTGACTGCCAGACAGACAATATCAGTCTACTGTTCTAATCGTCAATGTGTTCTACCCAGACTTTACTGCATGGTGGATGTGCTTATTCATGTGTTGATGGGGAAATGTCTTGAATGGGCATTGGGGGATATAATAATACATCTTACAATACATTGTTTATATCATCTCTAATAAATTCCAATTTGATGGTAACATCGCATCTACCTTTGGGCACTGAACATGATCATATCCTGCAATTTGATTGGACATCGTATACTGATGATCGTGATTTTTAAATAAATTATAAGTACACGAAAGAATGATAGTATTATGGGAGCTACTCACTTCTTCTGGACTGATATTGAGGATACAATATCTTTGTTTTCTAATGAGTACATGTCATTTGAAGTCTCCAGAAGGGATTTCTCATCTATTCTATGGTTTCTTATAATGCTTTCACATTATCTTTGAATCTTTGTTGTATGCTTATACTTTGTTCATGATTAGATAGGTCTTCATCTTGATCATTATTTATATTGTTCTCAAATTCAGTGATCAGCCTGGCCAATTCAGGGCCCCCAACCATCCACTAGAGTTGTCTGGTTGTCAAAGAGCCCCACCACTTGATTTATCTAGACTGTTATTCTGCTTGTGAACCTGGTCAGTAGCAATGGCTGAAAAGGTCCATCTTGAATTGGTAACAGTGAAGTTGTCTTTCGTGAAGGCTTCGTAGACTTCTGGATGTATTTGTTGGAGTTGTAGCATATCCCTTATGTGAACTGGTAATCAGCAACCATATTGACTGGAGATAAAGAGGGTAATTGCCCTCTCTGATAGCCCACACTTAGTTAAGGCACAGTATTTTGATTAGAATAATAGGAAACCAAAACTTGAAGACTGGTACATTCTGTTGGTCAGCACACCATTCATCAAACTGTTAAATCACTTCATCATATAGATTCTGGACAGCTGTATATTTAGCATAGGCTCTCTTGAGAATTTAGAGACTGCAGCCTGTGACTGTGGTGGCCCTTCTGGTTCTGGTTCAATCCATGAAAGAGGTTTAATAGCCTAAATGTTCAGCATATGAAAAGTGGGTGTCGCCCATGATTAGTCTTTAACAATGATGAAAATCCAAGAGAAACCATCTGGAGATAAAGAGGAAAATTCTCCTGTCCTATAACCCTCACATAGTCAAGGCTCAATATTTGAATTTGAATAATCAGAAACCAAAGCTTGAAGACTGGTACATTCTGTTGGTCAGCACACCATTCATCAAACTGTTTAGGCACTTGGTCAGCACACGATTCATCAAACTGTTTAGGCACTTCATCAACAAGATTCTGGACAGTTGTATCTATAGCATAGGCTCTCTTGATGAGAATATAGAGACTTGACATACATGTACATAGAATAGTGGATACATGTTGTAGATCTGGGACATCCGTTGCTTGCTTTCTTCTTTCTTCTAAACAGGGGTGTGATATGTTATAAGCCTTTAAGAAGTCAAATTCTAAGATTGGTTATAGCACCTAACATCAAAAGGGTATCTGGTGTTATCCAGAAAGCTGAAGTACATTCATTTGTTCAACTCATGATAAAGATTCAATAACCTAAATGTTCAAGATATGAAAAGTGGGCGTCGCCCATAACTAGTCTTTAACAATGATGAAAATCGATGATAAATCATCTTGTTATGTTGCAAAACTTCTTTGTCATGAAAATGGCACACTGAAACTGCAGTATGACCATATTCAAAGAAATTTTTTTATTAAAAAAATTCCTAACTCTCCCCACCCCCACCGAATTTGGGGGGAGGGGGTACTTAGTATTTTTTGATCATTCTAGTGGACCACAAAAATGGCTCTGGCTCTTAAATCAAAGGGAATGGTATTCTGATGATATGTGGAAAGTTTCACGCTTCGTTCCATGAATGAACTATTTGCTTGTTTTCTTGCACTATTGATCTCGCTAATAGGGGGTTTGAACAGACATATTTATATTATAAGTATCTTGCGGGTGTCTTAAGATGCATTGAAATCACAGTTCTCCATGTCCCAATAACTAAAGTTATCACTTTCATCTAAGCCATCATAATTGCTTGTTTTTGAGTTCAGCTCACAAAGTTTTGTTGATTTACTGAAATTGACGGATTTGCATTGTGGGTGTTTAAAGCATGTTGTAACGCAGGTTGTAATGCTTTGTGCTCTCTCTACCCACAATGCATTGCCAATAAGTCTCTTGTGTGGTGATTTACAAACAACGGTTGATCTGTAATGGGTACCACAGTCCTTTTCATCAAAACCACAGTTTGAGACTGAAAATATAAGATACATTTTACAGGGTGGGCCAAAAAATATTACCCATTCTGATTACATACATGTTTAATAAGGGGTAACATTTTTGGCCCACCCTGTATATAGGGTGGGCAGATTAGAATTAATACTATCAGTATTTTCTGCTATCAAGTTTGGTCATCAATTTTTAAGTTGGTCATTTCTGTATGATATTATGTGCTTTATTTTCTATCTCAAAAAGAAAGCTTTTTTTGTATTTAAAATAATGGATTTTTTCTGATCAATATTTCATGTAGTGCACCTTTGTAGTTTATCTTGTTGATTCAAATCTGAAAAAACATTTAATTAAATCCATAAAGTTGTGCTATTTAAGATGATTTAATGCCCCCTCAGGATTGTCAGGTTAGAGTATCCTATATGTAGTGTTGTAACAATATTGAACAGAACCGAGTAGACAAATGATAAAACGATATGTAATTCATCCATTTTTACACCAAGATATTCATTAAAGCAACAAGCAAAAATATAAAATCATCCTTACTTTTTTTCTCGCAGATATATCCAATTTTTTTCGCCGTGCAATCTTGATCATTCCAATAATGTCTGTCAACTGTGTATGATTTAGGGATTCCAGCCTCAATGGCATAAAATTGTTTCAGTAACTCAATGCAGTCCTGCTTACCTGCACTAAGTGGATTGGGCTGCTTGTCATTAAGGACACCATCCCCTAAGTCAAGACCTGGAAAATGTATATATGTAGTGAACGGTTGATGACCTATCGGGAGAGTTATGTGCCTCCTCTTATGGAATTGTCACACTTGGCTGTGTGGGCTCACAATTTGGCCACCTTGATTTTATGCAGTGAGGCTGATAATTAAAACTTATCACAGAGAAACCAAATGCAAAGAATCTATGATTATAAATCATAGTCACGTACAATCAAAATTTAATTAATTAAACTAGTCAAAGAGGTACTAAAGGCACAGTGAGTTCAATATGCCAATAACATTTTCAAAACATTGACCTGGTTATACCCCTGCTCATGAGTCTAATTCCTACCTGGGAAAAAGTCAAACTCCTTTTCCTGTACAGTGCTGCCATCTACCCAAATATACTGGCCTTCATTCTCTCTGTCTGTTGCACCTATCCACCAACTCTTAGAATTTGTGTCATTAATCACGGACACTATAAAATCTCCTGAAAGGGAATCATGGGTATGTTGGTAATGTACTGGAGAAATTTTACCAAGCAATGTTAAGAAATTAACATATTTTTAAAATTTCAAAAGTGTACTCTCCTAAAGGTATGGAATCATGGTATATCGATGCCTCATTTTGATAATATATTGGGGCATGCAGTTTACCAAGTAATATCAAGAAATTCACACTTTCTTAAGATTTCAAAATTACTCTAAAAAAACAGCTTATGTACTGGCCAAATCAATCATGCTTTTCCGATCATTTTAGATGGAGGTCTGAATTGTGCTACACTTTGCACTTCAGCCTTTTCAGTGTTACACACAGATTCAATTTTGATAATAACCAAGCTTAAGCTACTGTAACTGAATATTTTTTCTGACTGATTGCACTGATGGCACCAAGCCAGATTGCATAATTAATTACAGAAAAAATGAAACCCTGGTTAGGTAGACCATTATATGTATGGTCCTAGGCCCATTTTGCCAAGGGTGGTTCACTTTTCAAAAGATTCCAGGCCCATTTTGCCAAGGGTGGCTCACTTTTCAAAAGATTCCAGGCCCATTTTGCCAAGGGGGTACACTTTTCAAAAGATTCCAGGAGGAGCATTCATATTTGAAAGTGCTCAATATGGTGAAAAATGCATGTTTTTGAAAGAATTTTGTTCTAAGGGGCTATGGGCCTGTGTCCCACATGAATGTGTAAACTTTAACAAATACTTACTTTTATCAACTGTTTTCACAATGACTAAATCAGCACCCTGTGAGATACACTTTTGCCTAGCAACTTCCCATGTATACACTGGGCTCTCTATGAAGGCATATTCATGGGAGTCGTGTTCAATCCAGTTCCATCCTGATACTGCAATGAGAAATATAGAGAAGACATGGAAATGATATATCATTAAAAGCTACTTCATGGCCCCTAATTTTTTCATTTCAAGATGTGAAGAATAAAAAAAAAATTTGTTTCAAGATAATTGTTTTATACTGTGAAGTGCGTGTTTTTGAAATAAATGGGGTCCAGTGGAGAACACCCCCAATTTTGTCAAAAACTAACAGTTTAATTCTCTAGTTAAAGATCACATTATTCTGTGGATTTGAAGTTTTGATATTCATCATTCCCTGTTAGGATCTAAGATAACTGTTGTTGAGAAACTTTTAAGTACTACTTTTTAGCTATTCAAAAAACTAATAAACCTGCAGCTAGGGAACATCTTTCATTCATTGCATTGATGAATTGTTTTAGCTCCAGCGCAGTGACACATTGCAATTACCACAGTAGTTGGGCTCTAGGCCTCTGATGGGTGGCATTTTCAAAGCTATTAATACCTTCATCAATCTTACATCACTGCATATTGGCATCCATTTGAAAGATTGACTTAGACCAATTAGTGTCAAAGACTCGTTTCAGGGAAGATTCACTTTCACTTTATCGGATAGATTTAATGATAACCCTTCTTATATAAAGTGTAATTTCTTTGATTATGTGATAGAACTATTTTAGTTCCATAGCAGCTCTCCTTTGTGAGGAAAAATTTTATTTATTTTAGTAATATGAAATTGAACAGCCAAGGATCACTGATTAATTATATTGCTGTATCGCCATTCTCGTATCTGGTTCAAAACATCTTTTACATACATTGCTGGTCACATAATTCAACCATATCTAAAATTATCTAAACTACCAAGGGAATCATCGGTAAAAGTGCAGTCTCATTAGCTACAATAATTGTCAATTACAAAATTACAATATAACAAATGTTATTTGATTTTAAGTGATATTAAATAAGTTAAAAGTGCAACAAATGTTTTTGTCAAAAATCAATTTTGAAAAAGATAAGATTCCCAAATAAAAAATAAAATCTTAAGTTCAATTTCTGGATTTATTTGGATATTATATTTCCAGCGTGAAAACCTGAACTTTTCAATCATTTCATATCATTTTTTATTAATATACATGAAATGAAACCACTGTTTTGTAAAATTACCAAGAAATGTTTCTTTGTAAACAGAAACATGTAAACTGTCCGAATGTCAGTTCATCTTATTTTGAAAGAAACGAAATCTTTTATAAAATATTTTTTCTAAATATTTATGATGAAAGCATATTTGGCAACAATAGAAATATACCATGTCATGAATTTTTTTTTTTACATTGATGGAGACCTATAAAATGCCACAAGTGGCTTGGTTCCTCTTGCATGATTTATACAAATGTACATTGATAAAATATCAAAAAAATATTATACAGATTATTCTGAAATGTCCTACCTTCTCCAGAAGATCCATGTCCATGAAGAAAAACAAAAACCAGCTGAAAAACCACAGTTCTGGGAGTACAAATCCCAGTCATCTTTCAGTATAACTCCGTTCTGTTCCAAGACTTTAAATAATTGAGGTTGTAATTTTCTCCAGGTTCCAATTACTGCTACGCTTTGATTAAACTTCTAATATCATTAAAAACAGATTATGGCCATAAAACTGACATTGAATTGTAGTTTTTTGTGATAAAGTATGTGTTTTTAGCACATTTTATTACATTCAATCGTACAGTTTTGTGAACATGAATATTCCATTTATTTAATCAAATACAAGCTGTTTATCGCAATTTAAAATGTTCCAATTTGTACCTATATCTCATTGGAGAACTTCATTTTATTTATATCAGAAGTAATTCTACTCTTATTGACAATTCCATCGCATAAACTAAATGCCAGTTAATTGTTTTGATCGAGCTAGGCCTAATTGAGATCTTCGCATTTTATGAATTTCTCATGAAATAACTGCAACATTTAAGTTTATAAAATTACATGTATATGAACAAATTCACCTGTGGAATATCGGAGGAACATTTGATAAATTATGCTGGGGGCAAGTCTTCTTAAAGATATTATAGCATTGGAAAGTGTGAAAATAATTGGAAAAATGAAATTCCATTCAGGGGCATCAATCTGAGATTAAAGTCCTAATTGATTTTAATACGGTGCCCAGTCTTGCATTTTATATCCCCCTCTTTATCCTATACTGCCATACGATTATGCCATAAAACTTCCGACCTATTAGTCATGACATCATAATGTCAATATAAAAGTTACTCACTGGAAACACAGGAGGTAATGTCCCATACAGATGTCCATCCTTGTATTACTTGCTGTTGTGTGAACAGAAATTATTCACAAAATCGCAAGTAGATTCAGAGGGATTCTCTAAGGGATGATGTCCAAATTCTGACAATTATCTGAAATCAAAGCTCATTCTGTAATGGTTAACAATTATCCACAATTATGGATATGTTGAGTTTCCCTTAAAAATATAAGATATTCACTTAGAAAATTTTCATTTACCCCTCCCCTAATTGAATAAACTTTGTTCTTTCACAAAATTTAAAATTTGGACACTAACAGTATCCCTCATCAACTTTTATCCACTATACTAGAGATCTTCAAACCCATATATTCAAATTGACAAATAGTGCTTGCTATCAATATCAGTAATTTATCTATTTCATTTGTAAAATGGGAAAAAAAATTTAGCAAGTTAAAACTGAAAAGGAAAAAATGGTGAGACTGAGTTCTGATCGAGTTCATGTCTAGTTCAATTAACTAATTCAATCTTGTTCATGTTCTTGTTCATGTCTAGCTCAATCTTGTTCATGTCTAGTTCAATCTTGTTCATGTTCTTGTTCATGTCTAGTTCAATCTTGTTCATGTTCTTGTTCATGTCTAGTTCAATCTTGTTCATGTTCTTGTTCATGTCTAGTTCAATCTTGTTCATGTTCTTGTTCATGTCTAGTTCAATCTTGTTCGTGTTCTTCCTGATTTCTATCTCAAGGTGTCCCCCAACTCCCCCTTTCAAAGAAGAAAAAAGTCTTCACATATTTATTTAAAATCAAAGAGCTAAAAAGTTAATACCATGTAACCACCCACAGTTGGTCATAGAGGTTTATGGCGGATTAATTACCCATTAATTGACAGCATCACGAGAAACTAAAGGAACTGCCAGACATTTTAATTTTGAGAAGCTCACCAGGAAAACTTCAGATTAACCCCATCATAAAAATTGAAGTTTAAGCTGTTAGACTTTTCAGCATACTCCATGCTAATTTTACTCTTGCTTCTTGCTATTTGTATATAAAACACAATCATTATGACATTCCATCCCCGTGAACACTTTATATAGGGGCCCGGAACTGTTAATTTATGGAGCAATGAAACTGTTGTCTTTCAATCCATTATCCCCAGTAATTTTCAATAATGCAATGAGTTAAATCTGCATGGTAGTTAATCTTGTACCAGGGAGAAGTTCAGTTTTAATGATTTAAATCTCCTATATCTTACATTTCCTTAATGCAATTCATGAGACATTTTATAATTCATCTCTTTTTTGAATTGTTTGATTGATATTTTTTATTATCCTTCGGAATTTATTTGAAAGATAACATATTGTGGAAATATCATATTTAAATTGAGAAAGTGCTCATGTTGAAAAATATGACTGTCTAAAATCACTTGACAGGAGTTTCACTAAGAATTTCTCACTACATGCTAAAACAACAGACGATTTTGTGAAAACAACTGGTGAAAATAGCCTATTGCCTGCTGCTAATGAAACCCCTGCTTGCAAAACTAAACCTGGCCTTTGTCATAATTGGAATAGACATATAGGTGTCATGTTTTATGCAAAGTCTAATGGTTGAAGAAAGAATAATAAGCGACGCAATCCTATAAGATTTCTCATACATTTCAGGACTCTTACATTGTTGACAATGGAGAAGCAGGAGTCTACGCTTGGATTGGCAGGAAAGCTACAAGCGATGAGCGTAAGGAAGCTATGAGAAATGCAATGGTAGGTTACATTTCAATGTTATTTAGTTGTTACCCTTATCTCTCTTTATTATATTGATATTAATGGTCTTTAACAAATGAAAAATCCAAGAAAACCATGGATAATTTGGTTTCTATTAACAGACTACGGGTTTACGGAAAAGACCGACCCCACCGACCGGTCAGTGTTTTCCACTGGTAGCCTCAAAACAGGGTTTGAAGAAAATGTGTAAAAGACCGACCATATCATGTAAAAGACCGAACATATTTGTAGCCGTAGAATATTAATCATTTGATTTTGAATGTCAATCGTTGGACTAGGCAACGTTTTTTACCGATTTTGTACCTTGCAACGAATGGCAAGCAAACAAATTGGTCATGACCGTCTCCTCTCGATTAATTGTCCTGCCTTAGGTCCTAACCTATCATTAACCAACCTATCGTTTCTACGGGAATCTATCCTAATTTTTTACTGAAATTTAACAATTTCGAAACAAAAATGATTTGTTATCGTCATAGCCTACTGAATACTGAACACGATATAATGTTACATGTGTTCTCTTATCGGGATTAAAAGTGACTTACCATTTCAGTACACCATTAGAAAGCTTTTTTTGTCATATCAAATGTAGTTTTTACCAGTTGACGTTTAACAACTGAGAAATCAAACATAACGTTACGACGTCAACATCGACGATGTTTGTGTGTTTTTGTTATTGCGTTTGATATGAATGAAGAATGAACTTAATGCAATGTTTCGTGCGTTTTTTCCCAAAGTGACTAACCAGGATGAAATTGGTCTTCTAACAACTGAAACATCACTTAAAAATATGACATTACACACCACGACGATGTAACGTTTTCATCGTGATTTGAAATGATAATTATACGTTTTTAAATCACGACCTAGTAAAGGTACTACAGTATAGTCATTGGATTCCCAGTTTTAGTTTTACTTCTAATTTTGCATTTTTTCATCTTTATGTAAAAGACCACCAGCCGACCACTGACCACATGTACCCAACTGTGGAGAGTGACTGGTCGGTGGTCGGGGGTCGGTGTTTTACGTAAACCCACAGACTACTGATATAATACTTATAAAGTCATAGTATTTAGATCTTTATTCTCGACTCTTTGAAATTTTATATTATTTTCTGCTTTGTACAGAATTAAAGCGATCCTTACCTATTATGAGTGATCTCTCCAGCATTAAAGCAAGTGGGTGCAGCACCCACATGAGATTTTGATAATAGGTCAGAAAAATAGGGATATTTTGACTAATTTTGGTCTGAATTGTGAAAATGAAAAATTTGCACCCACTTGAGAAAAAATCCTGTGGAGATCATTGTATGTATTCTATATTATGTACATTCATACGATAGGAGAATTGAAATAAGCATGACATAGAATACATTGTATTGTTGACCTTATTGTAGAAGACATTGAGATAAGTATATACATGTAATCTTCATTTTCTGATTGTTTTGTGATAGGGATTCATTGACAAGAAGGGCTATTCCAAGAACACCCCTGTGACTAAAGTTGTTGAAGGAGGAGAAACGACAGAGTTTAAAGCAATCTTCAAGTCATGGCCTGAACCCAAACCTACTGGCAAAGCATACAACACTAGTAGAATTGGTAGGTAAACTGACATACTCAGGTGCGTGGTCACAACATTGATGACGTCTGAAAACGTAATTAATTACGTTGGGGGGGGTTAAATGCTATTTAATTAGGCGACGGACATTGATTTTGAGTTCCATGACATGATATGATCTTAAATATACATTGTACTCAATAGTAAAGAGAATTTGTATGTGTTGTTTACAGCAATAGCAGATATTGTATGCTGGGGTTGTACTTGTACAGTGTAGGGAATCATCATTTTGGCTTGTGTTCACGACGTGCAAATCAACATTTTGACTTTCCTTAGAAGGGGAGGGGGTCAAGACCTAATTTAATTAAATTACGTTTTTTGACGGACATTGAAGTAATACACTTGTTGTACAGAACTTCAGTACAATTGCACTCACCTTCTGTCCATGCTTTGCACAACATTCTGTCCAACTTGTGCTGAATCTAACCATATTGAATGGCATATCATTATTTATTCCATAAAGATTATCTGATTGACATATTTTACAGCCAAAACTATCCAGACAAAGTTTGATGCAGCTACACTTCATGAGAACCCATCAATGGCTGCTGAAACCAAGATGGTGGATGATGGCTCAGGAAAAATACAGGTAAGTGCATATCTATTATCTAATGTCCAGCTTTGAAATACATATTTCATCTATGGAGACACAGAAAGTTCTCCCCAATATTTTCTAAACTGAATGAAAAATTTTCTTTCAAGGGATTCTGACATGAAATGTCCTAAACTGTTGAAAAAACCTATATCTTATAATATTTTAATCTAGAATTTTCAAGTTGTCAGCAACTTCTACAACTGCTGGAAATGTATAACAAATGTACTGCATCAACTTTTAATAACTTTGCTTATTTTATTTTGCAGATATGGCGTATAAAAGACTTTGATATGGAACCCCTAGACCAGAAATATTTTGGCCAGTTCTATGGTGGGGACTGCTACATTATTCTCTACACATATCTTGTGAATGGCAAAGAAAACTACATCATCTACTACTGGCAGGTTAGTTTCGAATGACATACAGTGATGGTATTGTTAAACTCTGGAATTGATGCACTATTAATATGCTCCTACTCCATCAGTTTGGACCCTCATCAACAGTCATAAACTTCTAACCTGTTGTAATAACTCAGATGTGAGTAGGTAGCTACCAGTTTCACTAACAGGTGGCTCATTCAGCTCAGGTCAGATAGCATGGCGGGTATAGTATAAAGTTCCCTTTAACTTTTATATTATCAGTGATTTTATAACATGGGGTCTATGGGGAATCGCCCTGAACTAGAAGTCACATTTTCCAAAAGAATTGAGGGGGTGATTTTTGATACTGGGTATATCCCTCAGTAAATACAATATATATAGAGATTATCCTATATGAGGTTCAGGATATTGGGATTATCCCGAGGCCAATATGATATATCTGCCCGAGGGCCGTAGGTCCCGAGGGTAGATATATTATATTGGCAAAGGGATAATCCCAATATCCTGAACCGACTATAGGATGATCTGTTTATCCCATACCAATCACATTGTTCAATTTGCCAAAAAGTTCAGAAACTTTGCAACCAACCGTGGAATATTCTTAAAATATTCATGTCCAGTTTTGTATTCCTGTTTCTTTCATATTCAAATCTTTGATTATCCCAACGAACGAAGTTTGTTAGGGATATAGTGAAGCCCTCCGTCCGTCTGTCCGTCCGTCTGTCCGTCTGTCCGTCAGTCAGTCAGTCAGTCAGTCCGTCCGTCTGTCCGGAAGATAACTCAAATACTAGTTAACAGATTTTCTTCATATTTAGTGGAAAGATGTATATTGATGAATAGTTTTACGCAAAAAAAAAATTTTCAAGATGGCCGCCGCTTTAAAAATGACTGGACTTTTTCGCAAAAATCATAAATTTTTCATTCTAAACCAAAGTAATTAATATTATTGTTTGAAATTTTGGAAGTGTATTCACAACATTTATCTATTTCACATATATTCCGTGTTTTTCATCCTGACCCCAAGGGGCCATGTATGGGGGGACAGGAAAACAGAAATTTTTGCTAATTTTTAGATCTTTCTGAAGTATAGCTTTATTATACTCAAATGAAAGGCAATTAAGAGTAGATTGCAAATATTGTATCTTTTGTCTGATTCGAGCCTCGTAAAATTCAAAATAGCCGTCTAATGTATGATTTCGCAATAATTTTTCGATCCCTTCAAAGTATGGCTATATTATACTCAAATTGAAGGAATTTTGGAGTAGATCACAATTATGGTATTATTTTTCAGATTTGTACCTCAGAAAATTCAAAATGGCTGCTTTGCAGGAATTCGCAATTCTAAAATCTAATTTTTTCATTTTCAACCAAAGTAATGAGTATAATGGATTGGAATTCGGTAATTGATATTTTGTTCGTTGGGATTTGCTACTCCGCGGAGTTGCCGTTATCTAGTTATTAACGCCGGTACACTGCTCCTTCCCTTCTTTAAAGCATCAAACAGGTCGAGATTGTCTGCGTTTTTCTCCATTGCCGTTTACAGTACGCGAACGTTACAAAAAAGAACCAATACGGGAACAGCGATTATGACGTAGCGGGCAGATATAGTATATCTGCCCGCTCGGAGCGGGATGTAAAGCTATATCTGCCCGCTGATGAAAATATAAGTTTTTACAAACCGGCTTTATGTACCCGTAACACGTCCAAGTATGGGATAAATAAGGGTTATGTACTGGGAGGTTTGGGATATGGGGTTTATCCAGAGGGAGATATGCATATCTACCTGAGGGACCGTAGGGACCGAAGGTAGATGTGCATTTCTCACGAGGGATGAACCCAATACCCAAACCGACCATACATAACTGCTTTATCCTATACCAAGTAGAGTTTTCAGTGATATTACCGGAAGCGGGAAGATATGCACCGAAGCGGGAAGATATGCACCGAAGCGGGAGATATGGCGGGAGATATGGAGGTTCTGGATATGGAAACCTCAAAATCAGGATACGGGATATATCTTACCAACTTATCTCCCTAAAACTCTACTTGGCATAGGATAAATATCAATATCAAATATTGTATTTCCCTCAGATATACCCTGTATCAAAAACCCCCCATTAAATAACCTCTATATATCAAAAATTTCCATGCATGCATTTTAGGGTAGAAAGTCTAGTGCAGATGAAAAGGGCACGTCAGCTTTGAAGACAGTTGAGCTTGATGACTCGATGGGAGGGGCCCCTGTGCAGATACGGGTTTGCCAGGGCAAAGAACCACCACACTTCATGGCAATGTTTAACGGCAAAATGATCGTCTTCGAGGTACGTTATAGCATCATTAAATGTGAGCATTTAGCAAAGAATACGAATATTTGCTCTTATCAGTCTGGCTCTAAACTTGTGGTTTACCATTTCAAAAACCTTTTTGGACATGAAATGGCAGAGACTAGGAAATAACCAATTTGGGCATGCTCACTGATAAACTGACAAGAGTTCAATATATTTGAATTCATCATTCCTGACCATTTAACATTTCCATTTGTTGTTAATGAATTTTTCACTCACATGATGAGAGTACTTCTGATTTTGATGTAAAAAAGTCAAACTTTTTACAATTCACTGTGTGATCGCATGGCTGAGGGTCAATGGGTCATTTATTAAGAAATAGAACTATTTTTTCCGTCTGAATTGGCATCCATTTTTATTAATTAAACACAACTCATATTTGAATTTCAGGGTGGACATGCAGGATGGGGCTCTGAGGAAGAGGGGCCTGGGGATACCTACCTTATGCAAGTGAGAGGGACTTCAAAGCTTAACACAAAGGCTGAACAAGTTGATTGTAGGGCAGCAAGTCTCAACTCCAATGATGTCTTTGTGCTGTTTACCAAGAAAGACGTCTATATATGGTCAGGAAAGGTAGGAATAATATCTGTAGTGAGGCCAAGTCACAATAATTACATTTGTATAAGTACAAGTAACAGTTTTAAAGAAATTGGCATCATAATGCAAAATAGATATCAGTTCTGTTGCTCTGATTGAGAAACAAATTTCCCATTGTCAGTAAACTATTCACAAAATCACTAATTACCTGTAGATTTTCATTATTGGTATCCACTGTTGTTGTCCGCTACCAAGAACTGGTGACATGTTATAGCCACCATTTTTGTGACTGGCATTCGGCAATGGGTATCTACAGTTGGTTGCTGACATTTTGAGTAATTGTTGTAACAATTTGCAATAACTTACTAGATGGTAACATTATCATTGTAATGATCTTGTTTTGATTCATTTGGATTTCATATAATATATCTTGTGCCACAGAAAGGGAATCGATTTTTGATTAATGTATTGTATTGTCTTTCAGGGGAGCACAGGTGATGAGAGAGAGATGGCCAAGCACATCGCCACCATTAACCCTCGCAGTCCCAGCATGCAGCTTGAGGGCCAGGAGAAGGCAGACTTCTGGGCTGCTTTAGGAGGCAAAGAGGAATATGCTAGTGATAAGAGGCTAGCAGAACCAGAGACAAATCACCCTGCTAGACTCTTCCAGTGTTCTAATGCATCTGGCAGGTTCGTTGTTGAAGAAGTGCCAGACTTTAATCAGGTAGGAGCTATCAGCATTGGCCCATAGCCAGGGGGGTTCTCGGGGGAATTCATAGCCAGGGGGGTTCTCGGGGGAATTCATAGCCAGGGGGGTTCTCGGGGGAATTCATAGCCAGGGGGTTCTCGGGGGAATTCATAGCCAGGGGGGTTCTCGGGGGAATTCATAGCCAGGGGGGTTCTCAGGGGAATTCATCTGTAACACAAATAGCCTTGATTCTGGGCATTCAAGTGACTAAAGCCTAAGTCATATTTTATGGCAAATGTACGGCAGCCGTAGCTTCTCAAAATTGAGAGAAATATGCAGCATTAAATATAGGGATAAGCAGTGCGATGTAGATTTTCTATATCGATTTTTGAAGCTTCGGCCGTCATACCTCTGCTGTAGAGCAAACAGGACAGAGGCTTCAGTAGAAGCATGCCACTTAAAATGGAATCGCTTTTTTATGATGTGGATTGTATAGATAATCAAGACCAAGGTAATCCTAGCGAAACTCAATTAATGACCAAAATCGAGAAAAGTATGCAGCATAAAATATCGGGATAAACCCTATGGTGGAAATTTTTCTGTATCGATTTTGTGAAGCTACGTACACCATACAGTACAGCGGCTGTAGAGCAAATGTAGCTGAGGCTTACCCCCCTTTAATGTGGGTATTTACTTGGAAAGGCAGTGACAATTGTTGCATTTTCAGGATGATTTGTGTACAGATGATGTGATGCTACTCGATGCTTTTGATACTGTCTTCCTGTGGATCGGGGAAGGTGCTAATAAGGCAGAAAAGAAACAAGCAGAAACTAGTGCTATTGTAAGTCTAAAAAAGATCAAGTTGCATCAGCTTACAGGCTTGGCATAAATGCATTCTTGAGTGTAAAATCTAATTAATTGAAAGAGCTTTAAAGATGTTCAATAGATGACTCTCACTTTAAAGTTTTTTTTGCATTTGGATTTTTCCTCAGAAAATAAGCATTTTGATGAAATTAAAAAAATAGAACAATAGGATTTATTCACAATTCAAAGATATGCATGAGGCCCCTGTGTAGGAGTCTGGAATTTGACACACAGTATTGAATGTTATTTCAAATCAAATGTAAGCTGAAACATTTTAACATTTTACCCTTCCTATATTTAACCTTGTTATGTGTTGCAGGAATATATCGCAACTGACCCCTCTGGAAGGGATCCAGATACACCTATTGTGAAGGTGAAACAAGGATTTGAACCACCGACATTTACAGGATTCTTTGGTGCTTGGGACAATGATCTTTGGAGCGTAAGTTAATAGTTTGGCGAGTGCCAGATAATTATCGTGCCAAATATTCATAGTGCCAGATATTCGTAGTGCCAAATATTCATAGATGTCAGATATTCATGGTGCAAGATATTCATGATCAGCTTAAGTGGAAAAACAATGTTAATCTTGCTATGGTTTACTTTCCCCACATTCCCAATACAATGCATTATGGATGGGGAATTAACTTTCTCTTTCAATGCTTCATTAAGAAAATTGTCATTTACCACGTTCCATAATGCAATAACTTTGTTCATTTACAACTGTTGAAATCCTGCACATTCTAACCTTTTTGACGTCTTTTTCAGAACAATAAGACATATGCTGAGCTGAAGAAGGAACTTGGAGAGGAGAATGTTGGTGTCTCTGTTGTAAAGCAGGCCCAACAGAACGGAGGTGGAGGTTTTTCAGACGTAAAAAAATACTCCTATGAAGACCTCATAAAGCAAGAAGATGATGGACTACCAGAGGGTATCGATACAGGCTCAAAGGAGGTATACATTAAAGTTTTGATTGTGGTATTGATTACTGTCATTCCTGTTATTTCACTACCACAATTGGGGACAAGTTGGGGACAACTTTTTTTGATGGTGTTTGGTGTTCGGTGTTCAGCAATTGGTGTTTGGCAGTTAGTGTTTGGTAGTTGGGGTGTGTATCGAATGGCAGGTGGTGACATTTTGCATGTTAATGCCTAGTTCCTTTATGCATTAGATCATATTTTGGGATATTTACACTTTGTTTTCCTTGTGAATGGTTGTGCTCTTTGGTATTTTTTATTTTTTTTATTTCTTGTAGTGTGTCTGTCTTTTGATCTTTTTTGGGACTTTATAAATTATACTCAGTGAATGATCAGTACACTGGTAATCAAATTCCACCTTAGAATAACGGTACATACACTTTGTTCTTAAATAATTGTTGCATACTACAGTTATCGAAAGAAAATGTAATGCTAAATTAATTATTGAATAAGCGAAACATGATGTAATGCGCCTTAACTATGATTACAGATTTATCTGACTGAGGAAGAGTTCCAAAGTGTGTTCAAGATGTCCTATACAGATTTCATCGCAAAGCCCCAATGGAAACAACGGGAGCTTAAGAAAGCTGTCAAGTTATTTTAACCACAAACATTTCCTCGTCCACCTTGTTAACATAAATGATGTGCTCTACTGGGCTAAAATTTGACACCAATGTCAGCTATGCTATGCTGTATGAAATTGAATCTGCAATTTAAAATAATAAAGGACCCTTTAAATGTATAAGTTCACGTCAATTTCTCTCCCTCCACTCTCTGTGTATTAAAAATGACCACTGTGACGCCATATACATGGGAACTACATTCTGCCATTGTGTAAAGGGACCTGATTCTTTGAACTTAAGATCTTTCAATTATGAGTAGAATTTATGGGTAAATGAGATTATAAGCCTGACACAGTGTCCACTACCACCTTATTGTGGTTAAAGATAATAACTGAATACTGAAGGCTTCTTATTTCTAATTAGATGAAATGTCAACCCATTCTTTAAGAAATAATGGGTGTTGGACTTATATGAAATAAGTACTGAGTTGTCATGATTAGAGTTATATCACACTAGATTATAGCTAATGTCCTTGTGATATATGGTGTGTAATTTTTATACAATCTACAATTTATTGTATTCTTAAGGGTCTCTTAAGGGTGTGCCATTTTTCCAGTCAGTGTGCTGCTGTTTATCATGTTTGAGATCATTTTTTCTTGGAGCGTGTAAACTTACAAATATTGTTTATTCTAGTTTTAGCTGAACAAACATTCCTTTAAAGAATTCATTTTTCTATTCAATTTAAGATCTATGTTCAGGTATTGTTACGTTTTTATGACTGAACCTTGAAATGGACAGAGTGTTCCAAAAGTAACATGCTTCATTCTGCTCTGCAACATTGCATCAATCATGTCTGTATCTTTTGGAACACCCCTGGCATTTTGTTATACATATATGTAGTTTATATTCATATTTTATTCTAATAGTATGTTAGGTTTATTTTTTCACAATATATTCTTGTTATTTTGCACCAGATGTTCAAAATCATTATCTATTATAATTGTATTCAACCAATCATTGTAATTTATCTTTTATATACAATACTTGAGAGGTATAGGGCATATATATAAGGGTTTGTTTTGTCGACCAAAAATGAAACTTGTTTCTCTGATGATTCAATGTTAATTAATTGTAATAATGAACAAGCACAGTAAAACCTCATACATGTGACGTACATTGAAACTTATTACATACAATGAAACTTATTACATACAATGAAACTTATTACATACAATGAAACTTTTATGCAGTGAACATATTCGGCATATATTGTAAAACAGTAATAAATCAGTGTTCACAATGTAAAGGTGTTCATTGTTTGTGTTCACTGGGGCAGGTTTCAATCCATATATGAGCCTGGCCATAGGAAAACCGGTCTTATCACAAAACTTAAAATTGTGCTACAGAGCCAAAAATGTGCCTACGATTAAGAGGAAAATGTGCTTAATTCAGATCCGACTTTTTGGTCTATATATATGCAAGGAAAAATTGTTAGGACATAAGCCATGGCTCATTTGAAAGGTTTCTTTGTGCTTTTTAAGATAAACAAAAAATCAGAATATTGAAAAAATCTGTGATAAGACCCCTTTTCCTGTGGCCTGGCTCATATAAGAATTGGATTTTGAATATATTCACAATTCTACATGAAATGGACAATTACGAAAATGTAATACCATGCATTTAGTAGGCTGCTTACATTCCATATTAGAACATTCTACTGCTTATAATGCTTCCAGAGAACGATAATATATAATCATAATAATGATATATGATACATGTTAAGGAATTCATTCCATTTTGCATGCTATATTAGTATCAAATCGCTCTATTTATTTTTTGACTGTTCATGAAATATTTTTTTATTTCCACCGAAACCATGTAAACATTTTATTTCAGTATGAATACTATGTGGTACTATATTACTTCTCTGCCCTTGGGTCTTTTAATACAATTCAGTTGAGATTTTTCTATTTTTATATTCATGTATAAAATACTTTCATCTTTTGATTGATATTTTACATTTATATACTCAAGTAGTTTTCTCGTAGGACAAGACTATGGACATTTACATGTAGAAAGATTTTTGGAGGTTCTTCAACCATAGCTATTCTACTGAGTGTATCACATGTGTGCACTCCCTAATTGTTATACTCAGTTTTGTAACACAAGTGACAAAAAACATGCATTTTGTCAAAGATATCAGGACTATAGCAAGATTTTGTGTTAATGTCCTCGGAAAGAAAGGTGATCTTGCAGGCAACATAGAAGTGCATAACTGTGTACAACTGGGAAATATTGCAGTGAAATATGAAAAACAAGCTCTATTTTTGCTTCGTTGAATTCAAGGGAAATACATACATATGGAACACCTGTAGAAATGCCGAAGCTTAAATATGCGCATATTCAAATCTAATTATGTTTGTTGAATGAATTGAGTATATTTGAATGTACCTGTGTGTTAAAAATGTCAATGTACAGATTTTTACAATTTGGAACTGGGGAATATGGGTATGTAGTTGAGCCTAATATATTATCATGTTATTATTTCAATTAACAGTATTTTTGAAGTTTCCATTCCACAAATAATAAGTCACATGATTAAATTTTGCTGTGCGACTTTTTATTTTTTTTGTACAGTGTCATGTTATATTAATTAATTATTTCAAATGATTGTTAAATGTAAAAATGCAAATATTTGTAACCCAAAGTTGCTTTTCTTCTAAATCCATACATGTAAAAAGTTTTTGTAATTAGGCAATAAATTACATGTATTGTTAAAGTCAATATTCTCATATTTGTCTTTTTCTTATAAAAGGTTAAATCTGCAATACTATGGAGTACTTTAAAGCTTAGCTATTTTTACAAACTAAATAAATGTACATGTATGTTATTTTAAAGCCAAACTTCTAATTTCCTATTGAGTTGATAGGAAATGAATTGGAAACTCCCAATTTTTTCATTCATTAACCATTCAAATGTTATTAGTTTATTATCTATAAAAAGTATTTACAGAAAAGCTACATGTTACACACAGAGACAGCATATAACAAGAGCAAATACTGTATTTGTCTTTAATTTGAGCTAACTGAGCTAGCTCCTACAATACAATCACAGAACCCAAAAAGAAATGCTAACTACAAAGAAATTCTGCTCGAAAGCCGATTTTCAAAATGGCCGCTCATTTCAAAATGGCGGCCATTTTAGTGCTGAATTTACAGTAATTTAGGTGCAATATGTAAAACTGTAATAGTAATATGTTTTAAATGTAAAAAAATTATATAGGACATTAAAAAAGCTAGAAATGTAGATATTAAAGAAGCACATGACAGCCATCTTGAAAAATGGCGGCCTTTACTCGTTATTTTACGAATTTTGCTGTAACTCGAAAAGTAGTGGAGCGATTTTGTTCATATTTGGTATGTGAATACTATAAACATTGCACACTGTCTAAAGACACTTTTGGAAGAAGGTGGCCATTTTGAAAAATGGCCGCCATTTTGAAAAATGGCCACCATTTTAATGTATTTTACTATAACTCGAAAAGTAGTGAAGCGATTTTGTTCATATTTGGTATGTGAATACTATAAGCATGGCACACTGTCTAATGACACTTTTGGTAGAAGGCGGCCATTTTCAAAATGGCCGCCATTTTAACGTATTTTACTATAACTCGAAAAGTAGTGGAGCGATTTTGTTCATATTTGGTATGCGAATATTATAAGCTTGACACACTGTCATATGACACTTTTGAAAGAAGGCGGCCATTTTGAAAAAAAATTTGAAAAATGGCCGCCATTTTAACGTATTTTACTATAACTCAAAAAGTAGTGAAGCGATTTTGTTCATATTTGGTATGTGAATACTGTAAGCATGGCACACTTTCTATTGACACTTTTGGTAGAAGGCGGTCATTTTTCAAAATGGCCGCCATTTTAACGTATTTTACTATATTTTGAAAAGTAGTGGAGCGATTTTGTTCATTTTTGGTATGTAAATACTATAAGCACGGCACACTGTCTTATGGCACTTTTGGTAGAAGGTGGACATTTTGAAAAATGGCCGCCATTTTAACGTTTTTTACTATAACTTGAAAAGTAGTGGAGCGATTTTGTTCATATTTGGTATATGAATATTATAAGCATGGCACATGGTTTAATGACACTTTTGGTAGAAGGCGGACATTTTGAAAAATGGCTGCCATTTTCGCTATATACTTTGTTTGTAAAAATACCATCCATGGCTGTTCGATGGGATTCGCTACGCTTTGGCGTTGCCGTTGTTCTGGTTAGAAATCTACATGTAGGTTTCAAATATGAAATGACGTAAATCAAGATTATTTCTACTCGCATCTATTTTCAACTGTAATTTAAAAATGTTGCATCATTATTTATCAACGTCATTAATTAGATTTGTGTACAATGTAAGTAGCATTTAAATACATGTTCACACGAGTATCTTTAATTATAATATAATACTTACAACACTAATTAATATGATTGTATATTAGTTATCTATTGATAGTAACATCTCCCAAGGCCTTACACTTTTTAATTGCAACGTGATAGTCAGAACTTCCTCTAATCGTAGATAGTAACATCTCCCAGCGCCTTAAACTTTTTAATTGTAACGTGATAGTCGGAACTTCCTCTAAAATATTCTTAATTATCATCCACCTAACTTAATTGGACCAAAAACTTTATTATCGGATATCACCACGGTTGGTTATTAAATCCCACTCATCTGCCCACATATAAACAGTGCATAAGTTTCGACAGTATTCAAAGGTCAAAGGTCATGAATCTAAACAGATAAATAACACATTACTGCCTTCTGTGAACAGAAGGCCTTGTATTAGGGTCGTTCGAAAAGTTTTGCACGAAAGCCTCTTAAGAGATGAGGTTTTATCATTTTTACATGAACTTTGATACAGATGTAGTTTCTTACAAACAGACATGAAATTTCAGGACCATAAGCCGTGCACTTCCTGAGATACATTGACTTTAAAATTTGAACCAATGGGCCAATGGTCCATATGAATGGTGTTTAAACTGCTTTTTTATTCGGTACATTAAATATTCCTTAAATACCAAATAAAACAAACAATTTACCAAACCTTTATCCAATCTATCGAATGTTTTTTTTAATTTATCGAATGTAATAATCTATACAAAATATATTCGCTAAATAGTTACACTTGTTCTTTGTGTTAGCATTTGCATTTGATATTTGTACATGTATTTGTGCGATGCAGCGAATCAATTTGGTTTCCCTACCGCACGTATAATTCAATTAATTATTTGTACATTCGGTATTTAGATTATTTATATTTGGTAAATACCGAATGCCACATTCGATGAATTTCGCTATTTTTCGATACTTTACGAGACTCTCAGTCCCGTGATATATTTGAACGATGTAGAATAGCTGCGAGGCCATTTTGTAAAACTCGAGGTCACGTAATAAAATATCAAACAACAACGAAAGTTATCGAATATTACTTTATTGCATTCGGTAAATAGCAAATTAGCTTTCGGTAAAATGTATTAACTAATGTTATAGAAAAATAAATCATTTGGTAAATATAGACAAACTTATTTCTGTATGTTCAAATAGAAATTCGATATTACATGCATATTATGTGTTACTCTTAAGGAATACCATAACAATTTACACAAAAACATATCATTTAGCGAACAAATTATGTAATTTAATGCACAAAGTATTAATTGGTTTAATCCATTGGCTATTTTGAAAATTTAATTTGCTGTAACAAATATATAAACGTTTTTACCGAATGGAAATTGATTAAGCAAATATAAATATTCCAGAAATGGAATATATCTGAAATGGTTCCATCAATTTTTGTTCTTTCAGCTGTTAGTCAGGTTATGTTATAACTAATTTATATTCAATCTAAATATATAGTACTTAATATGTAGTCTTCCTTTTTAGTAATGCATTATTCTTGTAGCACTACGCCCAGTCCATTAGTAAATGTCTGAACCACCCTACCTATAGGATGTCGACTATGTCAGCTACCCTCAGTAAATTTCCCTTCTAATTCAATCTTGGAATACTTGGCAATGCCTATTGGAGTCATTATATGCAATATGTATAACGCATGAATGTATATAACTTGTGTAGCACTGATTCCCTCCCCATTCTTTATCATGTATTCTATCAATGTTTTCTGCTTCAACTTTATTATTTTGAGCCATATTCTCCAATATTTCATGAATTCCTGATGAGAACGTTGATACAACGTCATAAAATCAGGTGATTTTTTTCAAGATATTTGAAGAGTATGTTTACGGTAATTCTTTGATATGATCAAAGAAAACAAGATGGGAAATATTAATTTAAGATTCACTTTTGCCATGAGAGCAAAATTATATTGTTTAAATATAAGTTGACAGTTTATGTAAGTAAATTTACCATAATTAGTTTAAGTTTAAAATATTTTATTTAAGTGTCACTGGTATGATACAATTAATACATATATAAGAACATAGTTAAAATACCACCAGCCGATGTCGGCTTATGAGACACTGGTCACTAACTTCCAAATTATTATCGCAAGAACATTAAGCATATACTGTCAGACTGTAGACAATGCGTATCAGTAATGTATAATAAAACAATTTATCCCAAGTATTGCACAGGTTTGATAATTATAAATTCATATACATAATAAATAGAAAGAGTTAACATGTAACATATTGCCTCTTTAAATTGACTAGTTAAATTATAGTATAAAAGTAATGAGGCACTCAATCGAATGAATATGGTGAAACATACATTAGGACATTACAAATAATTATGTTTCAGTCAGCCTTTCAAGGTCAAATTGTCTCTTTACAAACATGTTATGCAAGAGAGCAGCCCATTGCCTTTGAATTGATTTTGAATGCATGAGACTAATAAATAGAAGTAAATCATTGTCAGTATTTGTTTTTATATGTGGTGTCAAAATGTTTGTAACAGTTTCATAAAAGTGTGATCTGAGGCTGGAGTAATGTTTACATTGAATGGCAAAGTGCAATTCATCTTCAATAGTGTTACTATCACATAATTTACAAGTTCGATCTTGCAATGCTATGTTTGACCATCTACCAGTCTCAATGTTAAGTGGGAGACTACCTGTTCTCAGTTTGGCAAGCATACTTCTATGATGTCTTGGAATATAATCAGATACATAAGATTCAGTTACAACTCCATATTTGAACATTCTATAGGTTCGAAGCTTATTTCCATTTTGCACATTATTTTTATCGTTCCAGATGTTTTTCAAGAAAGGATCTTTCGAATTGAAACAGTTCTTTAAAAGTTGTATTGTTGTTTTTACATGTAAGGAAATATTATTATCAGTGGAAATACCATTGTTTGACAACATTGTTTTAGTATGATAGTCCCAACTTCTTTTTTGTTTTAATGACCAAACATGCACTTTATAGTTCAATCTATTATGGTCCATATTGTGTAATCTCAGGTACTGGCGGGCACATTCCAATCTTGTTTTATCCACCAGAGGGCTCCACCCAAGGTCACCGCGAACTGCTTCATTGTTGGTTTTTGGACTTACACCAAGGAATGATTTACCAGCTCGATTTTGTATATTATTTAGGCATCTATGCTCCCTAAGGCCCACAACAGCACTGCCGTAGTTGATCACTGGTTGTACCAGGGAGTCATATAGCTTGTTAAACACTTTGAAGTCCATTCCACCAGTAGCTTTTGCTTTAGTTGTAATTACTCCCAGGGCTCTTGAAGCTGATTTGGCAATTTCACTTGCGATGATTTTGGCATCTAAGTGTTCCTCTAGCCATATACCCAGATATTTATATTTTGGAGCATATTCAATGGTATCTTGGCCACATGTAAAAATGTAGACTGATTGAGGGTGGGAGGGGGGCCTATAATGCACTATTTTTGTTTTGCTCAGGTTCATAGAGAGTCTCCATTTCCTGCACCATTCATTCACCTTATTTAGCATGCGTTGTAAGTCTTGAGGGGTTGGTGCTATTAATGCGATATCATCTGCATAAAGTAATATACCTACATTGGTATCATCAACATGGACTCCACACCTCAATTGTTTCACATCAGATGCTAAATCGTTTATATAGATGGCGAACAGGGTCGGGGAAAGCAAACAGCCCTCCTTACATCCATTAGATACCTTGAATTTAGGGGTCAGCAAGCCATTAATCCTCACTGAGCAGGTTACATCATCATAGCCGTAGGCAGCGGGGGTTCGGTGGGTTCGAACGAACCCCCGGTCAGGATTTCCCAAAATATCGTTTTGCGGAAAAAATGCATCTAACCAGAATCATTATAAATTACTGTGCTATTTGAAAACTACATATATGAGCAGTAAATGAATTGATATTTGTTATGGTGAACACGAGAGCCTTATTTTCTTAAAAACATGTCATAGTGAAGTTACACTTCCCTCAAAACGTTTGGCAACCTTAGGCACGGGGTGAGCTTTAATGTTTTTGAAGACCCCAGAGCATGAGATTTTACAATTAGAAATAACAATAATTTCGCAGCTTAAAAGCATGCTTCTTCTCGGACAAAATAACCCATCTTGGGCAATGGCTAAATCAGTCCTTTGTAGGAATTTTGTCTTAAGTCAGTTCTGGTCCAATGAAGTTATTGAAAGTTATTGGCAATGCAGACGTCCCATACTCCGAATGATTTTTACAAAATTGACGAATAAATATTTGGAATAGTCTTAATATTGATGAAACACAATGTTCTTTCAAATGTTAACATCTCTGTTTTGTTTTATTTCGATTAAAATTTAAAATATTTCTTAGGGCGTCCCTGGGGCTGGCAAGTCCCCGAAACCAATTGCGTTAAATAATTAAAAACGTTGTGAAATGAATTATTTAAAAGCCTATATCATTTATAAACACAAGCATTTGTTCAAATTCATTCATTCTTTCATTTGTTCAGTATTTATTTACCCTTCACTTTCCAAAGAAAGTTCGTTTTTTCAGATACACTCCACTCATCTAAGAGATTGTATAGAATTCAAATTGTTATCGTTCCAGTTTACTTGCTCTCCATTTTCATGTTAATGTCATGATATGTTTAGCGAATAAATTATATAATAAAAAACATTGAAAAATCATATGGTATTAATCTTCAAATAATGAAGGCCTAATTTGTTATCAAGTCGTCTGAACTTAACTAAATAACAATCGCCTGTATTTATATATACTTTTATCTACTAAAACGTTTTTATTATCAATTGCGGTTGATCTGCTCTGTGGGACTTACCACTGAGCTCCGAGGACGTCCAAAGAAATATTTTTAACTTTTTAAAACAAAGCATAACCGAGACCCATTTATTTGAATAATATATATTTTCATCAGTAATACGACTATCCCGGATAGTTTATAAAGCTTTCGTGTAGACGTTGTGAAAAGTTATCATAGAAGAACGATCTTTCGGAGTATAGGGTGTTTGCGTCAATTTCAATAACCTTGCATTTGATCCAAACTGGCTTCCAACAAAATTCCTGAAAAATAATGATAAGTCATTGCATGAGGTGATTCAACTTGTCCTAGATGAAGTAGCTTAAGTTAAAGAATAAACTGTGCGAAATAGTTGATATTCCTTGGAAACAAATCATGCTCCAGGGTCTTCCAGAAATCAGTCGAAATAGTGGTGTATTTGGGGCAAATCAGATTTCAGGATATGTATTCAGTAAAAGATTCACCGAAATATATTTTGATGCAGAAAATTAATTATAAGTTGTTTGACCTTTTTGCACGTTGCCTGTTTATTTTACTTTGTGAACATTAACATTAAAGTTACAAAGCTACAAGGTCATTTTTGAAAATCATTTTTACGGTCTGTGTTATTTCAATGGAAGAAAACTAAAGATTTTTACAATAATATATTATTTTTCTATAAGAATGGTTACCATTCTTATTATTTTGGAGAATTTTTCACTCATTTTTGCACTTTGAATCATTAATAACTTCACCAATTTATAACATGTTGTGAATCTTTTGGGAGATAATGTATTTGATGTTGTAAGGAATAGATTGGTAGGTCAATTATACATCTTCGTTTACTCGGCTCCCGTCGATGAACGCAGTGAAAACCGAGCGTGCGAAGATGAAGATGTCAATTATACATGTTGCTTCTAATTTTGTCACCCCCTATACATAAGATTCTGCCTTCAATGAAGGTATTGAAATGAATTATATTTCCCCTCCCAGAATAGTTTTTTCTTTACAAATTATGCAAGTAAGAATTCAAACTTAAAGATGCTTTAATACATAATCCAATGGGTTAGTAAGGAGGGATTGAATTGTAAAAATTGCATTATTTGAGAAACCCTAATGAAGGGGGGGGGATTTGTGAATAACATAAAAATAGAACCCCCGGTCACCAAATCCTGGCTACGCCACTGATCATGATACAGGGATTGAACAGCCTTAAAGATTTTTCCTTTTATTCCTATTCTATTGAGTTTGAACCATAGGCAATCTCGATTTATACTGCAGAAGGCTTTCGTCATATCGATATAACAAACATATGTGACCATTTTTGCTAGCTTGCGATTGTTAACAATAGAGTACAGAGTCATATTGTTCTTTATATATTACAAATTTCCTTTTTACAAAATGATATCGACCATTGCGTCATCGCCTTGGTTACTATATGAACCATAGGATGTTAAGTAATAGACGTATATACCTGAAACCTTGAAAGTGTAAGGAAATAAGATAGGGGCACATACCTCGGTTCATTATTTTCATAATTAGACACATTTGTGCAAAACTTTTTGAACAACCCTCGTATAAATGGAACCTTTTTAAAAATGACAATAATTACAGAGTAGGTGTCAACATGTACCTGTGTTACCTGAGAAAACGAGTTAGCAAATTACATGTGGTATATTTCTAAAAAATTTAACTACATCACATAGAATAATAGTGAATGTACACATTTCATGATAGACTGGAATGGGTTCACTTTGAACCAAGAACAAATGGGACTATATATGAAAAGTTAACTCATGGTAAGAGTTATTTGAAACTAGTAACTAGACCAATGTTTTGTAGAAGTGAAATACTTTGAATTCAAAAGGTTCAAAATTAATTATTCATAGATGGATGAACACCTAAAGTAAAAATATTTGGAGGATTTTGTTTATTCTAAAGAAGTACTATTACTGTATGACTGAAGTTAAATATGAAAAGAATCTTATACAAAATAGAGAAAGTGGAGCACAGACACATTAGATGCAGCTGTTGCTCGTATATTTGGAAATTTAGAATGATAGCATACAATATTAGGAGCCACAATAGGCTATAATCAAATGGTACATGTTAAGATATAGACTAAAAACGATAGTATATATTAAGGTCCTCTTCCCGAAGAACATACCATTGGATAGGAGGAACGTAATTGCCGAGTGAGGATTTTCAACTATCGTAAGTTGACATATAAATCTATATCGAGAAAGCAACGATATCACTTTTAGTTTCGTTGGAAAATCAGTGACCCTGAGCAAAATCAAACGATTGGAAAGTGTATAAAGAAGTTGTTGCCAGTTGTCTAAATGGGTATATGCATTAGTGTTGGGAGGAGGACTCATGGGTTCAGTTGTTTGAGTCTTCATGAGGCAGCTATACGAGGACATGTAGATTGCCTCGTCTTCCTCCTAGAACTGGGTAATGGCGTAAACGCTCTGCAACCAGAAAATGGTAAAAGCCCACTAGACCTTGCCATCCAGTACCACAGGGATGAGTGTACAAAGGAGATCCTCAGCCGAGGAGGTCGAATGGGTGGAGATATACTCATCGACTTGGATAATATACAAAGACCTATCACTTGTCAACAGAATGAGAATCTAGAAACTATACTTTATGGAAATCAAGAAACCGAACGCTATGGTTTCCATGGTGACACTGAACATATGGATATTCAAAACGTGGATGCTGGAAGATACAAACACCTTCTCGCTAGATCATATTGGTTGAATACAAAAGATGATTGCGCAGGGTTGGTCTCAACGTTACACATGATGACCGCAGAGGAAGAGCTTATAAATGGACGTCAGATGAAACCGAGCGCCAGTAATAGATAATACCCAGGGCCTATCATCCCTTATTTGATTGTTTGACTACAGAGGCGTTTACATTGTCAACAGATAGCGACTTGAAAAAAATTGTAATTGTATTACATTGAACAAATTAATTACACACTACAGGCGGTGGTTATATAATAGAGCCTGGTGTAGTAATTAGAAAACCCCAGTCAAGGACCCAACAACTTTTGTCCAATTTTATATTTGTTTTGTCGCTGTATAGCTAGAAACCATCGTCGGTAGTTGAACAATCGAGGGTCAAAATAATGACACCCATATACATTTGTTCCTGGATTTGAATGTACCATTAAAGAAGAGACTACAAGGAAGAGGGGTATGATTACACCCCGGACGTCTGCCAATAAAGAAATCGCTATGAAGCAGAATAAATCTGAATGTTAGCGCTTGTTAGCTCACATGGTGAGCTATTGCAATCACTCACTTGTCCGTTTGTCTATCCGTCTGTCAGCAATTGGCCAATTTTAAAACCTAAGTTAATAGGATTTCCGTTTTATGTTATTTTTGTTCAACATCAATATAGAAAAAAAACTGACTCCTGGTTCAAAAGCTCGCCTATTTTAAAAGTGACCGCCATTTTTGTCTCGCGAAATTCACTTTTGTACCATTTGCTTTAAAACCTGTGTCGATAGGATTCCCGTTTTAAGTTATATAAGTTTTAAGTTAAGTTAAGTACCCCGTTTCAACCCCGCCAGCCGTTCAACCTTAGAGCCCCTACATTTGTTCCCGCTACGCCAGTGAATACCCAACGGGCCCCGGGCTATATTATAGTGAGGGAACAAACACCAATCACCATTAATCCACAGGGGCAGATCCCATCACAACAACCTAACCAGCCACCTATGCCTCAACCAGCCATAGCGACACAACATGATGATCCAAACAGAGCCTTGACCATAACAGATCTCACAAATCTACAGCAGCACTTTGATAACCAGTTTCAGACACACATGGTGAATGTAGAAAAATTGGTAAATGCTACCGTACAACCAATCAAAAATAAATTGTCATCTTTAGAAACTCAAAATGAATTACTTAAGGAAGATGTGGCTACCCTTCAAGTGGAACTCAAAGATCTACGTTTTGCCTGCAACCATAATGCCCAATATAGTAGGCGTACCACTATCCGTGTTCTAGGCATTGCTGAGAACGAGGGTGAAAATTGTGCGGAGAAAGTGGTACAAGCCCTAGTGCAGCACAAAGTTCACAATGACCTTAAAGCCACCGATGTTGAAATAGCGCACAGGGTAGGACGCATCACAAGTGGAAATAACTCAAAACCAAGGCACATAATTGCTCGACTGAAGTTCCGTGGCACCAAGGATATCATAATGAAGAACAAAAAGAATCTGAAAGGCTCCAACATATTGGTATTTGAGGACTTAAGCCCACTCAACAGGCAACTCCTCGATTACATTAAGAAATCGCCTGAAGTGGAATCTGCCTGGAGTTCCAATGGCAAAATTGTTGGCAAGCTTAAAACAGGATCTATCCAACGATTCCAAATCAGCGACATGGGTCTCTAAGACTCTAAGCAGTGCATTATTCATATGCACACATCTAAACTCTTTCATTCACAATAAATGAAATTATCCCCAATCCAAACTTTAAATGACTTTTGCTCTTTTTCAAAACTCAATACCTAATTTGTTATTAGGTACTATATATAAAGATTAATGAACAATATCACTTTATCATCATCAATTCTTGCTGATTTACAACATGCTGTAGCCTCTGTTATCCAGAAATTCTAGATACTAGGGTAACTAGATGTCTAAGAATGACCTGAATTATTTAGCAAGCCCATTGAATAACATTAATCAACATTATCTGCAATAACTCCAAAAAGTAGTAAGTGTGTATTGTATGTTTATCGTACAAATTATTTTGAAATTTTTAAATATTTTCTTTTTAATACGAGTAATCTGGTACTTAGTATTGTAATAAGAATCAAGTTGGTGAGTTTAATGTTTTTCTTAGATCACCCACTCGATTTATGAATCTGGCAATTAGCCAATGTAAATATTTATGGTATTATATCCTTCACAGTCAAGCTATTTTAAATCCCCCATGGTCAATTCATTACCGAGATTAAATTCTGCAATGTGCATTTGACTGCATATTTGGCAAACCAAACCTGGAAACCAAGCTATTTTAAATCCCCCATGGTCAATTCATTCCTGAGTTAAAATTTACCAATGTGCATTCGACTGTATATTATGACTATATATATGGCAATTCACAAACCAAACCTGGAAACCAATTTGCCTAAACGTTTAAATCCTGGCTTATTTTTTACATGTGTCTTTCATTGAAAAGGCTCTCTGGTATTCTTTTGCCACCTTCATAGTCAATGTTCATTGCTCTTTAAATTAATCCTCCGAAATATACATATTGTATGTATCAATGATTTCCAGTTGGGTAGTTTATTGAAGCAGATATATTTCTCTTTGGATGTGCAGGAGACTGTATGTCTGTATGAATTTATGTTGGTGTAACACTGCCATCTTTATGTAAACTTACGTATTCATTCAATACCATGATGAGAATGTTGTCCTGGAATCAAGATCATTGAGCCAGGGAATTCGATACATTTTTCTTTATTCTTTTATATATATAATGTTTTAATGCATCTACGAATTTAACAACACCTTTCGTATTTTTAGCGCATGTGCAGTTTATGCTGTAACCGCTTTGGTCATCCCACAATGAGATCTCATTTTGAGATGCTTTGGAGTATGGATCACGGAGGCAGGGAGATTGCTATAATTACTTCATGTTTTACTTTATCACTTAATCAATACCTGCCAGGTATATAGTGCACATGCGCAACATGTTCTTAAAGCTGTTAATTTGTATTTTTTTTTGCTTTGGTTCTTACATTCACTGTTATGTTTATATGCCATTCAACAGAGCCACAAATATGTACTTGCTCATTTCGCCTAGCCTAGTTCTGTGCTTACAGAACATCATGTCTCAATTCATATTGAGATTTTCTTTTTTCAAATCTCGTAACATTTATAAGGGGGATCTGTTTGTGTGTGTAATAATTCTACTTTTGGATACTGGATAATCTAAGTGCACATGTGTCATGCCCATGGTCTGAATTTCCTTTTTTTAATATTACAGACTCTACCGAATTTATTGATATTGTGCCAAATGGAGACTCAATTATTAGTTTTGAAAACAAAGTTTTCAATCCTCTTGAAATCAGAGATGATGATCCTGACGCCCCAGATTTTGATAACACAACCAAGGAATACATGGCAAAGAATGAATATGTGACACTTTCTGACTTCAATAATAATCTCAATTCCAAGAATAACATCGATATGTCAATTTTACATTGCAATATTCGTAGTTTGCCATCTAATCATTGGAAACTGTCTAATCTACTTGCGTCAATTGATAAAAATATTTCTGTCATTGCTCTCTCTGAAACTTGGCTGTATAAAGATCAAGAAGACAACTTTTCTGATTTTGTAAATTACCGAGGATTTTTCAACTCAAGAACAACTAGAGGAGGCGGTGTTGGTCTCCTTATTCATAAATCTCTTAATATCAAGGAAAGAACTGATTTAAAATTTAACAATATCAATTGTGATGTCATAACCATAGAGGTAATTGTTGAAAAGGGGAAGAATATTTTAATAACCTGTGTATATAAGCCACCAAATGTTGATCTAGAGGAATTTAACAATGACTTAGATGTATACCTATCTTTAATTTCAAGAGAAAATAACAAATTAAGCTACATTGCTGGAGATTTTAACATTGATCTTTTTAAATCTGTGGAACATGAAAATACTGAAAACTTTTACAACATTATGTCTTCATATAACCTTATTCCTGTAATATATAAAGCAACTAGAGTAACTTCTACTACAGCCACTCTCATAGATAACATCTTTACTAACGATTCTAAAGTTGACTTATGCGGAATTATATACAATGACATATCAGATCATTTCCCAATATTTGCTGTTTCCAATAAACCTGTTAACAAAACCACATTCATGAAAAGGTCTATTAGAAAATATACTGATGAAAGCATTTTAAGATTTAAAGAAATTCTCTCTAACGAATCTTGGATCGACATTACAAATTTTAATGATGCTAATGAATCTTATAATAAATTTGAGGAAAAACTATCAGAATTTTATGACGAATGTTTCCCATTAAAACAGATCACAATTAAACTATACAATAATAATCAAAAGCCATGGATTACGTCAGCCATACTTAAGTCAATTAGATATAAAAGCAAACTATACAAGAAATATCTTCGAAATCCCACAGATCAAAATAAAAAACAATATAAAACTTATGCAAATCAACTAAAAAGTACAATTAAATTATCTGAAAAGCAATATTATAATAACAAATTTAAACTGAATCAAGGCAACATAAAGGCAAATTGGCAAATAATTAATGAGATACTTCAAAGAAAGAATAAAAATAATAACATTCCAGACTTCTTCATTCAAAATAATGTGAAAATAACCAACAAACAGGATATAGCTAATCAGTTTAATAATTTCTTTGTAAAAGTTGGAGAAAAATTAGCTGCCAAAATTCCAAAGTCAGATAAAAAACCTTTAGATTTTATGCAAACATTAGGTCAACAGGCTTCTTCAATTTTTTTAGACCCAGTTGATGTTAACGAACTACAAAAAATAATTTCTAATTTAAAACCTTCTGCTGCAGGTCATGATGATTTTAAACCTTTTATTATGAAAGAATGCGGTTTTGTTCTATATCAGCCTCTAATGCATATTTTTAATTTATCCATTTCAAACGGAGTTTTTCCGGACCAACTTAAAATTGCTAAAGTTATACCGATTTATAAAAAAGATGACAAACATTTTTTCACCAATTATCGGCCAATATCTGTTTTACCTGTTTTTTCAAAAATTTTGGAAAAAATAATGCATAAAAGAATAACAAAGTTTATAGATATCATTGACATTTTGTATACTAAT